TTGTATTATAAAAGTACTAAGCTTTGATATTTGCACTTTACAGTAATTATTATGTATTTTAACAGTTAAAAAGAGTAAAGATGGGTTGAAATGTATGATTTTGTTTAAAAAATAACATAATAAAATTGTGTGTATTAATATCGAGATTAAGAAGGGGAAGATAAGAGGTAGTTGGTACCATCAATTGAGAGTCTAGACAAGATTTTTAAAACCAAGATGCTGAAAATGCTCTCTGCGTTTTGCAAATAGCTGACTCCAGACTCGAGGTTTCTGTAATGAAATGAGCTGTACTAGCAATAGTACATCTTTGTTAGGGGTGTTCAAGACTTCAAAAACGATCTAACATATTATTTCTTTAACATAAAATATTAATATACAAATATTAGTATATTATATTATTTGCTAGTATAAATTTTTTAGTAATAATTTATTTTTATATAAAAATTATATTCACCAATATAATTTTTATACTTGATGTTTTTTAATTTTCAATGAATAATATCTTTTTGTAGAGGGGAGTAGATGTTTCCAAAAATAATAAAATCATCAACACTCTCAGCAACATATAAGTTCTGTTTAAACCTTTTTAATTACAACCCTCACTACACTAATATACTGCCGACCTAAACAGTATTAATATAATTTGCCCACCTGATAGTCATAATTTACTTCATTTTACATTTTTTTTTTCTTTTGAAAAGGAATTGATCTATCGACTCCAATAAATTTTTCAATTGTTTAAAGAGAAATGATAAACGCCTCTTAGTCATTAGAAAGCTTTACAATAGTTTAAGCAAGACTATTTGTGATGAAAATAATAAAAATGAGCAACAAAAGTACTTATATTAGGGGTTGCTAGACCAAATAAAACAAAGTGTCTCGTAACATATTTGTGATTAAAAAACAAAAACTTGTCCCCTTATCAACGTCTACATCACATTATTATGTGTCGTGCGGGGTCCACACTCTGGTCGGAACGCAAATAATGGCCAATAGATATCCAAATTTTAAACACGCAAGCACACGTTCATGCGTCCTTTTTTTTCTTTGACTTGTTGAATGGTGACATCTTGTGACTTGATGATATTTATCTATACAAGTACTACGGTTAGTTATATTGTTAAAAACGTTATTAAAATAACAAATAATGATATTATTAAGAAAGTCGTATACATATAATTAACTATTAATGCTACAAAGTAAGATAAAAACTTTTAATAACTTCTCTCAGTTTATTTGATTGAGAAAAAAGATAATCAGAAATATAAATAACAACACATTTTTCTGTTAGTAAAAGATAAAATTTTATAAGTTTAATTTTTAATAAACAAAATTATTATTATTTTTGTCTAAACCAATCAGAGGGTTAGTGACACAAAACATATGTATAACACATTACCGATATTATAATATAAGAAACAGTAATATTAATATATGTTCTTCGAGTTACAGCTAGTTTATTTTGTTTAACTTGGTACCACTTAATTTCGGAGTCACAATTTTAAGAGAAAACGTGATTGAATTTGGAATTTACGATATAATTTAGCATGGCTTTAAATTAAATTCTAATTTATAAGTGTTATAATACTATTCCCATTTATACAAGCTTAAAATTCTTCACATATGTGATTCCACAAGCAATAGCCTCTGGTGACAAAGTTACAATCTTAGTAACCACAAGTCGATCACAATTACGATCCCATAGTCACAAGCGCATCGTTTGGGTAACCTATAATTAAGCAGAAATATATTTAGACATCTATTATAAATCAATCAGTAGGTTTCACTTATCATTTTGGAGTTAACGGCAGAGTTACCACGTATAGAACGTGCATTACGTTGTGTTTTGAGTTAATAGTTTATCATTTGTTAAATTATATTGATTCAGTAAAGAACCTTCGTTGTATACGGAAGCTTTGAAAGCTGAAATGTGGCCTAACTACAGTGTTATGGAAACATTACAATTTACCAAATGGGTTATATTCGATCAGCCAAAAGAAACAGTGCTTTTTATGATTTTCATTCATTGTATTTTATGTTTTAAAAAATGTTGAAGTCAAATCCAGTTGGTGAATGGTGAAAGGTGAAAACTATAATAATTCACTGGCTTTCCCGCAGAGGGGCGAGAGTGAACAAAAAGCAAAGGAGTTCAGTGCAGCTGCATGGTAAGTTCGTTAACAAATCCGGCACATGAAGCAGGTTCCATCAGAGCCTGATCCATCTCGAAAGGCGTTCCGTTTTCGATGAGAGGGCTGGGATGTTTTAAGCTGTAGCTGCGGGACACGGGGGACAATAGAGTGCTCTGAATCATTAAACCGAAAATGAACAATGCACTAGCATTTCCCGTTCGATGCCAGCCACGTGTTCAACTCATTTGCATCTAACGGCACGCCTACGAAGCTATCCGACCTAGACATTTAAAAGGATCTGGAAAGATTTCTGACACCTGGCACGTGCGTGGGGCTTCAGGGTTCTTAAAAAGAAATGTAATTTTAGGGCAAAGCTAGCAATCTCACACTTCCACTCAATGTATTTTAACCTAAAAAAAATTTGCACAGGAAAATGATTCATGCACCATAGAAAAGCACTTATTCTCGCCATTCTTTCAATTTCGTGGGTGCATGTCTACCCCTTAATGGGTGGAGCCTCTCCAGTATATGAATGGATTCATTTATTTGAAAAGTCACATTTATTAATTTTTCATTGATACCAAATCATATTAATTTAACATTGAGTTATCTAATTTTTTTAAATAATTTTATATGTTAAGTTTTAGATAAACTGAATGTGTATAAAGATGAAATCTTATAATTAATATATATTTATATTTAAATATGTTATATGTTAAAATAAAATTATTTGATGAAGAATCGATTAAATTTTATAGATTGATGACCGTTAAATTAATGATTAAAGTAATAAATTTTGTTATGTATAAAAAGTATTATAAACTTAAAATAAGTTAATTAATACTTGTTTTTAAAATAAGTAGATGGAGGAAGGGAGCAAATCCCGACTACATAATTAAAGTCAACTGTTAAAGTTATAATTAATTAAAATAATATTGAGCGTTCATATGTTATTAAATGATTAAGATTTTTTTTTTACATCTCACACTTTCAATAAATATGTCCCTTATATTAGTGTCTCTGTCTGCACGCGTGGAGAATGAAAAAAATATACATATATTAGTATCTTTCTTTCACAATTGACAATGTTGTTACTTGGAAATATATTTTTTTAGAGTTTTAGTACAATTAGCAGTATTGTTTTATGAAAATATTTTTTCTTTAGAATTTTTATCCTGTTTTACCAATTATTAAATTTTCATGAAATTGTAAAGTGCCGTGAAAATCTCGCTTAACTCAATAATATTTAATGCATATTTTCTAATTAAAGATAATAATAATTTCTTTAGACAAATTAATATTGCTAACATAATATATACGAGAAATAGTAAGAACATACCTTTTAACATATATATTTTAATATATTTTTAATTATTAGTTAAAATAATTTATAAAAATAATGAGTATTGTTCTTTTTTATTCTTAATTTAATATTTTTTTATATTTTTATAATTTTTAATTATATTTTAATCAATTAAAAATATATTAATAGAATGTGTTGTTAGCATTCTAATTTGGCCAACTGATATCAGTTTAATATTCTTTTAAGCGTGATACACGGGTTAATAAACATCTTTAAACAAAAATCACACATTGTAACATAGTTGAAATAAGCACTAGAGATACATCAGAAACACAGATAATAAGGATATATTTAAATCAAATAAACAGTTTAGTTAATGTATATTTGATGATTTTTTATTATCTGATGATTTATAAAATTAATTATTAAATTTAATAAAATAATTTAAAAACAATTTTTTAAGAAAATATACAAAAAATACGAAATAAATTACAAATATTTCATAAAATAAATTATTTTTATAATAAGTTATTCCAAATGTCTCTTAAATAAATATGTTAAATATGCTCTTATAAATCTCAATATTTTATAGAGTAAACATTAAATGAAATGAAAAATGTATTTTATATTTTAAAAAATAATACTATATTCAATGTTTTTTTTAAAAACAATTAATAGAATATACTATAGTTATAAGGATTTAAAATTATTCACATTCAAATAAAAAATTATAATTTTCTAATAAATATTCAGTGTACTATATATGATACTGCCTAATAATGAAGTCTGGCAAACTACACTTATATATCCCCAACTCTCTTGGTTGATCTTGATTGGAACAATTTATAGTCAAAATTTGGATTTTGGGAGTCTTGTGTTAAGAATTATTATTTGTTTTTCTTACTAACATTCTTTCCCAATAAAAACGAGAATATAAAGCTTACAAGCAATTTGGAGATGACGAAGGAAGAAAGGTAATAAATTTATATTTTCTTACAACTTCATTTTATATTAAATATTTTTTAATATTTTCAAGATAATGAATATATTTATTCTTTTATTTAATTATATAGAGAGGATTAACAAGAAAATATTAAAGGAGAACGAAACATACAGTAGCTACGATTATTACTACTAGTTTATAACAATATTGACATAACATGCTATTTCTGAACCATATATATAGATATTAGAGGTATAAACATGTAGAGTCACCGCCTCCAGGTGGGGATACTTTGGTGTGGTCTGTTCCCGATATCACTATTTTATTGATTTTTCACTATTGTTCTGCCTTTCTCACCACTCTAATAGACCTTCTCACACTGCACATTCTGATAGAAATTTACGCTCTATTCCACTCCTATTCTCCTTTTTCTTTCCCATCCCTCAGTTCATCTGCTAATATTTCTCTCAGTTTTTTCAGTTACCCACTAAATACTTTTCCATCCTTTTTCCTTTTCCCCCCTCACCTCTGATCTTAACCTTTACGTACTTCTCTTCCCCCTCTTTCGATTTTGCAAGGTGAAATAATTCACCCACAAATGGAGGACACTATTGAACAGGAGATGATGACGATGATGACGCAGCTTCCTGAATTTTCAGCAGCTTACGGTGACATAAACACCTCGGAAATTCTTCCACCTCCGGAGGAGTTCTACTGTAATAATATACGCAGCACCATGCCACTAGCAGATTTAATTGATAACCCTCCTAGTTCCATGCCTTGGCCCTCATTCACACACTTACCATCTACATCCAACGCAATCTCTTTTAACCCTACCCCAATAGCGCTTCAAGAACAAGGTCAAGAACAAACCCCAAGAAACGAAGATAAGCGAAACTCGATGGCGGCGATGAGGGAGATGATATTCAGGATTGCAGCCATGCAGCCAATACACATAGACCCAGAGTCGGTGAAACCACCGAAGCGAAGGAACGTGAAGATTTCAAAGGACCCTCAGAGCGTTGCGGCAAGGCACCGCAGAGAGAGAATCAGCGAGAGAATAAGGATACTGCAGAGATTGGTCCCTGGAGGGACTAAGATGGACACTGCGTCTATGTTAGATGAAGCTATTCATTACGTTAAGTTTCTCAAAACCCAGGTTCAGTCTCTCGAACGAGCTTCCGTTAACAACACTAGCCTACTTGCTGCTAATTCGGGAATAGGGTTCCCTGTTGCTATGTCTACTAGGACTCCTCCCACGGCCACCCCTTATTTTCCTCCACCTAAACCTTACCAACCTCGGAATGTTGAGCGTTATGGAGATGCATGATAGATATGAAATTATTAAGGTTTAGAATGAACCATTAGCTAATTAATCAAATAAATAGTACTCTTATATTTTTAAGGTTTAGTTTGTCTGGATTCTGTGTTGGTACCAATAAATATTGTATGGTGTTCGTCATGCATGCGAGCTCATTAACCTGCCCCTGTGGCCTGTTCATCTCAATTCAGGCTTCTAGATTTTGAAATCCAGTTGTAGTAATTTGCCATCAATAATAAAAAAACATTATGGCAAGAAATATTCCCAACCCAATTGGTGTTAGGATCCAATATCTAATGTTAATTTCCCCTTCCTCTTTGTAAAGCGTGAATTTTTATTCTGCAGTTTCTTAAGCGCAATAAAACTCGGCCAAGTTGTATAATTTACAAACTCATTGTTTATAATTTAATTAACTAACTCTAAAAAATGCATATTTATTTTAATGAGGTAATTATAAAAATTTTCTCTAATTTCTTGTGTGAGCAAATGTATACGGTAGACCGAAAAAAAACTGAAGACAGAGGAAGAGGGTACAGCTCCAACAGCAACATGTAGATATCAATTAATTTGATTTGTTAAATAAAGTGAGGGATAATTTTTTATTATGTTATAGATTGGTACATTTAAGACCAAATTTTACTTAAAAATGAATTTAATGACACAGAGAATTAGAATTCCACGTGTTATATTTTGATTAGCTTGGAGGAGAGGGAGCAATGGGAGTTGGCAAGGAAATATTAAGCTGCTGCGGTTTGGGACACCTGTACGGCCATAATGGGAGGGTGGGTGGTCTGGGTTTCCGAGGCTGAAAAGTTGAAGACGACAAATGGTTGACACGGTGGATATAGTTGTAAAAGAGAATAATGCCAGCTGTAAGATGTAGCAGTGTTAGTGCTGATTACAATTCAAAATATTAGTCAAATAACTATTAAATATTTTTTATTAAAATAATATTCTCATCCTACACCCGCACAAATTTTATTTATGTTCTAATAATTTACATTTTGTTGAATTAAGTGAATATGTGTTTTATATTTTGATTTGCTTTAAAAAGAAAATGATAGGGAAACCCGAATGCGCAGCAGCGAAAGTGTGAATGCGAGGTGTCTGTGCATAGAGTTGTGTGTGAGAATAGAGAGGATGCATGAGAAATCCACGTGATATTCTGACACGATTGCGGTGGTTGCGTTTACGATCCGACACGGTCATGACGTCGTTCCACGTCATCTCCCTGACACGTGATCTCCATCTTCTTGGTCAACTACTGCATCTCACGTGGTTTATCCACGTCGGAAATTCGAAAATGAAGTTGGTTTAATAGAGCAGATAAATATAGTATTTTTTGGACGTGTTTTGAATTCCAACCTCTTTTATTTCTTCATTTTGTGCACTACTTTTTCATTCTAAAAATAAATTATATAAAACAATGCTATTTTATTTATCTTTTTATCACAAAAAATATTTTTATGTTAATTATTACTCCTTTTTGTGACACATTAAAATATGATTTATATTCTTATTTGTTTTGCAATTATATTTATTTTTGTAATAGAACGTTTATATCTTTTTCATTATAACTATAATAGTTTTTACAGCATCACTCCTCTATTTTTCTTAATAAATATAAAGATAAGGATATAATTGAAAAAAATATTACTTAATAGTGAAATAAAAAGATAGCAGAGTGTGCATGTGGCCTTCTTGCCGCGAAGCCAACATCCTTCATCTTGTAATGTTTGGTTCTCCTGATGGGAAGCCAAGTTGTCTGTAATTCAAGGGCATAAAGTGTAAATCCTTCCCCTCACTCAGACATCTCTTCAATTAAATATCCAAAATATCACGTGAAATTAACTCAAAAACATCTCTGTAGCCTGTTGCATTAGATTTCTTGGAGACAATCTCATTTGACCCCATAGTAAGACTCATTTTTTGCTTCTATCTTTTCCCTGTATGAAACAAGTTTTATATATATAAGGAAATGGCCAAACCGAAAGTAAATGATAATAAACAATGTATAAAATATAGTTATCGCTGAGTAGGATTGGATTCTGTAGCGTATCTTGGTTAGAAGGACATGACACATTGACACAATCTAATCTTTTGGTTCAATGTTCATATTCTTGATTTGTTCCCGTCGAATATATGAAACGTGTTATAGACGCCCCTAAAACGTTCATCCAATTTCTTTCTCTAGATTGGCGAGGATGAAGGTTCAACGTTCAGCGACAATTTTAAGGTCTGGAAGAAAATACGTGTGGTGAAAAGAAAGTGTACAAAACATGTTCACGTTCTTAGTTCTTTGATAAGGGGTTGACATGAGTCAATAATGAAACTTGAAAAACTAATTATTAAACAGAAAGGTTAATAAAATTAACTATTGAAGACAAGAACATCATTAATTTTTAATCTAAAAGTAGTACGGTTTTAAAAGTTAAAAGATAAAATAATGAATTATTAAAAAATAATAGGGGAAAAAATAAAAAATTTACTTTCAAGTTATAACTAATACTTTAAAAAATACTAATAATTTTAGCTACAATAGTTATTTCGGGTGGGGAATGAGGATAGGACCATACATGTCGGTTGCCTGCAGCAATGGGAGTAAGCGGCTGCTCAATCTATCTATGAAAATAGAAATTCCTGAAATAGGCAGTCAGTGTGGTTTTAGCCCATACCATCAAAAGGTAATTGAAAATAAAAGCCCGTCATAGGGCAGCATCCGAAGGCTTCTGGATTCGAAACAGAAATTTTTATAGCCCAAACTTTCTTTTCTCTTTTTCTCATAAAATAATAATATATTTTGCAAGGCAAACAAAGTAGCTTCTACTTTATTTGACTAGTTTTAAGGTAATAATCAAGGTATCCTCAAATCGTATAGTTAGTTTTCAGCTTTCAAATTCTAGGTTTCATCTAATTTTCAACTCATTTATCCACTAGTTTTACTAAACACGTCTTAAATTGCATTTGGTCAATTCACACAACAGGGCCAAATGATACTTAGTGGTACTTTATTGATAACCACAAAGTACTAAAAATTTATTTCAAATTAAAATTTAAAAATAATTAGGAAACTATTGATTGGTGAAAAAAGAAGGGAACAAGAGAACGGTCAAAATTAACACTTCAACAATTACCAAAGGCAGATATACAAAATGTGAATGAATTCTGTACTCCAATGTAAACAGCTCATTCATCCAGGTTGTAGAGGAGTAGCCAACAAGAATTACGTCTCCAGTTCCCCTTGCGGACAATACCAAATATCTTAATCGCAGTTACTAAAATCGGGAAAGTCTCCCTATGACCTTATCCAATTTGTAGTGGACAGGAGTAAGTATGGAGAGATGGTTGGTTTCCGAATTACACAAAATTTCAAAACCAAGTAATGCCATGCCACATTACCAGAAAGGAATACTTTAACAGATTTCGCTTCCGTGACTCTTAACCTCAACATTATTGAATAATTAGTTTAACATGTTTGCTGGACACCAACGAAGTAATTATCAGTTGGACGTGATTATAAAATTCTGTACCCCATATATGCTCATCTTTGTTTCCTTCCATAAGTCATGACCAATGGCAAGAACCGAATATTCTAGTTTATGCAACCCGTATAACAAAGTAATAACTCGAGCAAATACAAGCAGCAGTAAATGCATACCACAAACGGAAATTGGTATCAGTAAGGAAAAATTAGCAAGAATTAGAAAATAATAAAATATATGAAAGGAAGGGGGGAAAATGGTGGGTGCAAACCTTAAGCATAAAAAGATATTGTGGTTACTTTTATAGCTCTATAGATAGATTACATTTTAAGTTTTGAACAGCATACTGTCATGTAGGGAGAAAAGATACAAAAAGATTTTATTTCTAAAATTCGGCCTACTTACACATATTTTTACCCGTTGAAAATCCCAATCTCCAAGGGTGACGGAACATGATGCTTAGATTTCATCTGAGACCCGCAAAGAAGGTCCCGGTACTTCATGGATTGAAAAACAGCGTCAACACCAATTTACTGTCAACACAGTATGCTGCTTGTGGTTCTGCCCTTTCCTTCATCAACATGGGGTGTGGCACATTTAAATTCTTCTGAAACTTGGTCAGGGACACAAGTCTTTATCAAAATGCACAAGGATGAACAAGGATGTTATTCCTGCAAATTTTCCTGGCAAGTAGCAACATAGTAAACTTGACCCTTTCAAAATTCTCGGAAAGAGCTAGAGCTGGAATGTTAGAGAAGGAAGAATGAGCATGTCTATTTCTAAAAACACGATTAATAACTGAAAAGATTGCTGTATGACTAGCAATCGAACATTTTCACTTATCATAAATCTTAATTACAGTAACGAAAATCAGAACTTCCTAAATTCCAAAAATAAGTAGAAAATTGTGTGGGAGAGCATGCGACTTTATGAGCTTTAAAAGCCAAATCCAAAACTTACCAGAGGTTATTTCTAATGAAGGACAAGGGGTACCAAGAAACTTACCCGGCACCATTCAAACTTGAAAGATTACTTAGAAGGCATGGCAAGTGAAACAACCGCTTAAAGAAGGCATCTGGCTGGTTTTGAGAAATGATGAAGCCTTGTGGGAAGTCCTCACAACCCCATTGGTTTGGTTGGGAGAAACTGAAGTTCTCATTTCCTCAGCTTTTTTCTGGGCCAATCTAAGCTTGTTCATAATCTTGTCCATAGAGGATGCTCGCCTCTTTTCCAATTTCATCTGAAATAGAAAAAAGTAATAATCACGATCATGATCCATTAGTTTCTGCTCCATCTCCACTTTTAGTCTTCTCTTTAGTTTTGAATAAATTGACAGTAATATGATCTGCATAATGTTTGATTTGTACATCATAATGAAAAACACAAAACTTAGATACAATAAAATAGGTACTGTTGATACTATTTTTTAATCAAAATCGACATTTCATCTCAATAACATTGCCTCAGTCTCGGTAACTTAAATCCACAGCAGTTACTAAGATAAAATGTCAGTTTTGAATGGATAATAGCACCATCATTAATAGCCATACAATATCCAAGTTTTGTCCAACAAAAAAGACTCTCTTTCCACATTTAAGATAATCTCACAGATATACAGCTGAGGATGACCAAAATGAAAATGAGTGACAAGGGAAATATTTCAGCAACTCGAATTGAAGAAAAAGAAAGAAGAGCGAATTTCAAAAACAAAAGTCCTCAATGAAAATAGTTACCATGAAGGGACAATAGCCACTCAAATTATTGAAATGGTTATTTCTCTACACGGTTAATATTTTTAACAAGTTCCTGGTTTGGAATTCTCCAAATAAAGTAACTACTGGGAAGTAACCTCTAGTTTCCGTATTGCTGCCTCAGCTTTTGCCTTTTGCAAGTTCTCCCAAGCAGTGATTTTGGCTTCCTCACTTTTTGCCCTGGACACACAAAAGTATCTGGCACTTTAGAAACAATATGAAGTTTGGGCAAAGATTTCTACGTCAGCAAACTATAATCTTCCTCAGAGATAAAAATGATCATGTCAGGTCTAGTCATGAATACGATTGAAGTATAAGTAAAATATTTGACTTCAAAGAGAAAGCGTCATTACTTAGGACAAATCCTTGATATCATCTCATTAGTTTCAGATTTTCAATGCAAAGTTGTCCTGAATCAGTATCTCCTTAGTTTACCAGTTAAATTGAATAGAATTGACACAAAGTCAAAGTAGACATACTTGGAAACAGTTTTTGACGTTTCAGAAATGTCCCAAGCTGAAGATTGAGTGCTTATTTCCTTCTTTTTCCAGCTTTCAGCATATTCTAAGCCCCTGCCAGAGAATAGAGCTCTATGTTTCTTGGACCATCTTGTCAAGGTTACGTGTTCATCTACCTGCACATCCCTGATATCCACTTTAGAGGAAGCAACAGTCCGCAATTCCACGACAGGCAATGTAGATGGAGTGGAGGCAGAGAAAGAAGGCCTCAAATCGGGAGAGGAGCGTGAGCTACCCTGTGGACTCATCTGGGTTGCCATGTCCCTTCTTGAAACAGCACGAGAAACATTGGTGCCCACATCCTTGAAGCCACCAAACTTATCCTCTGTGAGTTAGAACGAAAAAGAATACAAGATCGGACTCAGATGAATAGAAGCATTTAAACATAATTTCTTAATCATATAAGCAGACCATTATCTATTCTTGGGATGACACCATAACACATAAAAAGGTTTATAACCTCACTTAATTTCAACTATCAGCCAATCATTAGTGTCTAAATAAAATCATCTGTTCCATCCATACAACCTTGTAACAAGGGCCAAATACACAACCACGGTACGTATAGTCTGCAAAATACAATAAGGTTAATTGAAAACTTAAGCTGTTCGAATTCATTTAAATTTCCCCCTAGCCAATCCCTTTGGGTCACCCTCTCAACATGTGATCTTTCAAAAACAAGTTCGCATAGATGAACAGGTCATAGAGGAATATGTTGAAATTGGATATCATGGAAATCTAAAGGAAGTCTAGGACCAAACAATGGACGCGAAAATAATAATAACCTTGGGGGGGCACTGATGATGACTGACTCTGCATCTTTGAGCATCCGTGGACACTAGCTGAGCGGGCCATGCAAGGTTCTGTTCTGTTGGAAAAATCTCCACCATGACCACCCGAACGGTTTGTCAATCCATCAGCTGAAAACGGAGAAGCTACCATAAAACTCCCTCCATTCCCTTCAAACACCGGTGCCACTGGGGAATACATAGAGTGGTAGGCAACACCGGGGGGTCCAAGAGGACCACTCTTGGACTTTGGCTTCCTCTGGGGTTGGTGAAGCGAAGCCCTTCCTATGCCATCTCCTGAAACAGGGCTGAGAATCCATCTCTCAGCATCTTCCCACTTGGAAGGCAATGCTCTTCCGTTGGTGAATGGCAAAACGTGCTTCCGGGTACCACTAGCATGCAAGGGGACTCTCTCGGAGCTCCATCCCTTTTGCATTGCAACGCGATAATTGGGTGTTCCGGGACTGGGGAAAGTAGCAGTGCCACACCTTTGAGAAGAAAGTGAGCTCTTTTTCACAGCTTGAAAGCGCGGCGAAGATCCAGAGGCAGTGTTCAGATCTAACGAAGCAACCTTCTTCAACAAGGCTTCAGATCTTAATTTCCTATCTTGACATTCTTTGTGGACAACGAAAAAGCGGTAAATACAATGGGATTAAAAATTAAATAGTAAAAGTAGTGGTGATGATGGTACCTTTTAGGGCTAGAGAGAAAGAGCTTCTCGCTGAATCCAATTCCACGGGTTCTTGAACATCAACGTCGCTGTCTTCATCTACAGGGTCAATTTTTGAAATTACGAGTCGAGCTTGTAACCTTTATAAAAAAAAAACAAAAGAGAAAATGAGGTGTACCTTTTGCCTTCTCTCTCTTTCTGCCAAAACGACTGTGTTTCTTCTTGTTGCGTTCTGCAGCTTCGTTCCGATTTGAACCTGGACCACTCCACCTCTCGTTGTTACCAAAATCACCCTCACGCCCTGCCAAATGCTGCTGCAACAAATTCCATAACTGTTTAGTAAACCATACAGCAACCTCCAATGAATCATTCCTAAACAGTACTCGATTACGAACCAGGGAGATTTCAGAGGCGAAAGAATCATGCTCGTGAGAGTCTGACGCAAACGAGCATCGATCAACGCTCGCAGACGCAGAGGAGAAGAGGCTGAGATTTGATTCAAGAGTGAAGACGACGGAATCGGGACTGCTATCGCGAGCCCTTAGCCCCATTCTCCACGAGCTTCGTTCTGGAAACCCTAACTCCGCCATTGTCAAACTCACTAGCTTATGTTCCTCACATTGACATAAATCAGAATGGGTGCAGTGAAGTAGACGAGATTGGATTTAGTCATTAAGAAGAAGACAGTGACAAAAACATTAACGATTTGGCGGTTACTATCTCTAATCACTTTATGGCCAATGCTAAACAACCATTACAACTACAACAATAGAGTATGGACCATAGAAAAGGACAAGTACTCGATGGTTTTTAAAAAAACTGAAGAAAGAAAGGTCTACGACTATAGGATACCTACGCTGTGTCACAGATTATTAATTGCTGGGAATTTTAAAATGAAAATAAAAATAATTGTTACAGATTTGAATGTGGATTTGATTGGTTACGGAAAGAGCATAGCACCTGAGTGAGAGTACGCCTCTGTCGGAGTAGTGTGTCGTGTGGAGGGTGGAATGGAATTGCATTTGCTGCTCGATAATAACCAGTACGGACCAGGTACCACCCTCCCGCCAAAATTCCTTTTTTTTTATATTTATTTATAGATTTATAAATTAACATATATATAAATTTTAAAATAATATTTTTTAATTATATATCAGTTTTATTATGTGTTCTTTAAATCATGTTAAAAAATATATTTGAAAAATGAAGTCTGTGTTCCCATTGACATACTTCGCATATAGCATTGCTGCGGGAGTGGCACATGTGCCGCCCGAGTCCCACTCTGACTTTGTTTTATAAATTTTGAATTCAGCTTTGTCATATTTACAACCTTTTGTCATGTTTGAAAGACAAAAAAGAGAAAGGGAAGAAAAAAATTTAAAATCTGAAACGAAGAAAAATTCTTGTTTTTTATATTCTTAATTCTCATTTTATTAAACAGTTAAATTTTAAAAAAATTTCTTCCTCTCTTCCAAAAAAATGATATTGATTTTACATTGACTTTTATTAGAAAGATAGATGCACCTTAGAGAGCTGCTCCAGAGTAAATTTACGTTAACCGTTTTTTCCACAAATGTTTATCGGAAAAAGAGACCCCAGTTGTTGTCGGTGCATGGCCCACGGGAGAGTAAAACGTTCATCTAAGGGAATAAATTGAGGGAGATACAATGGGAGTTTGCATGTACGCTAGAGTAAAGGTTATAAGTGAAATGGGAGTTAGAATGAGTTTATTTCTATTCTTGTTCAATTCAAAATTTTGATAAATTCATCTTTTGTTTAGTCTCTATTTGATTTGATTAAAACTAGATAATATTAAAAATAAACTAATTTGATTTACAAACAAAATATATAAATTTTAACATTATGCATAACTAAGTTATAGAATTAATAAAGCATTCAATCAAGATATATTTTTTAGTATGTAATTTTGAATAAATAACACAAATATAATATCATATATGAAATATTATCTATAATAAAATTAAATTCTTATTATCAACATATAATTTCTTTAAAAATTTAACTTTTATTTGTTAATGGCATTGGATTAAGTTAAGCTGACTCAAACTATAATTTCACTTGTCTTCAAAACATACCAGGTCTAATTTGAAATAATTTAATCCATCAAAATTAACATAGTACAAGATGGGTCAACGAGAGAAAAGGTCTGATATACCTCTATGTCAGTTATTAAGTTTATGTTAAAAAAGATCTACATGGTTTTTTAAATAAAATAAAATTTTCTTCAAATTTTAAGTTTTGTTAAAAACCCGTTATTATATGTACTTTATTGTAATTTTTTTTAGGTTTTTAAAACGAATTAAAAATCATTAAAGAAGATAACTTAGATGGACATTGTGTGATTTCTCAATATATTCATTAATTTTTTTTAAAAATAGGTATTAAATTTATTTATGTTAACATTAAATCTTAAATTTAAACATTTAGACGATTTAATAATTCGCCATTTAATATATTTTTTTAATTTAACCATTTATTTAAAATTTGTTACTAAATCTAAAAACGTTATAAATTTATACATTAAAACTTTTCATTACATTTCTTTAATTTAACGTGGGTGTGTCATTAAAATACAAATAAATATTAACTTTTAAATAACATATTTATAAATTTTTAAATTAAATAAAATTTGATATATATAATTAAAAAAATTATAATTTGATGATTGCAGTAATAAATTTTATTATGTATAGAAATTTATTAAGTGAAGTAAATTAGGAAAGTCTTATTTTTAGAATAACTTTTTTTTTAAGATTCAAGCAAATATTTATTTTTAAAATTTAAAAAAATTGTTTAAATTTATGTTAAGTTTGAGCGATAGAAATAATATTTGCATAATATTAGAAATTGATTTAAAAAATAAAAGTTAACAATCAAGAAGGATTGTTTTAAAATGTATTTTACCATTATAAAATTAATTATCAAAATTGTTACTCTGATTTTGAAAAAGTGGTTATAATTAAAAATTTTAAATTTAACTAAATTTCAAAACTCAAAATTCATTTCAGATTTCATTAGTAAAATAAGTATTAAAAAGTTCTTTAATTAATGTAATGCGTGCTTGATTTAGTTTAAACTAAAAATAATAATAAAATATTTTCAATATTTTACATTTCGTAAAATTAAAAAAATAAACGACCTAGAATTGTAATCTGCAACTGCACTGTGCTTCCACACCACTCCACTCTCCACCGTTCTCCCACCATTGCAATCCACTTTTGAAAATTTACAAACCAAAACACTTAAAATTCCTTTCCTATTAAAAACGTATACATTATTAAGGATTTAGGGAAACAATAGTTACAAATTTGTTGTTGGTTCCTCAGAAACAGAGAAGAGAGAAAAATCAATGGAAGACGGTGAGATAGAAGAGGGATCAGTGGGTGGGGCAGAGGAAGATGAACAAGGCTTCGCTCACTCCTCAGACAATTCCGAGGAATCACCCTATCAAACATTGCATAACAGCAAAGCTTCCGTTGAGAACATCGTAGCTGAGATTCTCTCCATCAAGAAAGAGGGTAAACCCAAACACCTCCTTCGAGACCTCGTTACTCAGATGTTCCTACACTTCATCACTCTCCGCCAGGTCCTCTATACCCCACTCATTCGTTCCCCATTTTCTAGGGTTTTTTACTCACTTCATTTATTTTCAGGCGAATCGCGCTATCTTGCTCGAGGAAGACCGCGTCAAATCCGAAACCGAACGCGCCAAGCCACCGGTGGATTTCACGACCTTGCAGCTTCATAACCTCATGTACGAGAAAAGCCACTATGTCAAAGCGATTAAGGCCTGCAAGGACTTCAAGTCTAAATATCCTGACATTGATCTCGTTCCTGAGGAAGAGTTTCTCTGCAACGCTCCCCTAGATATCAAGGACTCTGTTCTGTCCAACGACACTGCTCACAATTTCATGCTCAAGAGGCTCAATTTTGAGCTGTTCCAGGTGACATCATCGTGTGGTCTTGCAAATATCCTAAACTAGCGTATTTAACGTTTTGCAATTGCGATTAGGTTGATTGATGAAATGAATTATCAAAGAGAAAGAAGATTGCATTATGATTATATATTTTCATTATATTGGATTTTAGCAAAGTGAAAAAAAATGTATATTCTCTTCATAAAGGGTGCTTCTGCCCTATAAGCTAGAAGTTGCTGCTCTTATTGTAAAATAGGATTGTACAACAATCACAAGGAGGCTTTTGTTGTTTCATCTCTATGTTTTCTTCGACATGCATAAATTTGGTTCTATATGGAACCCTGTATGTTATGCTTGCCTGTTAAATGACTATTATTTATCTCTATGTTGTGCGTAAGTGTTAAATTTTTCTTCTGATTTTGTATCAGCGCAAAGAGCTCTGTAAACATCATGCGAAACTGGAACAACAAAAGAAAATCCTTTTGGAGACTATTGCCAACCGAAAGAAGTTCCTGACAAGTCTCCCTTCACATCTCAAGTCTCTCAAGAAAGTCTCCCTGCCTGTACAAAATCAACTAGGGCTTCTGCATACGAAGAGACTAAAGCAACATCATTCGGCAGAGTTGCTTCCTCCAGCTCTGTACGTGATTTACTCACAGCTGTTGGCTCAAAAGGAGGCCTTTGGAGAACCCATTGATCTGGAGATTATAGGGAGCCTGAAAGATGCTCAAGCTTTTGCTCGTCAAAGAGCTCACAAGGACCCTGGTAATTGGGAGTTGATACGTGAATTTTAGCATTATATCGACAGAATCTATTTTATCAGTACAATAGCAGCTGCCGGCATATCTCAACTGACACTGGATCATATTATCATTTTTATGATTCAACTTTAAAACAGACCTTCACTCCAATGATATTGTTCAGGGCATTGTTTCAACTTGAAATTTTTTTATTATTTTAGTATTAACTATATGATAACAAGTAAAGGAAAGGAAGCTTATTACCAGTATTAGCATTGAAATACTGCCATGAATGTCATGCTTATTATTGGTCTTCAATTCATGCTTCCTTATCTTAATTAAATGGATGATTAAATGTTGCAATATTTCTATGCTTGTACCTGACATTTGAATATTTAATAACAAATCCTCAAATTGGTTTCTGTTATTTTTGCTGAACCAAAATAAAAAAATTTAAGGATTTACTATGATGTGGTTTTCATACTCAGACATTTCCACTGCCATGGAGAGTTCCAAAGTGGAAGATGATGTTCCTGATGAAGAAGAAGATGGTCAAAGACGGAGAAAAAGGCCAAGGAGGGTTCAAGTCAAGGAGAGCCCTGACCAGGGGGGAATATTTCAAGTTCACCCACTTAAAATCATTATGCACTTGTATGAAGATGAGGCTTCTGGTCCCAAATCTGCCAAACTCATTACTCTTAGGTTTGAGTACTCGGTGAAGTTGAATGTTGTATGTGTTGGAATCGAAGGATCTAATGATGGTCCCGAGAGTGACATCTTATGCAATTTATTCCCCAATGATACAGGACTTGAGCTTCCTCACCAGGTTTTGGTGTCTTCTTTACACAGTTCTTGGCACATTCTTTTTTCTTTCCACATCTTTCATTTATTCTCCAACTTATTATGCATATGCCATTTCTCTCTCTTTGAATGGTATTGCAGTCCGCAAAGCTCTTTGTTCAGGATGCTATGACATTCAATACTCAGAGAACTTCACGTCCTTACAAATGGGCTCAGCACCTGGCAGGGATTGATTTCTTGCCTGAGTTATCTCCCTTGCTTCTTACTGACAATAGTGGAGAAGTCAAGAATGAAAATGTTATATCCGGTCTTTCACTATATCGGCAGCAGAACCGAGTGCAGACTGTTCTCCAGAGAATTCGTGCAAGAAGAAAAGCTCAAATAGCTCTTCTGTGAGTCACTGCTCTAGTATGTTTAATTTTAGAATGTGAAGGACCTTATATTCAATGAAGAAAAATACCATAATTTGATCAACTAAAAGTTTGTTATTGGGCCTTGCTTTGAGTGTGTTGTTGTTATTGAAATCTTAGTATTGTTTCTTTGTTTGCCTCCCCGTTGAAATTCTTGTAGTGTGTATCCTGCATTTAGTAAGATTCCATTGTGTTTTGAAGATCTCTAGTTATCTTGCTTATCAATGTGGTTGGACACACTTTGGTTAAAATTTGTGGAATTCTTTCACTGGTTTACAGGGAACAACTAGAATCTCTTAAAAAGCTTGAGTGGCCTTGTCTGTCTTGCAAAAGTGTTCCATGGGCTTTGCACACTCCTTTGTGCAATTTGGATAGTTGGTCACCAATAAGAGTTCCATCTGTCGCTAGAGAGTCCTCATGTCCTGCTGTCATAGATACAGAGGAGCATGTTCAGGAACCAATGGATGTTGATGTAAATGAACGTTCTGGTGCCACAAAAGAGGAACCAGAGAGTATAACAGAAGATGGGGAGCTTCCAACTTTACTTCCTAACATGTCAAAGCTTGACCACTCCAAGCAACTGAACTTAATTTCTAAAAGTATCATTCCTCCACTCAATAAAATCAGGTCACGGAGTTTCAAAAAATTTGATGACATTTCTGATTTCTTGCTGGATACTGAAAGTGATCTTGATGAGCCAGCACAGATTGAACAAGAACATGAAAATATAGTATCCAATTTCTGTGCCAGAAAGTCTGTATCATGGATGGAAAATGGGCTCAAGGAATTTTGCCTTGTTCTTTGTAGAAAAATCAGTGCAGATGAAAGGAGTGTGAATTTAGAAGCTAAGGTATAGAAAACCCTCTGTTTATCTACTCAATTGAATTCAATGAGCTGTTGGCATTTTCATTTAGTTTTTATTTTTTATTTTTTGACAGATCAAGATCAGTATGGAATATCCTCTAAGGCCTCCTCTTTTTACATTGAGTCTTTGCTGTTTATCTTCTGGGGAACACCATGATCATGATGAGATTAATGGATTGGAGTGGTACAATGAACTACGGGCAATGGAAGCGGAGGTGAGTAACTGATTGCTCAAGATGTTACTGCAGTAAAATCATTAGATAGTATCTTGTGGATTCGTGCTTCAAGGAATTGGAATCGTGGGACAGTAAGACATAGCAATAATTTAGCTTCTTAGAATCACACATTGCTAAATGTTTTTGATAGAACCCCAAAAAAAAGTTCAAAAGAGGAGAAAAACTCCTAATGTCTCTGTAGTTCAGCATCATCCAATTGTTAACTATATCTTGATTTTTCTCTCCTACTCATGGTGCCTATTATTTTTCCCTTTCAAAATTGTAGGTCAATTTACACATACTAAAGACGCTACCTGTCAATCAACAAAATTACGTATTGGCTCATCAAGTGAGTTGCCTTGCAATGTTGTTCGACTACTATTTGGATGATGCATCCCCATCAGCTGAAAGGATAAATTGTACGTCAGTGGTTGATGTTGGCTTATGCAAGCCTGTTAGTGGTAGATTCCTGGGTAGATCATTTAGAGGAAGGGATCGCAGGAAGATGATCTCCTGGAAAGATATGAAATTCAATTCCAACTGTCACTAATAGTGGTTGGTTCCTGTCTGGATCTTTTAGACGGAAGGATCACAATAATGATCTATGTGAAGACCTCCAAATTGTCCCAAGTAGTAATATTCAGCTCTGGAGGTGACAAATGGATGTTATGGAATATGATGCTCATCTTTACTGTTGCAAGGATAAGGACATTGTAACTCTAGGGTGCACTCGGACAACCATGGAACGTCATTGTTTTTTTTTACTTTATAACCTAAAAACTGGCTGAGATACTCTGGGGGATTTGAAGGTTTCATTTCAGCCATTGATTATTTGTTATGATTTATTTTCTAGCAAATGATGCTACTGGGGTTTCAGTTTAGGAGCTGGCATCATGGGTAGAATTCTAAGGATTGTACTTTGCTGAGGTCTTCTGGATAATGGCCAAAGTATTTTAGTATTTTCTTTTATCAGTTATACTGGATTCTTTCCATTCTGAATCTGTCATTCCCTAGCAAAGACGAAGTGTTTTTCCTATAACTGGATTTTTTTAAGAATAATTCTAGTCGATTGCGTTGAACCACGGGGTCGGGGAGATAATTTTTATTCGATTAATTTATGTTGATTGCTTTCAAATATAACTTGCATGTAATGAGGATCAAAATATACAATTTACAAAATATACTCATTAAATATATATTTTTTAAAATAAGGATAAAAATATTAACACTAGTAATAATAGCCTTATTTTATCTTTGACTACCTTCAGACGTGCATTTTACAAATTTCATGGACTGTTGGCACTATCACAGTAAAACAACTGCTAAAGCTGATCTCTCCAACGTATTTTCCCTTGCAAGTTTTGTTCCCACAATCCTGATTTTAAAATATTTATAAAATGTATTTTGAATTGAAGAGATATAAAAGACATTTAGTTTGTTTATCAATTGGTCAAATTAAGCTTTACATCAAAATTTTACTCTAATAATTAACAAAATATTCATATAACATTATTAATTTGTATAAATTAGTATCGGAAACTTAACAATTTTCCAGTGCTTGTTGAAGATATAATATAGATTAGTGGAACGCGTATCGATGGAAATGACAAAATGGGAGGTATAATAACTCCCAAGGCACTGGACTAAACTATTCGGAGTGAATGAACGACCCACAAAAATAAAAAAAAAAGGAGTCGTGAATGAAGAGGAGTGCGTATATGAGACATACAAAACTAGTCTCACCTAATCAAATTCAGCGAAAGCGCTACTGCACAAGATTGTCTAACCAATGGTGGCATGAAATTGGACGTGTGCTGAAACATATTCTCATGATACTGTGCATACCCTCCCTAACTACATGGTGTTCAAAAGAGAAGAGTAAGACATAAGTTTTCAAATGCTAATCTAAAAACTACACGAGCCTCAAATCTACAGCAGAATACGTTTTCATATTTATATACATATATTTTAACGGAGCAATCATACTCCAATCTTCACTCTACCATGGACCAGTTTGTGTTCGTCTTAATCGTCTTCTCTTGACTTCTCGTTGCAAATTCATCATTTCCTTAACCTGCGATATTACCAAATGCCAGGCAATTCAGTACTAAGGTTGCATCAATTTGTAACCGTTCACAGGTATACTTTGATCAGTGATTACGCAATAAGGGGAGCCAAGAGAGAGTGAGTTTCGAAGTTAATCCTAGCATATTACAGAAATATCACAAATTCTGACAGGAAGAACAGAGATGCAATCTAACGCATTACAGGTTTGTAGTAAGGAAGTAACATAAGTACACAACAATGTCCACAACAGAATTTCATGCAAAATCTTTCCTTACGAGAGAAAATAGTCCTAACATATATTGACACAATGACGCAGATACGAAAACATTTATCTAAAAAGAATTTTCCAATATCACATGCTAGTTCATAACCAAGCGTACTGTTCTCACACAAAAGAATTCCAAATTGGATGCCTATCAGGCTAATATGATGAACAATTAGAACTATGTGATAGTTGGATACAGAAATCCAGCAAGGAATATAAAACACAAGTACATGGATGATGCCCACTGTATGTAGGGATTTCTCTTATAAGTTCCAGAAATACTGGGAGCTCTAAGTTCTGGAAATCCCAATAGCCCTCTTTCACAAAGCAGTTACAGTTACAAAGGACAAAAGAAATGTAGCAACCCTGTCACACGTTAGTCCAAAATTTTTTTAGGCATAATAAGAACTGGTCTCTGAACTAATAATTTATATGGTTGAAAATCGATGAGCTTGAAAAGGCACATACATTAACGATGTGTTGCTGTTGTCTAGTTTTCTTTTGTAGCCTTTAAAACATGTCTTATTAACGTTACGTAAAATGATTATTAAATCATTTCAACAGCCATCCAGGAAATGCAATACTGAAGATAAAAATATGTCATGAGGGACAACGGCTCAAAACTAGAGAAAAAGACTACATATAGCCATAATCACGGAAAATACTTATGCTGATAGATATTTAATAAAATAAAAAATAACTAAAATATTTGTTAAATAAATGTTGGCATAATATAAACTAACGGAAGAACCTAAATTAGGTGGTAGCTCAAAGGACGTATATTATTATATCTTCGCTTTGCACCAAGCCGACCTTCTTATTCATCCCACGTTTAACGTGACAAGAATACTAACTCATGCTGATTGACATACTCTGTGTGACCAAATATTGTCTTCACATTGACCTTACCATGATTCAAGATTTATTGACCAATTTAGTCATGAAATGGAGCATAAGGTTATGGATCTTGATCCTAGGAAAAGTAGTTACTTGTTTATAATTAAGGTCAAAACAAATACATGCAATGACTGAAAAAAAGAAACGAGCAAAGATTCCTGTAACAAGGAAACTGAACTAAAAGCCCAACTTACTTGATTTTTCTGAATTTCCATGATTTCTGCCTGCAGTATCCAAATAATTGTCGATTAGGGAAAATTTTAATGTAAGTGAACTTAAGCCATAAATTCATGTACATAAGCGTGCCTGCATCTGTGACACACGGTGATAGCAAAGTTACCTGTTTTTGCTGAAGCTCTTGGTTCTCCTCTTTTAACTTTGCAACTTCTGCTTCCAATTCCATGGTATAAGCCTGAAATAAATAAAAGAATATGTGAGACTTAACTTGCAGCAGATAATACATTTTATAAATTTCCATCTGCACTTCCTTCCCACGCCATGTCCCCACTAAAATCCATTTTATGAGGTAAGATAATACGTATTTACTTGTTACATGTTTTCATGGATTTTATGATGATCCAACTGTTAGTGATGTTCCCCAATCAGCTGTTCCATTGCCTAGTACTAACCCGGAATTTACAACTTCTATCTTGACAGTAAATTCCGAAAATCTTTCACCTTTCATCAAGTCAGATCCCTATCACACTACCATTCTGCTGCATAATCTCTCATTGTATAAAGCATGTTCTCAGAGGATAGAAGCAGTACGTTAGCAACAACATAGCAAATCATCATCATATTCTTTTTATTTTTTAAATGATTGCATATATCATTATTCCCCGTTAATGACCCTCCCCAAGCTCCTTTTAGCCTTTTTATACATAAGCTTCAGGGGGAACACTGTCAACATAAGTTGATTGAATTAAGCGCTATTCTTATGTGACAAGCTTTGCCTTAAATCTTTTTGCTCGAACATGCCCTTGTACAAGATAAAAACAATTGCATCAATCACCGGATGTTCTCATGTTCTAACTAGAGAAATTAAATCTGATTTCATCCAAGCAAGTGCTCACATAAATAAGCAAATGCAACAGAACTGTATGATTGCTAACTATAGCAGAAAAATCTTACACCATAGTAACAAGGCAGTAGAACAAAAATTCACCTGCTTGCGAGCCCGCGATCTAGCAGCTGACTCTCTATTCTTTATCATTCTCCTCTGCCTCCTCTCAATCACCTTCTCCACAGCTCCCCCACTCTTCCTCCCTCGCAGGCCACCATTGAAGACATAAGGAACCGGCGACACGGAAGAAGTATCACCATTGCTCTTCCCAATTTTATCACTGGACATTTGGTTAGCAGCAGGTGACCCAGTAGTAACATGAACCGGTCCAGGTGCCAAACCAACCATACCAATCCCACCACCTTGCACAAGATTCCCATTCAGACCCTGATCAGCAGCAAGCCCCACCATTCCACCCCTTATTCCTTGAGGCATCTGAGCTGCATAAGACATAGCAGTCTGCTTAGGAAATATCTGCTGCTGTTGATGCTGATGCTGATGCTGTGGACTCTGCAGCTGTTGCTGCTGATTGGATGATCTCACCCCATTAACATTCAAAGGCAAATTAGCAGCAGAAGATTGAAGACCCACCAATGGATCATTATTCACAGGCAACCTGTTACCCATCAAACCGGTAACCTTGTTCAATTGCTGGGCCTGAGCCTGAAACCCCAACCCTAAACCACTGTTATTGACAGCACGAGACAGATCAACAAACACAGCATTATTAGGTTTCGCATCATCCCTGGTAACACCAGCTCTCGCCAAGAACTCCTCCAACGTCATCTCTCCCAACGTTGGTTGCCTTTGCGTCTGCGCCAAATTAGGACCTCCCTCGTTCCCATACTCTTTCGAGATATCCTTCCAAACCTCATCCACGGTTTTCTGGCTTAGGGTTCGTGGCAGCGTCAACGACCCTTGCTTCTGCAAATGGCTAACTCCAACGCCGCCGTCTAAGCCAGTGGCACTCCCCGACGCCATTGTCTGAACCTCTTCGGCGCTCCAAATGTTCTTCAGCAACTCGTCCATGTTCATCGATCCGAAGTCCTTCCCCGACCCTCCCATGCTGCTCATGAACTCGTCGAACGTCAACGAGTACACCGACGGTTGCCGCGCCAGGGAGAAGTTCCCCACCGGCCTCCCTCCGCCGCCGTCGCCGCCGGCCGCCTCATTTCCAAAGCTCTTGAAGTTCATTCCTCAAATCTGACGAAGGGAAACACTATCACAACGTGATCCAAATCGCAAATCTCAATTCCTCCCACTTTCAAGTTCAAACTTCGGAACCAAACTTATCAACAATACGGTTCTTATTTCTCTATCTACAAACACACATCCATAGACGATCGATTATGTTACACAGTATTTACATCCGAAATTAACTAAAAAAAAAACTAAGCTGAGCTTATAAGAATCGTCAAGGTAAAAACTAAGAACAGAAAAAAACATTAAAAAAAAAAAAAGTTGAATCTATGGTAAGTGTGGTTATTAAGTTGGAGAGTGCATTTTAAACTTGCATTTTGGTGTGGTAACCTGTTTCATTCTATAGTGGTTTCAAACTGAAATTCCAACTGCGATAGTACTAAGATACCATGTAATAACATCCTAATAATAATATGACTTAAGATCCTAATTAAAATAGCCCTAATTAAAATAGCCCCAATTTCAACGCTAGTACTATCAACGATGATTCATAATAGCTAAAGCTCACAGTTACAAGTTTACAACTAAGTGTGTGTTTATTTAAATGAAAAATAAAAAAGAAGATAAAAGCGGAATAAGAATTGAACAAGGAAGAAGAGAAATCTGAAGAAGGAGGGGTAGAATAGATAGATAGAATGAATTACCTGTGGAATTTGGTATTTATTTTATGATTTAATGAAATTTGGGTATTCCTGATTTGGTATGTTTTTGGTGTCTGATGGAGAGTTGGTTGGCTGCGTTCCTCCTTCCTCGGCTACAAAGGCTTGGTGGTTGCGCCAAGTGTCCAATGTCTGTTCACACTAACACTCCCCTTTTCGTTCTCGCTTTTCAACACCTCTCCCTTGTTTTTTTTAACACCAAATTTATTCTACTATTAGTCCAAAATTAATCTCTTCAATATTAGATTCTCCCTGCTTTTAATTAATTAAACGACTGAATTATCTTTTCATTATACTGACTTTTGTTGGCCGTGCTTTAATAGGTGATAGCTTTTTTAATTATTTTTTTAATATCATAGTAATATTTTTGCTTAGATTTAACTGTTGCGGTTTTTGTAAGAATTATAAAGTTGCATCATATTTTAACTTTTTTTTTAAAAATTAATAAAAACAACGTTTTGTTTTGTTTTACAATTTTGGCTGTTTCCACAAACGCTTCTTCAAAATATATTATTTTATTAAAAAAAAAGTAATCCAACACTTTTGCTGTCCTTCTCGGTTATTGCTTAATATAACGAATTTTTGCTTTATAATTTATTTTTATATATTATAATTATTTCATATAAAAAAATTAAATCTAAAATAACAAGATAACTTCAATTTCCCTCTTTACAATACGTCTCTTGTAGTTCTAAATCTTAGTTTTATTATGATATATGAACACACAATGACTAAAACAGTGTAATTTTAAGTGCCCTTGAAATAATAATTAATAAATAATTTTTATTAAAATAATAATAAAAGTGATACCATCAATGATATATTTTCCATAAAAATCTTAAATCATAAAATAAAAAATATTAACTTTTATAGTAAGATATTTCTAATGTTTGTTCTTGTAACCTCTTTTAATATTTCAACCTCAAATTTTAATAAAAGATTCGTTTACTTATTTTTTGGTAATCAAAATCTACAAACTCTTAAGCAATATGAGCTTACAATTTAATTTTAATTTTTTTAATAAATATTATTAAAATATTTGCTATATTTTTAATTAATATAATTAATATGGGGAGTAATATATTATATTAAGAGAAAGACATAATAATGGAGGGTTGCAGACTGCCGACTTGGAGACGTGTACCAATGAAAAAGGATTGGGAATTGGGTGTGTGTGATGTGACAGTGACACCAACCAATAACATTGTAATTTCTGTGAGAATCTGAGCCGTACACGTTTCTGTTAAAGGTATGGTCAGCATTTCCTGCTTTCTTTTCACAAAACACTGTCCCCTCCATCTAGGTTGAAAAAAAAAAAAAAAAAGTGCGTGAAATAAGACCATGTTTGTTTGGTATCTCAGAAAAAAGAATAATATGCCATAAAAGTAATCAAAGAAGAAAAAAGAGATAGGAAAATGGACACCAACTTACCATGCACAAGAAGTATATTTGTTCACCGATGTGTCAATTTTTTTCATAAATAAATTATAAAAATATTAATATTTCCTTAAATATTCTAAAAAATATATAAAAATATTTTAAAGATACATATAATAGAAGTCAATTTTAATTGACTTTTATTAATCATAAAAATCAATTTAAATTAATTTTTGTATAAAATTTAAAAAGAAAAGATTTTCATTTAAATTAAATTCTGTATAAAAAAATTTAAAACAATTATAAAAAATTTTAAAATTAAAATAAAACTTGACTTAAATCTATTTTTATGTTATTAAATTTTTAAAATTTTAACAAAAGTTGATTAAAATTAACTTTTATTATATGTATTTTTAAAGATACTTACGTAAATTTTTATTTTTAGAATATTTAAGGAATAACTAATATTTTTTAATTTATTTATAAAAAAAGCTGTCATTTAATAAACTATTTATTTAAATCATGTTATAATGAAAGGTCTATTTTGTTCACTAGCAACTTCATAAACTACTTAATTTCTTGTAAAATATTTTCTCTTCTTTAATTTTTTTATCTACTTTAACTCAACTTTGTAAGTGTAGTAAAAAACAAATCTTAATGACTAAATAAAAATTTGAATAACCAATAGATGTTTTGTGTCTTTTATTTGTTATCACATGGTGAAATAGATAAATTTTTATTTAGTTTTGTTAAAAAAAAATACAAATGCGTAAAATAAATACTTGATGTAATTTATAAAGATTTGTTCCTTCTTTCTTACATATTACAATTGAGGAATAGGCCTAAAAGATCGTATCTACCCACTCCTTTCTCTTCCCAAAGTCTTATCCATTGTGTTATTTGATGTAAATTATGCTTTTTTTCTCTTGATAAAATATTGTTGAATATGTGTATATTTGAGAATAAATCATTTAAAAATTATAATTTTTAAAATTTTTCGACATGACTCTTGATGACAAACTATTTTTTAACATATATATATATATATATATATATATATATATATAATATTGATTTTTCAATTATCCATTTAAAGAAAAATAAAAAATATATCTTAAAATTTTCTTCCATTATAATAAAATAAATAAATTTTAAAGTTTTTGCTTTCACTTTTTTTTCATTCTATTCACATAAACAGGATGAGATATTGTGAAGGACATGAGATCTTTATCAGGCTAGGCGACCAAATGCCCGTGTCTCTCAGTTTGATGCACGTGAAAGCTTTTTTGTAATTGGAGTGCTCTAATTGTGGGGTTATTATAGTATGAAGAATAACGATTGTTATAATTAATTTAAAAACTAATCATATATTTTAATTAATTAATAATGTAAAAATATTTATATTAACAGTGTATTAAAATATTTTATACAATAATAAATAAGCATGTAACTCTATATTTTTATATTATACATCATGCGTTGGTCTATTTATAAAATTAATAATATTGGAATCATTTTCTTAATATTTTTAAAAGTTACTTTATTCATATCAATATATTATCGTATACCGCTATGTCATATTTCGTATACAGGTGAAAGGCTTTGAAAATCATGAAATAGTTTAATGAATTTTTGCCCATCGTGTGGTAAAGTTATTTACAAAACACTTTTTAAACTGACATGGAGGATTATACATTTCAAAATTCAACAATTATTTTCTTTCAGTTCATATTTTTTTCTCTTTTGGAATGTTTCAACCCTGAAAATGATGTATGGGTTCTTTTAATATTACGTGTCGAAATAGAATTGTCCATTACCTTTGTGTTAGACTTAGATCCAATCCAAACTTCAGAACAAATTGAAAATGAATTGGAATGGCTAACTATCAACTAGGGCAACGGTTTTAGGCTATCTGGATAGGATAATATCCTGTCCACTAAACATTATGTTTCAATCTTTGGTGAGTGTATCGACACTTTAACCTGTTTATCATCACTTTCATTTGAAACATTGATTAACATAAAAAATATATATTTAATTAAATTAAAACATATTTAAGTAAAATAAATAGTAATAAAAAGTATATAAAAATAATAATAAACACTTCCTTCAAAATTAGTGGAGGATGTTTTCATTTCCGTACATGTTAATCCTGAACAGTCCTGCCTCATTTCTAACGCGTGTCAACTCCTCCCTTATCCAATTTTTTCACATTTCAAAATTCAAACATCATTAACTGAAAAAGAAAAGAAAAGCATGCACGCATTGTCTGATTTACTCATAGGGTTCAATGTAATTAAATAATGATGTTTCTATTTTTACTTTCTTCTGTTAAATAATTAAAAGTTGACTTAGATGGGAAGAGAACAGAGTAATTAAATAAATGAATGAAGAGAAATAAAAAAAATTATTGTAAAAATAAGCTTTTTATATATTCAATATCATTGTTCATTGACCAGCCACGTTGTGCCTTTCTCAATTCAGCAACAGCTTCTGCATGACATTCTAATTTTGTGCGTTGTTCCAAATGCAGTTTAAATATTACCATAAACAAATAAAACAACATTGAAATAATTAAAATAGTATTGCTTTATATTTTTTTATTAATTAACGCGAGTCTATGTTTACACTGGCAACAAACCTTGAATTAGTAACAATGAGATAAGGATTTCCTGATTCATTTAGTCAAACAAGAGAAACAAGTCATCAATAATCTCATCCGCACAAATTTTATATCTATTTCTATGGCTCGTTGCTTCTAAAAAAAGTGGGTTTTAAGATGTTTTTGGTCCTCAAGTCTCAAAATTCCAATTTACACCTCTTTTCTTACATATACAAGAGAATTGAACCAAGTTATTGCTCTCACGAGTACCTTTTAAAAAGTCCACACATGCTACTATTTAAACATTAACATAATTAATAAATAGTGGAGTCTTTAAACATATTAATTAAGGTGCCCAATTTTATAGTGTGCATGAAAAAATTAGTTTATTGGATGATTACGTATCCATTTCAAAAGAATTATTAATTATTTGTTAGATATATTGTAATTAATTACTCTCAATTCTATATAAACTAACTTTTACGTGTCACATTTGTTTCATTCCATTAATTTTCAGTTTTCAGTGTGTACCATGCTAAATTTGGAGTCCAAGCCACAGAGAGATATTTGTACTCTAAAAAAAATTAAGTACTTTGATAATAATAATAATAATAATAATTTGTATTTGATAACGGCATATCATGTCAAGAATTTGTATTTTTATCGTAGTAATACAAGTTTATTAATAAATTCAGAAAATCATTTAATGAATAAAAGTAAATAAAGCTTGTAGTTTTCTTTATTTAAGGAATAACTAAATCTCCCATCTCATCATAGATACATGGGGTTGTTGCATTGACAAGGGGCATATGCAAAAGGACAAGCACCATTGCTATTTCCGCGTGAAAAAGGGCACTAACACCAATCTTTAGCTCAAGTCATGCAGCAGTGGGGTTTACTATGATTAGTACAGGTCTCAAAACTCAAAATTTAGCTTTCAAATAACTTGTCATTCAAACTCAAGGCAGAAAAACGCAAAGATTGCTCCCAACAAGACTACAATGAAATGGAAAAGAAAATTAAAAAGGTACTGTCATAATATTAAATTTGCAGGTTATATCCATCCTGTTTAATTATTTCCACGTATCATCGATATTCATAAATTATAAATGTATTGTAGAAAACACAAATTAAAATTAAAATTTAAGTATTTTTTATTCTCTATAAATTTTTTAAAACATTTAAAAAAATTCATATTATGATTTTATAATAACATGGTATGCATATGATAACGTCACGTCAACAATTATTATAAGATAACAAGTGACATGTCTAAATATAGTTAGATTATAAGTAATTTTATAGTAATAAACATTATTTTAAAAAATTAAAATTTATAAAAATTAAGACTGATAAAATTAATTTTTAGAAGATTAAAATCAAATTTAATCATATTTACAGAAATGAAAAAATACATTTTATCCTAAAATTATTGATATAATTATGCTTTTTAAAAATGATGTATGATACAGTGGTCAATCCCCATCACTCCAATTTTACATCAACCTGAGAAGATACCGATGACTGTTCTATTCCATTTGGTTTTGAAAAGGAATATAACCAGAAAAGGGGCATTTTTCGATGATGGGCAATAATTTTTTTAGTTTTGGCCGTAAATTTCAAGCGAGAGACTGAGACATACCAGGTTGTAGCTGACTGTTGAAGTATTTGTTTGCTTGCGCTAATAAAGTGAGACACTTTTTTTTGTCGTTAAATAACATCTAAGTTTATGCATTTCAAAAAAAAAAAAGAAGAAGAAAATACAAGTTCAATGCACCATGCTAGATTTATATTCAATTTGTTTTATAGTCAATATTTACATCCTCTAGTATTTTTTTTTAATGATGTTAAAATATTATTTAAATTTTCATGAAGTTGAATATTTACGGTTAATCTATTTCTCATACCAACAGTGAGTCGTATCTGATTTCACAAAAAATCATATAAATTTTATTGTTTAAGGAAGCAAAGAGTCCTGAGCATGAAGTTCCCTGGTGACCAAGCGACCAACTCTGGAAAAGTCCAAATTAGTTAGGACAGCTCAGCACATTTCCCCCAATGGAGAGAAAGGATAAGAAGTTGATAACATGAAGGGAACAGGTGTTGCAAAGAGAAGGAAGAGACAGGCACTGTCAAACATAGTCCACTTTCAAAAAAGGCACCAAAACATTATTATATAACATATATAATAGTTTTGTTGTGGCCAACAAAATGGGAGAGCACACACGTGTCTAACCTACACACCTCGCTATCTGAGCCCATAAGTGCGCGCCACATGCACATTCAAGACAAGGAACCTCCATACTAATAAATTTGGTCCTCGCCATTTCCCTTCCTTGTTAACATCAGCATATCATCAGTTGAGTGCGGTTATATTCTCTACATTAATTAATTTAATTATATAAAAGTTGGGTGGGTGACTAAAGTTAAAGACCAATCACAAGCTGACACTTCCATTTTTCAACAAATTTTACTTGTTTCAATGGGTAAGAAGTGCTGAGGTACTTCTCTAGAAGACATGTATTTCTCTGCAGGCAATTCTCTATTTCTATTGTGGGTAACTTGTATGTGCAGAATCTATTTAAAGCTGCCACTCAGTCTGTTGATGTTTGTGTTACATTAAAGAACTTTTGAGGTGACATGAATCTCTTTAAACAGTTTAGTTAAAGTGGTTTGAGCATTTTGACTGAGTATATTTTTGAGAGATTACTCTCAAAAAGGAACGGATTATTTGCTAATTTAGATTTTAAATTGCAAAGGCATTAAGTTTTTTTTTTTTGGGTGTTGATCTATTAAATTTTAGAATTTTGACTAAACTTGAATGCATGTGTCAGTTGTGTTTCAAATTGTTCTTATAGGAGTGCATCAACAGACCATGACTGACAAGACATGCTCTGCCTGGAAGAGAAGGAAAAAATATATACATCAGATGCTTCATTGAAATTTTATATCAAATTAGTAAAATTTATGTTGGGTTCAAATATAAATATTAACAAAATGAGAAACCTAAATTAGCAGGTAAATTTTTGTGGTGCAGCAGTACACCACATGTCCATGTGCTGATCGATAGTAGCAACCGGAGTCTATGACATGTTTTGGAATTAAAATAGGATTACATCTCTCCCTAAGCGGCTAAACGACAAGGCCATGCAAATAAAATAAGCTTTAATTCCTTCATATTGAAAGTTACTTAAACTGAAAGCTACATTATCATCGGTCTATATACACAATCTACATTCTTATGTTTTAAAAATCACTACAAATATCATCAATAATAAAATGGAGTCGATTTCTAGCATCGATGGCAACCTTTTGTAGTGACTCGTTAAATGCTAACCACTCTTCCAGCTCCAGAAATTTCGGCGTTCATTTTTTTCAGGCCATTAAAATAGCATGCTACAAGCAATAGGAGAACATGAAAATCAAAAGGGACAAAGAAAAAGAATATAAAAGAAGCAGCAAATTCTAATATGAAAAGGTCCAACCCGCAAAAGGTAGTGCAAACTTCACAAATTGCGACTTTTCTTCCTGAAATGTCTGAGAATGAAACTGTCTGCATACAATGGATAATTCTTTCGGATCAAACCCTTTATGCATTTCCAGTATGAAAAGTCAATCAGTTCTCCATCTTGTCGTACTATGAACAAACACCTAGAGTGTTGAAAATCAGGATGATATCCTATCTGCCGTTGGACGAGAGCAATCAAATTTTCAGCAACATACAAAGATAGCAAACCAAGTGTTAATAACCACCACCAAGAAAGAGCAGATTGGATAGAATTTAAGAGACAATGAAGTCAATTAAATGTATATTTCATTGTTTTTTATTTAGTTATTTTTTTAAAAAAAGAAAAGCCTAATGTAAGTAACTGAAGACAGTTAGAGAGCAGAAGCCAACGTTTGCACTACTCTTTCTTTAGCCCAACAAGGGAAAAGTGGATGCAATCATATCACAACCTTGCATCAACTAAGACGAGTATAAGATTGCTACATAAGAAGGTAACAACATGGCTAAAAGCCATTTTTGGCTAGCTGCAAAAGATTTTACAGGGGCTAAACATTACTAAATGCTTTTGCTATGTGAATTCATCAACATCATGCGACGAGAATAAGATCAAGTAAAGTAGTTGGATTTAGATTTTGGAACATTAAATGAATTGACTGACTAAAGATGGCACGATGAGGACAACTTCAAGACAATAATCCAGAAAGGACCTTCTGTACCTTCTGTAATAAATTGTAAATCTGAGCAACACACAAGATTACTTAAGTTCAGCTATTAACAAAACAGGGGGTGTAAAAAATAGCCATTTAGGTTACCAATATTAAGGATTCGAGTTCTGTAAGTGTTAGGTGCATTTTGCTAAGTGAAGTGTGAAGTGGATTCCTGATGATGAGCAAATCAATGGCATAAATTTTCATAAAATGAAAGTAATCAGATAGCACTCAATGAATTAACAAAAACTAATTGCCTTGATTTCCACATCAATAGCTACCAACTTGCCCTATAATCAGTAAACTGGGCCCTGCACTTCAGAGGAGACAAATCCTATTACCATTTACCAGAGTCATGTTAATTATATAATGGATAAAGGGTAAATCTTAGCTCTAGGCAAAACTGGCTTAAGATGACATGGCTATATATATAAAAGAATGCTAAACCTATAAAATTTATAATTATTGGACTCAAACTAAAAAAGTAATATTGCAAAAGCCTTTTGTCAACAAAAGCAATGGCATGTGCTGAGTGTAAAAGAAAGAGAGTGAGAGAGAGAGAGATACCGTGATATGATCAATTCCACACCCAATCTTCTTCTCAAATTCTGGATGAAAGGGAAGCAGCTTCTCAAGAATAGTTTTCTCGTGATCTGGATTTAGTCTATCTCCACTTTCATATCTATGGTATTGATTTACAGCAACGTATATCAGAATTCCGAGAGAAACGAAAACAGAAGATGCACATCCATGAAAACAATTATCATTTAATTTTCTTCACGAGACCAGATATTTTGTGTATAAAGGCTGATTACTAGTAAGTTACATTGAATTTAGTTCCCTCTTCCCCATCTCTACTGAAATTCCAAAAAACCAGACCTCCAAGGTTAAAGGATTGCATTAATTAATTGTCCATGAAATTGCCAGAGTTCATGGCAATGGGGTTTGGATGAAAAAATAGTCTTTCTTGTCTTGCCCTTTTCAGTATTGTCCAGGTATTGGTATGCAACAAGAGAAATATTGAAAATGGCAGAACACTTAAAACCCAACCTTAAAATTTAGGCTACATGAGAATATTTTTCATCTGACACGTAACACAATGTCAATCCTATCATCAGAGAGGGCATTGTAGCAATATTGTTATGCACAGAACCCTAGATGTATGCAGTAATGGGTCTCATCAGTTCAAACACAGATTTAAATTAAAGGCAAGAGGTAACAAGGAATTAAGTTTTGGAATTATTTTGTTCTATTAGAAGTTTTGAAATGAAATTGAAGGCTCCAATAATACATGATACTCGCAACTTGCTAAGATACAATGTCCATACCATGTATATTGAGCTTAAAAGTACTTATGTATTTTTATACTCTTTCTCAATATATAGTTCTGAGATCATATTTCAGGAAGTAATGCAAAACTTTAGTGCAGATTATTACATTTTGTTATTGACAAATATATTGATGATTTAAGTGTTTAGTGTCATGTCTTGAGATTGACACATTTGGATGTTATAGTTCGTATAAGAACTGCATTAGGTTGTTTTACATATTGTTTTATTTGCATAATACTCCCATTCTATAATATATTTAATATATGCAATGTGATGGCACATGCTTAAACAATGCCCATTGCAATGCAAAATGGTGCCATGAGTCATAAGCACAATAAGGAACAAGCAACGGAAACCTTGATGCTTGGAAATTGAGATTTCTAAGACCATACAACAAGCAACAATAAAAACTTTATTTTATTAGGTGAGGTTACATAGATCACAATGTCACTGAACTCGATCAAAAACTTATTCTCAGAAATATTATTTACTATAATTTTTTTAATAATTTTCTCTAAAGGTTATTTTAATCTTCTTCTATCCTTTTTCACAGGATTAAAAATCATGCAATCCATTCTTTTTATTAGTGCTTTTAATAGTCTTTTTCTTTCCACATATTTAAATAATCTTAAATACTTAAGCTATTTTTTTATCATACTCGCTTCAAAAAGTGCTACTCTAATACTTTCTTCTGCAATGCCAACATCATCACCTGTGCCACTTGTTTGTAACTAGGAGACATGGTGGAAAGCTCAAATACCAATTGCTATGAATTTTGAAAGAACTACACCACAAAAGCCAATTTGTTATAATTGGAGAACCTAAGACCTTATAAACCCTACATTATACATTAGAATCTCATACCTTGCAATTAAATCCTAATATCTCCCCACACTCTGCAACTCTACCGATATATCCTAACATACCTTGCAAGGGATTTTCTATCATATTCTTAATTTGACCCTGTCTTGTTTAGCTGCACATCCATCTTAACTTTTTCGATTAAACTAATCACACTTTTTTTTTTGTTGCATTATTCCTTTAAAGTTGATCATTCACTATCATGGAAAATAGCTAGTCATATAACTTTACTATTACAAATAACTTTTCATACATTTCGCCATTCTAAGTTGTGTTTAATATTTTCACTAATTTCTTTGTCATTATGTAAAACTGAACTCCAATTCCAACCTCTAAATTATTTCATCTTACTTTTTCACTAAACTGCAGTACATAAATTTTATTTCACTTCTACTCAAATGAAAATTCTTTAATTCCTAAGTCTGGGATCAAAGAAGCTATGCAGAGAACGACTACATTTTGAGAAGCACGCTCACCCATACCCATGAATGATTTCATTGGAGTATAGCGCAAAAGAAAAAAATACGAAAAAAAGAGAGCATTCAAACAGGGTTTAAAAAAATAAAACTTTTCATCACGACATCCCTGTACCAATAACAACTGTATACTATGCGTGTTCTTTTGGTCTGAGACATTCTCAATTTAAAAGTTACTTTGAACTCAAACTGAGTGGACACACTTTAAGGGGGGCAAAACTCGCAATTACTTTTTCCATCCTAACTACTAAACCCTAGACTTTACTTATGGAAAATCGAATTCATTGACACTTAGACCAACAGGTGTTGCTGGTTACTCTGTGTATGATTATGAATCTAGTCTACACTGTACTAAAACGGAGTAGAAAAACAAACTTACTGTCCAGAATGAAGAATCATCCTAACAAAACCAACCAAAGGAACGGTATCCTCCAAAATCTGGTCCTCCCAATCAACCATTTTCTCTTCCTCTTCTTCTTCATCTTCTTCATCTTCATAGGCATAACCATGTTCCTCCAAAATTCCCTTTCCCTGAGAAACGAGGGGCTTTCCGTGCAAACTATCAGCGTCAGAAGAGGAGGCTACTTTGAGGGGAAAGAGAATGGGGCGAGGCAACGATGCATTAAGGCAGTGGAAACGGAAAGGGAAGAAAGCATTGACGGGAGAAGAAGGGTTTGCGAGGGGATGGACATGCGGTGCCGTTTTGGGTAGTAAAGAAGCCATGCTTGTAGCTATAATCATTAAACGCTCTCACTTATGAAACATGCTGTCGTTTTCCCTCCTTCCCTCGCTTGCGTTAACGTTATCTAATTCGGCAATCTCCTCTCTGCAAATCTCCCGAGGATAAAGAAAACAAACCAACTCGGCTCCCTCAGTCCTCATATTTCACCATTTTATGTTTATCTAATAAATAATATTATCGTTTATATTTTATATTAAAGGAATTAAATTTGTAAATAAGTATTTTAAATATATTTTAGTTTACAGTCTCTGTGCGTGTGTGATCAAAATGTTTTTTAATCAATATTTGAACAAACTTTTGTAATTATATTTTAAATAAATTTGGTTATAAAATATATAACATATTCTTTTCAAATGTAATGTACGACAATTTTTTATAATCATAACTCATCTTTTTATTTTTAATAAAAAATTTATATTAAAAAATTACACTTTCACTTGATTAATTTACCATTTTGTTAATTTTCACTTCTAAACTAATTTTAAATGTAAATAGTATTTTATTAAAAATTAGTATTTATTATATTTTTATATAATACATATTTTTTAATCAAAATATGTCATCACTTATTACTGAAAATTGGTTTTTTAGAGTTGAAGTCCAGCTTAAAAATAGTTTAAAGTATCTAGAAAAAAAATTTAATAAAAAATGACAATAATTTTATTCTCGAGGTAACAATTCTTAATTAACAAAATAGATGTAAAAAAGTACATGAAATTGTGAGTTAAATGCATAGTTTTATATAGCCTAAAGTAATTGAAAACAAATTATTAATAAATAACTACAATAAAACGGTTATAATCTTAAAGAAATATACAATACTACAGCAAAGGCATAAAACAATTCTTAATAAGGTAAAAAAATCATTTTTTTTTGTTTTGTTTTTTTTTTAACATTTCACGAATAATATAATAATATTATTCATTTGTCATCTTAATCATTTGCATAATTTCTATAGCACCGGGAAATTAAAAAAAACATATGAAATTTTACACTTAAAATATGACTACAAAAACTAAATTATGAAAATAAAAGTTGTAAAGGAAAAAAAAATATAAATGAAGAGATTTCTTAAAAAAAAATAAAATCAATGTGAACTGTCTTTTCGAAAAGAAAAATTGAATTCCAAATGCTTATAAAAGATTTACCAGCTTTGTCATTGAGTCCATTAAAAAAAAGTACAAGTTAAAAGGATTAAAGAAGTATTGTTTGAACTTGTAAAATAATTATTTAAGGATTATAATTACGCAGCATGGCTCTGTAACATTTTGCATATTTTATTTTCTGACCTTAATAGGATTGTCTGTGATTTAAGATTCTGTGAAAGTTTTGATTAGGATTGAATGCATTCTACTGATAAATCTAATTAAGAATGCGCAGAACAACTTTTATTAGTTAATATTTTCAGGACTATAAAACTGTTTTAGAAATTGATATATATACATGTAATGAACCATGCAGATGCCAAAGATAAAGCGAATAAACTATTCTTTCGTGTGATATAAAATGTGTACGATTCTTTAAACATTACAAACTTGTATGGTTTATTTGGGTGTGCTTATTAACTAATCAAATTTGTAATCTATTTGGTTATGCTGCTAGCTATCTGCTTTCTATAACAACACAAATAATAAATCATAGTTGACATAAACTTAGATTCTTACTTTGTTAAGCAGTAAGTAACAATAAAAGTGCATAAAAGATTTTGTTAGACAAGTAATTGGCTAAAAGCAGAAAAGGCAGAGGCGACGAAGTTGAGGCGCGGAAGACGGAGTTGGCGACAATGTCCACGTGTTTGGTCAACTAAAAACGGCGTCGCATGGCATGGCGATTCACTTTGATATGTGAATTGTAAAGAAAGAACTAAAATGGCCTAAACAACCACGTGGCCGTTACATGTTTGAACCGTTAAAGAAACAAAGAACCCGCAAACCCTTCAATTTTGTATTTGTACTCCTTCCACCAAATTTCCCCTTCAATTTTGCACTTTGTACACACCAAATCCACTAACCTATCCCGCTTGTTCTTTTTCTCTCGATTTCGCATCTCATCCCATTAGAATAATCTTCCGATCGATTACATTTCGCATCCCAGGGTTTCTCATTCTTCTGATTTTGCATCCCAATCGGTGATTCTCATCGTGTTAGGTATTCTATTTTTTCAGATAATTCTGACAAGCTGTGGTTCTTGCTGCACGTGTATTGTAACTGTGAAAAGTGCGCTCAGTTCTGATTTTCTCCCCGTTCGAAAATTTTATTAGATTAGTTATCCCTAATTTTTTTCGGAGCTACGATGCCGCCATTTTTGTCGACCTCAAAGGCACTTTGCTCCTTGGCATCGCGTAAGAGTGGAGTCAGTCATTTGATTAGGTCTAGCAAGAGCAAGAGCAGTGGGAAACTCTATGGGTGCAGATGCATTAATGCCATTGCCGGCAAGGCCACCAATCACATTCAGCCTTTCGGTTCTCGTACCGTTTTTTCTCCTTTCTTGGGAACACTGTGCAATAATAATTATTATAATGGCGTCCAATCGAGACAGTTTCTTGGATGTGGAGATGGTGAAGAAGGTGTTCTATCCAAAACTTACGAAGAGAGGCGCGTTTTGGGGTAACAGGATTCTCCACTCTCTTTGTTTTTGGTCGTTGATTTTTTTCAATTTTAATCTTGTATGCACATTTAGAATAGGTGGCATTGCTGTTTTGCAAATATTCTCAAGTGTGCTTATATGGTGTCTTCTGTTATGTTAATCGAAGCTTTTCTTGATAAGAGTTTCATTTGGTAATTCTGCTGACTGTTGAATCCTTTCTGTCATAATTATTAGTCCTCTCTACTTATACGATTTATTTCAATCCTTGGGAAAAGTTTTTGTGATGTCTAACTAGTTTTATGGTGTTAGGATATATTCTAGTACTTCTCTGAAGTTTGTTTCAAACCTCGTACTTTGTGTAAATAGTAATCCAGATTAATATCCACCTATGTTTGAATTATAAAAGAAGCTTTATAAATTTGAGCATACAAATCTTCATCTTATTTTGGGATCTTCTAAGCATTACTGTTGGATTCACAATATTTATACTTTGTCATTGTTTTCATTCTTTCATTTGTAAACTGATATACTTATCTGTTATTAGGTACTCTCCAGAGCAATTATTCAACGTTGTTGCAGCTGTTGACTTCTATCATGGTTTTGTTCCGTGGTGTCAAAGGTCGGAGATACTTAGGCACTATCCTGATGGATCATTTGATGCTGAGTTGGAAATTGGATTTAAATTCCTTGTTGAAAGTTATGTTTCTCATGTTGAATTGGACAGACCAAAGCGTATAAAGGTATTCAATCTCCAGCAGTAGTAGTTGCCTTTTGCTTGCATTTGGGATGGTCACAGTTGTCTCAGTTTTTTCTTTATTTCTTTATTTTCATTAGTGCATGACTTAAAATTTCTGAAAGTAACGAGATCTATTGGAATATTCAAGCCAAATTTTGTTGTTGGCTATTACCTTCTATTTAGCTTCCATCTTATTCAGAAATTTGTAACTTAGGTGTTCAGTGAAAATTTTCATGCTTATAGAAATATTGATGGCTGATATTGTTATTGGGTACAAACTCCACATGTCTATTTTTCTTTTTTTGTTTCAACTTAGACTTAATTGCACATATGGTCATCTTATAGCATAAATGAAAAAAGTTGCATTCTGAATGTTACTCTGTTATTGTTTAAACAAATGTAATTAAGTCCCTTCACTGATATAAATGACGCGGAGATGTTGAACAGTCCCTCATAAACAATAAAATTGCTCTTCAAGCATCGCTCTGATGTGCAGAGTTAGTTGCTTCAATTTGACATATAAATGGAAAAATGCAACCTTTTAAAGTTAGACTAGAAGAAGAAAAACTGTCACTATTTCTTTGTATTTGGAATTTCTTTATTTTTCTAGGGTTGGTCAGGCCTTCAATCCCAGTTCATCCCTAGCATGCTGAGGCAGCTCATTTGAAAGAAGTTGCGCAGGCTCAACCTATTCTTAATGAGCCAAAAATTGAGCTTAATCTCAGTCAGTTTGCTTGCTATACTTAGTGCAGACTCCATATAAATAAGTCCAAGCCTAAATGTGCCCAAGGAAATTAAAACAAGATTCAAATGAATGCCTACAAAAAATGTAAAATGATATGACAACAAGAGAATTGAGGGATGGTGTGTATGAGCTGCATACTTGATCTCTTATTTATTACTTGAGTACAACAATTGAATAGTCAATTGGGTAGTCAATAATTAATTAAAAGTTAACCTAAATCCTAGTATTCATTAGTTATCTTGTAGCCCAATCACTTGCTAATCAACATAATTATGGTTGACTATATTTTACATAAATATTACCCTCTTTGTCTCTTAATCTGTCGTTTTAGAGGAAGATTTTTGTTTGTATTTATCTATCATTTAAAAGTTCATGATAGCATGAATTATTATCTTCTCAATTATACTCGTATATTTGTACTTATCCAGAAAGGAATAAATAAGAGGGATAAAGGGCATATTAAGAAAATACAAATAATTTTGATACAAGTAAGAATATTAATTATATTTTTTAATTTGTGTGCTATAACCTTAAACTATAGATAAAAAGAACCAGATGTAGTAATATGTAATTAACACAAATGATAACTTGTAGCCTGATCATTATATAACATATATATTGTTCTTGCTTTGTTTTCACATGATCAATTAATGAGCCAAGTATTTGAACTATCCAGTTTGGCTTGTTCACTAAATGAACTTCTCACTTGTCTCAAATTCAGATTGTTTATTACCAAATGAGGCAAACGAAGCATGAACATTTCTCCCTTAGCGGTATCTGTTAGTACCTTTTCTCTGTAGTGTATGTTCTTTTGTCTTATTATCGTGCAAGTGTGTTGCTTGAGTGTCACGTGGTCAGTCCATCATGTATGGTATGCACTAAATACTTGTGGAGTGTTAAATCCTTTGGCGTAAACTTGTATAACCAAGCCACCATGATATATGTGCTGAAATGGGTATCGGCAGATGAGATGCAGATTAGCATTCCTTAGTGTTATTCCTTAATATTTATGATTTATTCTCATATCAAATATTTATAATTGCTAGAGTCATGATTGGCTTTGATCCTATCTAATAGAATTGAATGTTGTACACATGAGTTTTATATTCTTTACTCGGGGTGCATTGTTCAAACTGGTTGATCATGAACATGGATCTTCAATTATTGTATTACTCTTCATCTCTCTCTCTTTCTGTAAATTTTTTGATAGCAGAATTTTGCTTTTCATTTCTACTGATTGCTATATTGTTGTGCTTATACCATATTTTTTTATGCTTCCAGACAGCTGTGTCACAAAGTACTCTGTTTGACCATTTGATAAACCTATGGGAATTTAACCCTGGTCCAGTTCCGGGAAGTTGCAACCTTTATTTCCTGGTAGATTTTAAGTTTCAGTCTCCACTTTACAGACAGGTATAGTTCTGTTGTAACACTGGTCCTATGCACCTGCATTTGTATTCATATACTTGCGTACACAACTCACTTCATAATAATACTACCAAGATTACAAACGCTGTGGTTATACAAGTTTTATTTTGTATTTTTTTCTGTACTGATCATTGAAGTATTCTTTTGTGGTGATCAGATTGCATCAATGTTCTTTAAGGAGGTAGCCTCTAGGATGGTTGGTTCATTTACTGAGCGTTGCCGTTTGATATATGGACCAGAAATGCGGGTCCTTGAAAACTCATATGGAGAAAGGGCATGAAGTAGTTTTTCTGCACCAGAGTCTTGTCTTGGAAATAGTTTTAAGGTCAATCTGCATTTTCTGCATCAATTGAGCGGGATTTTATTGTTTGCTGCTCAATGCTAAACGATTGATCGTTTCTCTTTCTAAACCCCAGTGATCTTTGTAATTTATGTACATGATTTCGACAATATACTCTGTACAATCTTGAAAGTGACGTGAAGTTAACATGATTTTTTAAGAAGTGACTTCTCGTGTTATACACCCAATCCCAAAATAAAGAAAAACACGGTTAGCGCACATTCTGAAAAGAAGACAGTATATTTCAGAAATTATTAATAAAGTGCGTTAAGAATTGTAGACATTTTTTTTTAATCGCCAACCAAGTTCATTACTTTCTTCTTTTTCGGTCTTTGATCTGGAATTATCACTTATTTAATCCACATCATTGCTTTCTGTTGTTAAGTGTAATTTGGACCTATTTTCACAGAACATCGAAGAGATGTAAAGAAATCCCAAATCTCAACGTTCAGGTTGTAACTGAATACAGAACATGAATTAATGATATCATATTGATCGCCGTTTTACGATTCATAATACTTTCATAGCAGGGAACGGTTGACTTATATGTTATTCTATAGGTATTGTTTATTTACTAATTAAAATTAAGAGTTTTATTTTAACAAAAAATTATATTTAATGTTATTGCAGATTAGCAAAATACTTCAATGATTAAAGAACAGTACTAAAAATACTTCTAATACTATAGTTAAGTTTTCTCCGGAAAGTAATTTGCTTGAGGTAGTAATAGAGACAGAGGAAGGGACGTGTTCCTCATTTAGTAGGTGCGTGTTGTCCAAAAACAAAGTTTCAGTAGCTGCTGCGTTGGTGGTATGGTGCTAAGTTTCTCATTCCTTCAAACTCAAAATGATAAAAATTTTACTACAAAATGCTGCTGTACTTTCAGCCTGTGGTCTCACATCTACGGGTTCCCTCTTTCCCTTTTGATATAATATTTGACAAAACCTGCACTTACCAAGAATAATAGATCTGCAAGTTAATGTGGTAATGTCTTCCTCTTTTGGACTCCAATTTGTCAATTAGTACTTATTTTCAGTTAGGTAATGAATAATGAATGACACACCTAAGACATTGAAGTCCATTTCGAAATTTTAGACACAATAAAATTTGAAGTTATGCATACTCAATTGAGTTTTGAATCACATTCATAGGCACGGTTATCTCCCGGCTCTACTAGTATTTGGTTGCGTTAAAAGGTCTTGGTTAAATATAAAGATGCATCACAAAAGTAGAAAGTAAGATTTATTTAGTAGTTTTGATATTTGACACTGCCGTCACCAAAGGAGGCCACACCTATGGGTAAAGAGAAGGGAGGGTTCATCATGGGCATTAAACACTCCATTGGATATTTGCTTGTAGATTTCCTAACAAAATGAAATAGGCGACCAGCACTAAAGTATATTATTTTGAGAAAACAAAATGTTGTTTCATGAATTTTGTCACGTACAAACAAAGACTAATTTACCAGCACCACCGTCCCTTGGGGTGGCTAGACCTAATCCTTTATAGTTAACCCAAAATATCTTCGGCTTCAAGAGATGAGTACTTGAGGATGGCGGCAACAATCCTATCTTTGTCTCTGGTTGGGAATGCTTCCAACAGGACCCCATCTTTGTAGAAGTGGAAAAGAGGCACGGCCTGCATCAATTTGTTGTTTTCTTTTTAAAATCGACGGATCATAAAGCATGGATGCAGAAGTTTAGTTATTATATGCAGTAGCTTGTGTACAAGAAGAAGAAGATAGAATTACTCAATGAGAAGATGGAGAGAGAGAGTAGTTTGAGAGATAAATGTCAAAAGAAATAACAAGATGAACAAAAAAGAAAATGCAGTGTCCACCAATAATCGTGTAAAAGAGAAATCATGCAAGTGAAGGCACTAACCCTAAAACTTCAAAATTTTAAAGACAAGTTAGGCAACAAACATGTAAATTAGCCAGATGACCCATAGCTATCTCCCAGAGAGGCAGACCGGTTTTATATAGATCAAGTTTCATTTTATTTGTCAGAAAACAACAAAAGAGAAATACCCTGATTCTAAGTCGGTCAGCAACCTCTGATTGCTCGTCGTACTCGTTCATTACCTGCAAGCAATGTTACATATAAGAGTCTCTGTAGATAAAATTTTAATAGACTCCATGTAATGATTAATCAAATAAAACCCTTTGTATGTTAGACAATGACAAGGTAAATGTTAGTTGATCATGAGTTTCTTCTGGACAGCTAGTAGAGAACTTGCTAAGATAGAGTAAAAACGACGAGCATATGTTTTGCCGTTGGCTAATGTTTGTTTTGGGTTCTTGAAAATGTTCTACTTTCTAATTGGTTCCTATTTAAATTTCATTTGTTCATACGGACTAAAACTCAAAAACCTCTGTATTTTCAGCTAATAAAAACAAAAATATTTGTGAGAAACATAGAGGAGCTAGATAGATAGCATACTTACATTATGCTTTAGAAAGATTACTGGAGCTTCATGGTCACCAGATTTCTTGCACAATTTTGCAAAACCCTGCTCTATATACTTGCAGCTTCCACAAGAGGTGCGGAAGAAGTCAACAACGACCAAAGATCCTTTAGCCTTATCCAGAATTCTGCTGAACTCTTCATCAGTTGTGAATTCTCTCACACATTCAACGGGGCAGAGATCGTCATCTTCATCAGACAAAGCTTCTTGATCTTCATCTGCAACTCTTATCCTACTAGGGCAGAATGTGTGCCTTATTTTCGCTATAGGTTCCATTTTTGTTCCACCAAGACATATTTTTCCATGACTGTGCCCAGGAACCAAGCTAAAAACTATATGGGAAATCCTAGATTCAACTGGTTTTTGTATGTCTAATCTGACACTGGCAAAGGACTTGCCATACAGAACATCCAGCCCCTGAATGACAACCTGCGGCATCTTTTCCAGACAAAATTTCATACAGTCCGTGATCAAGAGTTTTGGCGACAAGTTTTGACAAGTTAGCTGGTAGCTGGTGGCGCCTCATATAGAAAGGAGTATTGGGTTTGAATTGACTCACGCATTTCTTAGACACTCAAATGATTTTGAGCTAAGGGATAATAAGATACCATGTACAAGCATCATCGAGTAAAATAATAAACAATGAGCAATAGGGTACCATGTAAACTACTTGGAAAATGGAAAAGAGACTATAAATGGTTGTGATTCAATGCACATTGTTGTTTATAGAAAAAGGCAGAGATTCATTGGATATAGCCACGCAGAGTAACCATTTCAAACTCTTCTAATCAGCAGAAACCAAACACAAATCCTTGAGAATCATGATCTATGATTTTGCAGAAACATTTCATTGCACATCCACTGGCAACTGCTTCTGCAGCCCTGTTTTTGAGAGTAGGCAAAAATGTTGGAAGTAAAAGGAAGGCTATTACTCATTCCATTCCAAAGTCAGAGAAAGAACATATATTATGTGGCTTATAATAAGAGCTACTAATTATTTAAACCTAAACCTTTGCATGAACATATAGTGGGGGTCAACTAAGCATTCACTATTCTTTAATTTCACGGGATACCTACGGTGTTTTACTACATAAAATTGAAATTGAATTGTAAAGAAGAAAAGCTATGATTATAAAAAAGTTGAAGCTGGGACGAAGTAGTGAAAAAAATAGTGACAGTGAAGAGGGGCAACGAAGTGATAAGTTAAGGTTTGATTTTGATAGGAAAAGAGAAGGAAGAGTAAGAGTTACCAGTTGTTGGGAAGATTGTCGAATCGGAAAAGCGCGCTTTTGCGATATCTCTGCGCAACAAACTTCAAATCAGGAGAAGACACGCACTCGCAATATCCGCACACTGTCTTTCAGATTTATTCTTTTATTATTATTATTTCCTGCTTAAAAGTAGTTTTCTTAATTAATTAATATCCACTTTAATTATTTTTTCTGTTTATTAAAAATTATAAAATTATGTAAATCTTATTATTTTAAATTAATTAATAAAAAATATATTAGAAAGATTATATTATTAGTATTCTTCAACAAGTAACATAATATAATAAACAGAGGAGTTAAAGGAAATGCTAATTCAGAAAAAGATAAGAGAAATGAGAGAAGCTAATATGCACTTGGATTTGAGTCTCATTGTTTAAACACCTGTTGCTGTTTTAAATACTTATATCTTATTATTATATTCTATTATATTTATTTTTGTATGTCTTTTTATAAAAATGGGCACATCATACATGTTTCGTACTTGTGTGTCCCTAATAAATATAAAAAAGCATTTCTGCCTAAATTTGGGCTTATTTTGTTTTGTTGCATAATTTTTCACCCACCTAGGTTTTAGAATAAAAAACAACAATTATTATTTAAGAGAAATGAGTGTTTTTTTTATTACAATAATGTCATTTAATATAAATTTTTACGTTTAAGTTTTTTCATTTTTATTTTTTTTTAAAAAATACTTGTTAATATTATTTATATTTTTATCTTTATTTTCTTAATTGATGCTTTGAGCCGTTCAATTTTTATCTAATAATTATGATTTGTGATATGGTGTGATTGCGGGATTTGGTGAGTGCTCCGAATTAATATATTCATAATTCTTATCTTTTCGTTCATTTTGTTTTCCATTCAATCAGTTTTTTTCTCTAATAACGTGAAAATTTGGGTACATAAATTTATATTTGAATGGTGATAAATTTACGTTGAAATCAACGTTTTAATTATAATTTATGTGTTAAACTTATATTTATACGTATTTTCAAACACATTGTTAGTGTATATGCTGCAACTAGTTAGATTAAAGTAAAAATGGATCATCCATCAAAAGGGGAAACCAAACACAATGTTATGCAACTGTAGTTGTAGAAGTTTCGAGGATCTTGATATTACAGCCGCAAGCATAAGAGAGCTTAAAACATTGCATGTGTGAGTTTTCTCCAGTTCTGAAAATCTGAAGGATACTAACACCCATAGTTTTTACACTTCAAGCATTCGTCATGAAATGAAGTTGGCTTCCAATCCTAATCCGTCGTCGTTTCACTCTCTGTTCCAAAATGCTAGGCATGCACTCTTCATCTTTCGACAACTTTTAGAGGCTAATGCCAATCCCAACGACGTTACTTTTTCGTTACTCATCAAAGCATGCCTTTCATCCTCTTGCGGTTCATCATCCACTGAGAGGCTACAAGTAAACCAGATTCAAACCCAGTTGTTGAAACGTGGCATTAACCAATTCCTTTATGTAAATACTGCTCTTATAGATTTCTACATGAAACTTGGGTTTTCCTCTCATGCACGCCAACTGTTTGAAGATATGGCTTTTAGAGATGTTGTTTCGTGGAACGTATTGATTTGTGGATATTCACAAAATGGGCATTCTTATGATGCTCTTCAACTCTTTGTTCAGATGCTAAGAGAGACTTTTAGACCTAACCAAACAACAATCGTTAGCTTGCTACCTTCTTGCTGTCGTCCTGAGCTGATTCTTCAAGGTAGATCCATTCATGGGTTTGGAATCAAAGCTGGCCTTGGTTGGGATCCACAATTGAAGAATGCCCTTACTTCAATGTATGCTAAATGTGATGACTTGGATGCATCACAGCTCTTATTTGAAGAGAGGGCTGAGCGGAATGTTGTCTCATGGAATACCATGATTGGTGCATATAGCCAAAAGGGATTTTTGGACAAGGCAATGTCGTGCTTTAAAGAGATGCTGAAGGAAGGTTTGCAACCAAGTCCGGTGACAATGATGAACCTTATGTCGGCAAATGTGGTTCCAGAAACTGTCCATTGCTATGTTGTCAAATGTGGCTTTACCAGTGATGCTTCTGTGGTTACGTCGCTAGTTTGTCTATATGCAAAGCAAGGGTACACAGATGCGGCAAAATTGCTTTACAGGCATTTCCCCACCAAAGACCTGGTTTCGTTAACTTCAATCATTTCTAGCTATTCTGAAAAAGGTGACGTGGAGTCTGCGGTTGAATGTTTTATCGAAACGCAGCATTTAGACATCAAGTCTGATGCAGTTGCCTTGATTAGTGTCCTTCATGGAATTAACAATCCTTCTCATTTTGCAATTGGATCTGCTTTCCATAGTTATGGGTTGAAGAAAGGGTTGACTAATGATTGCTTGGTTGCAAATGGGCTAATTAGCATGTATTCGAGATTCGATGAGATAGAAACTGCTTTGTCCTTGTTTTTTGACGTTAGTGAAAAAACACTAATCACTTGGAACTCTCTGATATCTGGCTGTGTGCAGGCTGGAAAATCAAGTGATGCCATGGAGTTGTTCTGCCAAATGAACACGTGTGGACAAAAACCGGATGCCATTACTATTGCTAGTCTACTATCGGGGTGTTGCCAAGTTGGGTACCTGCGGATTGGAGAGACACTGCATGACTATATCCTTAGGAACAATGTGAAAGTGGAAGATTTTACAGGAACTGCTCTAATAGATATGTATACTAAGTGTGGCAGATTAGATTATGCTGAAAAGGTATTTTGTAGCATCAATGCTCCATGTTTGGCAACATGGAACTCCATCATATCAGGTTATAGTTTATATGGACTTGAACACAAAGCTTTCAATGGTTTTTCTAAACTGCAAGAACAAGGGCTAGAACCGGACAAAATCACCTTCTTGGGTGTTTTAGCAGCATGCACCCATGGGGGCCTTGTCCATGTAGGAATGGAATACTTTCGAATGATGACAAAAGAGTATGGGTTGATGCCAAGTTTGCAGCATTATGCTTGCGTAGTTAGTCTCTTGGGTCGAGCAGGCTTGTTCAAGGAAGCAATTGAAATTATTAACAGAATGGAGATTCGGCCTGATTCTGCTGTCTGGGGTGCTTTGTTAAGTGCTTGTTGCATTCAACAAGAAGTTAAACTTGGGGAATGCTTGGCGAAAAAATTATTTTTATTGAATAACAAAAACGGTGGATTTTATGTATTAATGTCAAATCTTTATGCGATTGTTGGGAGGTGGGATGATGTAGCAAGGGTGAGGGGTATGATGAGAGAGAGTGGAGGAGATGGATGTTCAGGTGTTAGTGTTATTGAAGTGGCATCCGTCAAAGACACTAATAGCAACTTATGCCCGAGTGAAGTTAATTTGAATACAAACACTTGGCAGCATTTGTGTCCATACTGACTTTATAGTACATTAACTACCAAAATTTTCCCCACAAAAAATTGCAGTTTGTCTGCTGTCCAAATAGGATACTTCAAAATATGCATCAACTAAGGAATTTAAGGAGAGATGGCAATTTTGCAACCGTAGAACTGTACAAGTAAAAGTAAAATGGTAAAAAACAGAAAGTGGGAAAATGTGTTACCTTTTACTTGAGAAGATAAAAAAAGAAAAATTAAATTAAATCATGCAATTTCAATGTGTACAATATTGTATTAGAGTTTTTGTTTGTTTTGAGATAGGTCCCATAAAATTTTCATCAACTTCATTTTATACGTACTATTGATAATAAACGAGTTGTTCATGGTAGGCCTGTTTAAGATTATGGTAATTAGTGGCTAATGCCTTCATTGTGGATTGGTTTATTTTCTCATTTTAATGGTGATTTACCAACTTGTATTTGGTGGTTGAATGAATCTTTCAATCTTCACGGAAGATTCGAACTAAATGAAAACAAGTTTTTTTTTCTTCTTTTTAATGTCTGTTGGGCATTACAATAAGTATAATAAGATGTATGAATATTCGTCTTTGCTTTTATAAACTGTCTGCATAATTTTATTTATTTCCTGTGTGACGTGTTAGTTTTTAAAGCACATGTATTTCAATAGATAGAATTATCCTTTTTACAAAGCATTATCAATTTTTAAAACTTTTATAGGTAAGGAATTACGATTAGAGTTTAATTTTAATATAAAAAATTACACTATTAATTAATTAAAAATAAATTTAAATAATTTTTTAAAAATAATTATTAAAAAATAAATAGTCTTAATTATATTATCATTTATAATTAAAGGATATTATAAAATTAATATTTTTTTATTAATTTCTTCTAATTATATGGAAATTTATTAGTCGTGAGAGTCAAAGTATACATGAGAAGGAATTATTATACTATATTATCGTCAAATTCTATACAAGATTTTGTATTGTCCTGTTATTTCCGTTTTGAAATTTTCTGCACTAAAAATTGTATGTTAAAATATCATTCTAAATCAATTTTCTAAATAATACTTTGTTTATTTAATCACTTCAATTAAATAGTCTTGCTATTGAATATCGCAACAAGGGTACGTTAAGCTATAAAAAAGAATTGCATTTAGAGCATATTTTTAAATTGGAGCTTTATTCTTGAATCTTATTATCATAAATGAACTAAAACGTGGTTTTAATTTGTAAAATGGTATCTATTTGGATAGCACATTCACCGGTTTTAATTATGTTTATGAACAGTGATACGAAAACGAAACGACATGGGGTTGAATCGTTGCAACCTGTTTCTGAATCCCAAATGGCGTAGCGGTAGGTGGGTCGAGTCACACGTGTTTCCTTTCCGTTTTTAAAAACCCTACCCAATACGAAAACGCTCCGTTTTCAAATTTCGAACTTGGCGCTCTCTCTAAGCTTCTCCTCCCAATCTCTGAGATCCTCAAACAACAATGGGTGCCTCTCACAGTCGCGAAGATCTGTTGGAAAGTTCAGATTCAGAAGGTGAAGAAGAAGAAGAAGCAAATTACGAAGACGCTAATGGAGGAAGCTCTGAACGAAGAGTCAAAACTCCTTCATCCCTCGATGATGTGGAGGCCAAACTCAGAGCTCTCAAACTCAAATACTCCTCAAAAACCTCCAACGCCGTCAATAACGCCGTTAAGCTCTACCTCCACGTCGGCGGAAACACCCCCAAAGCCAAATGGGTAACCTCCGATAAACTCACTTCTTTCTCTTTCGTCAAAACCAACCGAATCGACGGTGACAGCGACGACGACGACGACGATAACGAAGACGAAGAACAAGGTTTCTGGGTTCTTAAGGTCGGTTCCAAAGTTCGATCCAAAGTGTCTCTCGATATGCAACTGAAGACCTTCGCCGACCAGCGGCGCGTCGATTTCGTCGCGCGTGCGGTGTGGGCGATGAAGTTCTTCACTGGGCAAGATTACAGCGCCTTCGTGGAGCAGTTCCAGAACTGTTTGTTCGAGAACACGCACGGCTTTGAGGCCACGGAAGCGAACAAGCTTAAGATTTACGGCAAGGACTTCATTGGGTGGGCGAGACCTGAAGCTGCTGATGATTCCATGTGGGAAGATGCAGAGGATAGCTTCACGAAAAGCCCCGGTTCTGCTACGCCGGTGCGAGCGAACCAGGACTTGAGGGAAGAATTTGAAGAAGCTGCAAATGGTGGCATTCAGAGTTTGGCTTTGGGTGCTTTGGATAACAGTTTCTTGGTGAGTGATAATGGCATTCAGGTTGTGAAGAATTTCGCTCATGGGATTCATGGGAAAGGTGCATTTGTCCACTTTGGTGATGGGTATCAGAATGGAGGCTCTTCGACGGTGCATTCTACCCCCAAAAAGACGCTTCTTATGAGGGCTGAGACCAACATGCTTCTGATGAGTCCAATTGGTGGGGGAAAGCTTCATTCAACGGGGCTTCATCAGCTTGATATTGAAACTGGGAAGGTTGTGACTGAGTGGAAGTTTGGGAAGGATGGTACTGAGATTACGATGAGGGATATCACCAATGATAGTAAAGGTGCTCAATTGGATCCCTCTGGGTCCACTTTTCTAGGATTGGACGATAATAGGCTCTGTAGGTGGGATATGCGTGATCGCAATGGAATGGTTCAGAATCTGGCTGATTCTAATGATTTGAATACCCCTGTGTTGAATTGGGCACATGGGCATCAGTTCTCGAGGGGGACTAACTTTCAGTGCTTTGCCACCACTGGTGATGGTTCCATTGTTGTTGGGTCGTTGGATGGAAAGATTAGGCTCTATTCGGTTAACACTATGAGGCAGGCAAAGACGGCTTTTCCTGGCCTTGGATCTCCTGTTACTCATGTGGATGTTACTTTTGATGGCAAGTGGATTGTGGGCACAACAGATACCTACTTGATTCTTATTTGTACTGTCTTTGCTGACAAAGATGGAAAAATGAAAACTGGTTTTGCCGGTCGGATGGGAAATAGGATTGCTGCTCCGAGGTTGCTGAAGCTCACCCCTCTGGACTCACATTTAGCTGGAGCAAATAACAAATTCCGCAATGCTCAGTTTTCGTGGGTAAGTATGAATTTTCATCCTGCTAGGCATGGCTTGCTTGTGATTGTTTCTGTTATTATCTTGCAAATTAAGAATCATGATATCTTCTTTTCCCTGTGAATTGTCGTAGTATCAAATGTTAATTGTTATAATTCGTTGCCTCAACTGCCCTTTATTGTAAAAAAAGTATCTTTTAAGTCACATAGTTTATGAGAGCGGGTGGAGTAAATAACAAGTAAATGGTTGACTAACTGCATTGCAATTTATCATACAAGGCTATGTCACGTTATATATTGCACAGTTGCCAGAACCGGTAGCTTGTAATATGTTTAGTTATTTGCAGATTGCAATACAAGGAGATTTTACATTATCAATATTTTCGCAAATAAATTTATTTACTATTTTTAATACAGTTAGATAAAACAATCTTGTATTGTTTCGGGAGATGGGTTTAAGTCAAAGCTATAACCTAATAACTTTTCCTTTGGTTGCATCTTTTCCATAACATGTCATACTCGTGCTTTCTTATTTTGTTTTGTGAACTATCAGTGAAGAGCGTTATTATGCATTGATAGAACTGGGCCAGAAATAGCAGAACATTACGATATCATCACTGAAATTCTGCTCTTGATATCATATGATATTACTAACAGGGGTAAGTTTGCACAGAAAATTGAAAAAAACTCACTTCCTTGCCCTCTCTGTCTCTCTGTGAATAGAACAGAAAAGAAACTACAGATGTCCCAGACTCTTGGAGAGGCGGGACTCTCCCTCCAATTCCTTCACTTGTCAATTTCCTACCTTCTCTTCCCCCCTTTCATGTAGCCCACTCAACCGAGTCCCTCCCTTTCTTCCCACCTCCCCTGATGCCACGTGTGCAATATGTTGTTAAATGACGTCACTCCCCACCTTGCTTACACATGGCTTAAATTCCCCTACCCTATAGCACATCTTTATCCCCTTCTTTTCCTAAAATACACCTTAGTTATCTTACAATACCTATCACATGTACTCTACATTAGCATCTCATTTGAATGGTTTCTTGACAAATGTATTTTTTCAAACTTCATTTTTTATATAAATAAATTCAATCTATGAGTGTATCCAGGGTTGAGATTAGCAAATTCTTAACACCTTTGTGTGTACGTGTTAATTGTTAAGTGAATGTGATGTTTGCTGTTGCTGAAAACACAGGGATTGTAGTAGCTTTGATTGGTGGTTTACCCTGAAGTTAGAAATGACTATTCTGCATCTGCTGAGAAATGGCATATCTTGGTTTTTCTTCTGTCTTTCATATTGTTTTGGAAGCATTTATTACTATAATTACAATTTCCACTTCTTGGCTGCTTAGGTTACAGAGAATGGGAAGCAGGAGCGCCATATAGTAGCCACGGTGGGGAAATTCAGCGTGATATGGAACTTTCAACAAGTCAAGGATGGTTCTCACGAGTGCTACCGAAACCAACAGGGTCTAAAGAGCTGCTACTGCTACAAGATAGTCCTCAGGGATGATTCTATTGTTGACAGCCGATTTATGCATGACAAGTTTGCAGTCTCTGAGTCTCCTGAGGCTCCATTGGTTATAGCCACCCCAATGAAAGTCAGCTCATTCAGCATATCAAGCAAACGATGACAATCTGGACGCAGTCATTGACCCAATTGTCTGCTCTTTTGGCTTAATTAATGACATTTCAGATGTTTCATTTAAAAACTTCTTAATTGTATGTAGGATGTTTTAAGGTGTTGCTGAAAGGGAATTCAGTGATGTTTGTCTAATTGTATCAGTATGTTCGATTTTCTTTAAGGAAAATATTAGTTAGTTCCAGAATTGTATAATTTTATTCTGAATTTGTATTTTCCTTATTTCCAAACCCTAATTATTTGAGCGCTTCAAATTCAGTCCGGTAGTGGCCTTCTTCGCAGCCTTTGGTTTAGATTTGCAAGTTTTGGTGTTTATGTTAGTATTGTTTGGGAGAAGAAAATTTTTCATAAGTTATGAAACTTTATTGCTACAGTTCGAGGTAGATGAATGAGTTATACTTTCTCAAAGTTCAATTACATCTCAAAAATTGTTGGTTATGAAAATATTTTGACTAAAATTGGTGTAATCCTAGGCTCTTGCATTTTGATTATTTGTTGGAGTTTTGTCGAAAGTAACCGTATTTCCACACGTTTTACAAGATTATATAGGAAAGTTTTATTTTTGGTCCAAAAAAAAAAGTAACATTTTGAGGAATTTTTAGAATTTAAATCCTAACATCGGAAGAGTCAAAATCAGTTGAAAAAAAGATTTTTTGATATATTTTCTTATAAAGTTATCAAAAAATGGAGATTAATAAAGAAGTTTTTCAAAGTCCAAGTAATAAAAAGAGGCATAAAAGATGACACTTATTTAGAAGTTATCAATAGTTATTAACAGATACTATGCAAATCATGTGCGAAAAAGCAAAAATAATTAAAAAAAATGTGTAAAAATAAGTTACAAAAAATGTTCACGTGTAAAAGTAAGTTATAAAGAATGCTGGCACAAGAAAAAAAAAACAGTTAAAATAATTTGTGTATAAATAAAATTAGGTTTTAAGTTTTAGGAATTATGACTTTTATACACATTATCAAAAAGTTTTACTAACTACTAATGTTGTCAAAAGTTGTACTTTTACATTCAATATTTCAAGTCAATTTCAGTTTATTTAATTTCTTACTTTATTGCATTGCTTTTCTTCTGTTCTTTCTGTTTTACTAGTTTAGTTCATGACTTTAATTTTACTGTCACGTTAAAGAGCACACTTGAAATAACTTTAGAAAAAAAAATTAATTCAATTCCAGATTATAAATTTATTTGTTTACTCGTCGTAAAATTCACTGTAAACAAGTATGAATTGGAAAAGTTCTGAAGAAACTAAAAAGAGCTTGGAGAGTAAAAATTGTGTGTCAAGTTCGCCTCTCTTTACTCTTATGAAAGATGATGCAGTAACATCTTACTTGGTTTATTTTAGAAATTTGGAGACCATAATGTTCTGATTTCTGGAGTGGCCTGGAAGCCGATGTCTCTAGGTTGGAGGAAAATAGCTATGCCATCATGGAACCTTACAAGCAGACGTTTGTTATCCGACTCTCCAATCTAAATGGATAAGTGGGCCCATGCGTTCTCTTTTTTTCTTTTCACTTTTCCTTAAGATTAAAACAGCTTACACCAATAATATGCATGTGTGGTTATCGAGGTAGCAAATTTGAGCACCGGAATAGGAGCAGATAATGGCCGTAGCAATAGGAAGAAGCTTCGCTTTTCGGCCACACTCTTTATTCAACAGCAAGAGCATAGATAGACCTTCACCAGCTGGAAGTTTCTCGTGGCTTGGGCATGCTGCTGCCACGCCACGTTGCAAGCGAATTCGTGTCGCAGCACAACAGCGACCCACATGGCTTCCAGGACTTGATCCACCACCTCATCTTGATGGAACGTGAGCCCTTACACCTTTCTTCACTTTGACTCTACTTTCAGTTCATATGGTCCTGCCACTTTCTCTTTCCAAGTTTTAACATAACGGTAAGCTTTTCAGTCTGGCTGGGGATTTTGGGTTCGACCCACTTGGGCTTGGAGAGGATCCCGAAAGCTTAAGGTGGTATGTACAGGCAGAGCTGGTTCATGCTCGCTTTGCAATGCTTGGGGTATTGGGAATTCTAGTGACCGATGTGAGTTCCACAACTTGTTTTTGCAAAGCGTGCTATTAGAATAGTAACACCACTTACAACTATATTTTCATCTTTAACTTGGTAATCTTTGCAGCTACTTCGCGTCACAGGACTTAGTAAGATACCAGTTTGGTTTGAAGCCGGCGCAGTAAAATACGAGCTTGCCAATACTCAGACACTCTTCATTGTTCAACTACTTCTTATGGGGTACAATTTTAGTCACTTGGGGCTTTCATAATTTCATAATCCATAATCCATGATCCATAATTTTTCATCATTTTATTTGCACAGGTTTGCCGAAACAAAAAGGTACATGGATTTCATTAGCCCTGGATCTCAAGCCAAAGAGGGGTCTTTCTTTGGATTGGAAGCTTCACTAGAAGGTTTAGAGCCAGGGTATTTGCATTTCTTTAAACTATACTGTACGGAGCATGAATTAAGTTATTCTGCCAAGACTCATTCATTCTCCTCTACAAAGGAAAAATTGTCATGGGCCATTATGATTTTAATGTACTTGCGTTGTGAGGTATTTGTTCTTGTTTAACAGGTACCCTGGGGGTCCTCTTCTAAATCCTCTTGGCCTAGCTAAAGACATTAACAATGCTCATGATTGGAAGCTTAAAGAGATAAAAAATGGTATCCCTTTTCTAATTCTTAAATTTCTTATGTATAATACTCCTAGCTTGTTTCCATGTTTGTAAATTTTATGGTTACAGGGCGACTTGCAATGGTGGCCATGCTTGGCATCTTTGTACAAGCATCAGTGACTCATGTTGGACCAATTGATAACCTTGTGGAGCATCTCTCCAATCCATGGCATAAAACTATTATTCAGACCCTTGCAAGTTCTAGCTCCTAGTTCTAAGAAGTGCCTGCATTAGTTTTATGCGACATGGACTGATCCATAAAACGAAAATACTTTTTACCCCCTCCGCCATTGTTCGGTCAAGGATTAGGTTTAGAGCCAAGGGTCTAGCAACAAATTGTATTCTTTTACATTTCCAATTGACTTATCTTAAGTCTTTGTCTCAGCTTGGGGAAATGACTAAATCCGACAATAAATGCTTTTCATTTTCGGTTTATATAATAACTTCTAAAGCATATTAAAAGAAACTTCAACCCCTACAACATAATTAACCGCCGTTGGAGTTTTTCATTTCAGTTCGCATACATTAATTAACTAATATCAAACTAATTTAAATAATAATTTCCCTACATTATAATACATAGCTTACTGTCGATAGATTATGATTTAAATTAGTTTGGTACGTGATTAATTAATATTAGAATTGAATGAAATACTTCTAGGCGAGTCGAGCAAGAGGGTCATTTACCCTTTAAGCTTCATGATGCTAACTGACAACTGATTTAACCAGAATAAACGCATAGGCACCAGTCAGCTTCAATCACTAGCTCATTGTGTGAGTGCCAGTCGCATGGTTCTCCCGGTTTTTCCCTTTCCTGTTAAATGTATGGATGAGTCTCTGGATTTATGGAATGGTTCAGCAGCAATTAGTTTCACTTCCATACAAAACCATTCTACATTTTTTCCCTATTGACTGGGATAACATTCTTGTAACGCACTGTACGTTAAATAAGTTTATCAAAGTAGATAATCGGATTATTAAAGTGATTTTTCCAAAAAATTAACGTTTAAACTTGTTAAAGCTGCATAGACGATCCAAAACAGTAAAACTGCTAGAGACCAGAAAAATGGGAGTCACAATATAAACCTTGAGATGTAACTAGCTCAGAAAAAATGGGGCTGAATCCTTAATGGCTCAATATTTGGCGAATGGTTTAGATAAATTATTAAGAAAGATGTGTGACTTTAGCCTTTTTGTGGGATATTCCATGCTTCTGAACAGAATCATCTCACCTTTTGATGGGCAGCCATTCCGATATTCGCACATCATATCATTCAAAGAGCTTCAAATCTTATACTCGGAAAACTTTTTCTTTCATTTGATTAAATCTCAAACAAATCTTTACAGGAGCCGAGGTTCAATATATCAGAAGCCTATACACAATACAAAATCATTTGATTTTCTCTTTCCCCCCAAAAGATGGACTTATTTTTATGTCCTCATAAAGCACTTAGCAGGCGACCATGTACCATCCCTTCAGAGAGAAAGAGAGAGAATATAATCCAATCAAACCATACACACAGCAATTACCAACATTTACAGGTCGGTACAATTTTTATGTTTCAAGTCACTGTGAGATCTCCAAAAGGATAAGAGCTGAGATAACTGCAGTATAGCAATGCATATAATTTCCATTTGGGATTTACCCTGACTTGGTTGAATGTGTTTTCCTTCTGGCAAAGAACATCAAAACCCGGGGGAAGAATGACCTCTTCTTCTTTTTTCCATGCTTTGTTTCTGGAGATGATCCACTTTCATCATTGTCTGCATGCCCATCAGCCTTTGGACTTGACAAGTAACGTGAAGGATTAGTTGCGTCGTTAGGCTGGTCAAAACTATTTGCTTTACTGTCCTCAAAACTACCCCTAGGGCTTTTACTCTGGTTTACCACTCCTGGGCCAGACTCACCAGCCTTTCTCCGTTGTTCATTCTCAGCTCTCCACTTTCTTAATTCTTGTTCTACGCCTAGTTTACCTTCCTTTGCCTTCTCAGCCTTTTCCATTGCCATCTTCAAAGATTCCCTTCTAGCAGCTATCTCTCTATTCACTTCATCCAACTTCTCGAAGGCTTTCAATTCAGATTCCTTAGCTTTATCAATTTCAGAATTAGCAGCTGCAACCCTCATATTGGCTCGCTCTTCTGCCTCATGAGCTCGCTTACTAAGCTCATAGTACTCCTCCAAAGAAAGTGTTACCCCAGCGGACGGGTCCATTTCATTCTTGCTTCTAGTTGATTCACTCTCTTGCAATGCTTTAATTGCTGCTATTGCCAATTTTTCAGAAGCTCTTGCAGCCTCTATCTCCTTTTGAGCTGCAAGTAACCTACTTTCCATGGTGCTCACTCCAGCCTTAGCTTGCTCTGCTTCTGCCTTCACTTTCTGTAGCTCTTCACGAGCTGCCTGAGCAAGCAAGTTGGCCTGATTAGTCTCTTCAGCTGTTACTTGTAGCTTCTTGGGAAGCTCGTTCATTTTCTCTTTAGATTCTTTCTCTTTCATCTGAACCAAAGCTATTTCTGATCTGGTCTTTTCCAATTCAGCTTCGAGAGATGCAACTGCGATAGAGGCCATTCCCTCTCTTTGCCTGATGGATGCAAGAGTTGATTTTTCTTGTTCAAGTTCCGATTTCAATGATGTAGCAGCTACCTTCAAGCAACTAACTTCATCAGTTGCTTTCTCTATATTAAGCTTTACTTCCTCAAGTTCCTTTCTGGCTGATGCCACTGCTGCTTGTATGTCAGTATGTGTCTTCTGCTCTGGTTCCTCTGTTCCTACTTTTGAGTTTCCTTCATCACCTTCCTGCTTTAACTTTGATTCCATATAAGCAGTTAATTCAGCTTTCAAATCAAGCAGCAAAGCAGAGGCTGTTTCGAGTTTAGATTTGAGTTCCTTTGCTGACAAAATTTGTTGGTTGAGCCTCTTCAGCTCCTCTTCTGCCTGTTTAAGTTCCTTCTCCCAATTGAGAGAATCTTGATCTCTTGCCATAACTGTTCCTATTCTTTGTTCCTCTGCTTCCAAATGTGTGGCATGTGCAGTCTCCAAAGACTCTTTTGAGGCAATTAGTTCAATGGTTAAATCTTCCACAGATTTCTCTACTTCTTTTGATGCAGTACCTGCCTCTTCAGCTTTCTTAATAGCTACATCTCTGTCAATCACTAAGGAAGCATATTCTTTGCGCAATGCTTCCAGCTCCTCTTTCACGGCTATCAAATCAGAAATAGCTGCTGTGTACCTGGCTTTTGCAACCTCAAGTTGTGCCTTGGCTGCAACACTAGATTCGTCAGCAATACCCTGCTCCATCTCTTCCACTCTGAGCTTTGCAAGTTCTGAGTCCTGTCTTGCTTGATGCTCTTCCGTTTGAGCCCTCTCTAGGTTAAGTTTTAATTCTTCTATTAGTCTCTTTGTGCTGTCCAACTCCTTCAGTACTTGAACCTTTTCATGCTCAGCAGTCTCTGCTTGTTTTTTGTAATCTGGGATCTCCTCTTGTGCTTTCTCAAGTTCTTGTTCTACAAGAGTGCGCCTCTGTACGTCCAGGAAAAAACTAAAGTTAACTGCAGTTCCAGCAGATAAACATGCATGGCAGGAAGCAAGCTGGGAAGAATTATCATCAGCGTCTCTATAACACTGATGATAGAGAATCAGAAAGCACATACATTAGCCAAAAAGTACTGGCAATTCATTTCCTACTTCATTTTAGTCCAAAATGAATTGATAAGGAAGGAAATCACAAAAACATGTATGAAATGAACGTGCACTGCAATTTCTTTATAATGGAAAGAAAAGCAATTCAATTGCAGGATTTCAAAATTCATATTTTCCTAGTATTACTACAACAGTTTTGCTATAGCACCACTTGTTAGGGAGTATTAAATGCATTCTAAAATGCTTTTGACTACTTTAAAATACATGAAATTATTATTGCTTTTCCAATATAATAAATGCTTTTCTTTTCATTAAATACTTTTTACTTTTATTTATTTAACCAATGACTCAAGGACACTTATTAGCATTCTCCTATTACAATTAGTATCGTCAGAGTTCAACCTTCAAGAACTTCAACCTGTTTAACACTCAAAACTGATCATAGCATAAGTAACTTCGCCTCCGTGTTAGGTGTCACATATCCCAAAATAACAGAGTTGATAATCCAGTGTCATAAACTGGAGATATGGTATACGCTCAGCTCCTAAAAAAAGTTGATGGGTAATGACTTGGAAGAAGAAAAAAGGACAATTGCATCACAAGATCCAACAAGTAAATTTTACATATACAGCAAATAAAAAGGAAAATTTGTCAACACTCCACATAAGGAACGCTGAGGGAATATGTAACAAATAAAAGTTTCATGTTTCTGCAACATGTGTGCTTGGCCCATAACGTATGATATGCCCCGTAATGTAACTTGGCTTGGCAAGTAATTTCACATTTTTATGGTCAACGTTAACATGAAAGCAGCCATCAAAGAAACCTTGTTAATCTTCCAAATTAGCGGATGTTGTGTAACTACCACAACTGCCACTGATAATCAAAACGATACTAAAACTATTGTTTTCATCTTTCTCCCTATTACAGTATTTACATCTTGCGTATCTTCAATGGAGATGGAGAAGAAACCAGAACAGTTGAAAGAATTATTTCCTTGAAAAGAAATAAGAGTAATAGAATTTGAAAGTTTAAGTAAGAAGTGTGAAGAAGATAAATTGAAAATAATGGTCATACCAAAAGATGCAGATAAAATTACAAGACAGATATACCTCCACAGTCTGGATCCTATGAGCCTTCCAGTCCACAATTCCTCCAAACTTGGAAACAGCTTCCTTGACAGATTCAAATGGAGGTGTGGTATCAATAAGGCCTCTTTTTGCATCAATCAGCTTGGTACCAGAGAGTGAGTCAACTGTTCCCATAGCCATTTTCAGTTCCTCAAGATCATTTTGCGAATATTTTGTTTCATAAGAAGAATCTGAGAGCCTAATCTCATTATCAACATCACTGTCAGCAGTGATGTTAGTAACATCAACCAGCAATTCAGGCCTGTCAGAAACATCTTCTACAGCACCTGGTTCATAATTTTCAACCAATGTTACCTGCTCCCTTTTTTCTGTTACATCAATGTCAGCATCTGGGTTTGAAGCAGAAATACATATAGATACACACTCATCTTGTATTATAGTTTGATCATCAGAGGCATTTGGCAACACTGCTGATTCAGAGAACTCATTCACTGGCAAATGAGCGCCAAACACCATTTTTCCATTACTAAGTGGTATTGATGAAGCTTCGGTGGAAGATTGATCATCTGTTGGGTTTATCACGTCAGTATTTTCTTCAGGTGGTTCTACCAGTGGCATCTCTTCAGCAATTTTTAAAGAGGATTCAGCAGGTAGCTTGTCTCCAACATGCTCAGCCAGTAGTGTCTCTTCAGCAACTTTTGAAGAGAATGCAGATGGTTGCTTGTCTCCAACATGTTCAGGCAGTGGTGTCTCTTCAATTATTTCTGAAGAGGCGTTTGACAGTAGCTTGTCTCCATGTTCTGCCAGTGGTGTCTCTTCAGAAATTTTTGGAGAAGAATCAGATGGTAGCTTGTCTCCAACATGTTCTGTCAGTGGTGTCTCTTCAGCAATTATCGGAGAAGATTCAGATGGTATCTTGTCTCCAACGTATTCTGCCATTGGTGTCCCTTCAGCACCTTTTGAAGAGGAGACGGGGGGTATCTTGTCTTCAGCATCCTCCATTGAAAGGAGCAGTGAGCAGTCAGGAGTGCTAATGGTGTCTAAACACTAAAAAACAAGTAATAGGAGATTCAATTGAGGAAAATGAAAGCAAAAACAAGAGAATTACAGCCTATATAAGCTTTCCAGAAAATACAATTGAATTTGAAATTAAAAATAACCATCCATACGTTTCAATTTAAGTGGGATTGCTACTAACAAGAACGAGTCACAAATGGAGAATTGAATTCTTTATATACCATTTAATTTCTTTTCTTTTCACAATCATCATCTCTATTGGGCAGTTAAACGATGTTGTTTCCTAAGTTTCCGAGGACAGATTGTGACTTCTTGACAGACAATTCTAATATAACAACACAAATAAATCAGCCTACGTCCATCTAAACGGTATTGAACGGAGCATTCAAACGTTAATCCCTATTTTGTCAGATGTAGAGATCTCCTTCTATTTCAAGCTCCAACCACAATTACTTGCAATTCAGAAACTATTTAGGCACCTCATACAAGTTCCTATCGGAATGCAATTTACAATGACAAAGACAAAAACAAGGTGGGATATATTGGTAAATTAAAAGAAAAATCACAATAGAAAATAAAATCTTCAATTTGAAAATAATCTTAAGCTGTACATTACGCAATCTGCGGTAGCTAACCTTTAGAAGGCGAAGACTTCAATCGTTAAGGATACTATGAGATTAGTTGCAGAGAAAATACACGGAAGTAGAAAAATCTTATGAAAGCAGAAGAACAAAAACAAAGCTAACGGAGAAGTCCATTTCGTTGGCGAAGGCAACAGATATGTGTATTCGCACGCTCTGTTTCCTTCCCTATAAGGTTGAGGGAAGTATGTAAGCGTTTGGGAAACATGTTATGTCCAGCTCTAGTAATTCATACACAAACAGTTGCATGCAACGATGTGATCATAAGCAAATTAAACGAATAAAATTGAAAGAGGAAGAAGAATAAGGAACATACCCGATTCGAATTAGGAATAATAATAATTAATAATTAGAAAACTGAAAGTTGGGAACGGCAGATACTAATGGTGTCTGGAAAATTTGAGGAGGAAATTAAAATTAGGTTGGGCAAAAATAAATGGAGGTGGAAAAATATGCAGCTAAATTTAGAACACAGAGAAATACGGAGAAATATACCAGTTAGTGGAGCCTACCTCCTCGCACAGATTAGATCCATCTGTACCGTCTTTCTCCCTCATATCCAAATATCTTCAATAATCATTCAATCAATGCCTTTATTTAAACTAACCTTTTTCTTCTGTTCACTCCTGTTAGTATCACTATTTACTACCGCTATCTACGCCATTTTGCTTCACGTCCAACGTAGAACAACACTTTTTTTATTATTAAAAATATACAACTACATATCTTTTTTTATATTTTATGTATATACGCAACCTGTAATTGATGCAGTGAATTGCTTATTACTAAATTAATCTTTCGTAGTTGGTATTGTGTTAATTCAAAACTAGCACACTAATTTTAATACTACTATATATAAGATTAATTAGAGGACAAAAGTTTTCTAAACCTAGCACACCCACCTTGCAGATCCGGGAGAGGTGGTCCAACTTTCATCTCTCTTTTCATTATTAAATGAATATTCGTACTTTTGTAATTATCAATAAATTTTTTTCGTTAATATTTGAAAATGCGTGAAAAAATATGTTTCCTCTTCCATTTGATCCCTTTTTTCTCCCAGTGATTATATAAAGATAATTGATAAAAATATTGTCCATGATAATTTGTGAAAAGGAAATGACAGTGTTAAAGTGGTGTGAAGCGAAAGGTGACTTTGAGAATTTTCAAAGTTGATGAGCAATAAAGTTGCCGGCGAAATTAAATGATGTAGATTCGGGCATGGCGGAGCGTGTAAATGAAGAGGTCGATTGCACCCCACATGAGATCCATGATACCGACACTAATGCACCGTGAATTATTAATAAACATTAATTAATTTGAGTTCTTTACTCTTTCTTTTGCAATCAACGAACATGTGATGTGGACCTCGTAATTTGTGTGTTGGGCCTAAAAGAGTCCAACGTCCTCTCATCCGTTGGATGCTGCAAATATCTAGTGATTGCCATGTAAAGTAAAGGCTTGTTTGGTTAGCTTTCACATGTCTTGATACAAAATTTGTAGTGGAAATAGACAGTGAATAATCAGTACTCAATCTTGTTGCGTAGTTGTGACTCTGATTTTGAAGTTTCGATAGATGGATCTTGAACAGTAAGTAATTGGGATGAGAAGAAACAACACACGCTTCTCATAATCTCTTGTAATTTTAGGTTCAGATAATTACTTTGGTTCAAATAAGTCATACATGAAAGCAATATTGTGAATTGATGAAGTAATTGATTTTTATTAAAAGCGTGGCTGTCAACTAAAGTTTGGGGGGCCAAAGTTTATTTTATTCTTTTGGTTTTATGGCATACCAACCCAATGGTGCCACGTCCATAGTTCCTTTGACACTAAAGTTGGATTTAATATCTGCGTAAACTTTGGCTTTTGCTGGAGAATCATTGTTTGGTGGGGTTAAAGAAGTATACGATGGCTTTTTCAAATAAATTTAAATAAAAAAATACAAAAATTGGTTGCGTGGAATATTTCGCTATTTATTTTCTATTATCACTTTCGGAATTATTTATAGTTTTTTGTGTTATCTAATTAAACTTTTAACTTTAATTTATTTTCTTTTTAAGTTATAATCTTTTAAAGCAGGGAATTTTTGTTTTATGAAGAAGACAAAGTAGAAAATTTAAAAGTTAATTATTAATTGAGATTAGAAAAAAAGATTAGTAGAGTGAATTAGCATACTTTGAGTACTGAATTGAAAGTTTAATAATTCACAGTTTGCAAGTAACAGTTTACAAATTTAAATACTTTTCACTGTTATTATTATTAGTAGTAATAATAATCGCACTAGTAACTTGGATTTTAATGAGTATTGCAGATCCTTTACTTTATTTTTGTAGTTAGTTAAGAAAAAAATAAAGAAGCCAACGATGCACTCGTTGGTCTAGTTCTGCATATGTGTACTAACAAAATTATCTATTATAGCAGATTTAGCATAGGTTTTATAATTAAATTTTTAAACGTGTTTTTAAATATATAATAAAAAATAATAAGTATATTAAATTTTGTGATATTATATATCAATTATGATTTAGTTCTTATCACGCTTTTCAAGAAAACAGTTAAAGTTATTAAAATTTTAGAATAAATTATCTGCATGAGTGAAGGTTAGTGTGTTCACCCTTCTACAGTAGAGTATAGTAAGACAGATGGGATTCCTAAAAGACCGTTGAATAGGAAAAATACAGATGCGAAACGATGGGATTCCTAAGATACAGATGGGATTACTATCTCTACTTTTGTCTTTTACTTTAGAGGTTTAAATAATGTTTTATCTCTTTACTTAACTTGAATTTATAAGATAATTTTTTTATGAAAAAAATTTATAAATTAGTTTTTATATATATATTTTATTTAATCTTTATTATTAAATTTAGAATAAACAACATTAAATAAATAAAAAATTAAATTAAAAATAAATTAATGTAAAGATTAATTTATAAATTTTTAACATATAAAGACTAACTTGTAAATTTGAGTTAAAAATATTTTTATAAATTTATAATACATCTTTGTTTTGTATCTTTCTTTTATAATTCATTTATACTCTCTTATTTGCTTCAACTTTTAATTTCATTATCTTTATTATTTATTTATTTTTTGTATAAACTTTAATAGAGTTTAGAGTCTCTTTTTTTTGTAGGTTCTTATTCCTAAAACTCAATAAACTTTTAACAATCTTTACTGAATTCTCTTCTTCTCTCAACCACTTTGCTGTTTTCTTCTTCACCTTAACTCTCACTCACGCTCATCTATCACAAACTTCAATCTCTCATTAAAACTTTTCCGTCCTTAAATGCATCTTTATCGGTGTTACTAGTAACAGAATTACTAACACGTTCATCTATGCTTTTATCTATTTTTTCAACACCATCAAAATCAAATATAAAAAAAAAGTATATTTTAAATTTACAAAAATACTTTTGATTCATATTTATAAGTTAATTTCTATATATAAAAAAATTTGTAAATTATTCATCATATTACATTTATTTTCAATTTAATCATTTATTTATTTAATGTTGTCTACTCTAAACTTAAAAGTAAGGACTAAATCAAAAATAAATATATGTATAAAAATTAATTTATAAAATTTTTATATGTAAAGAATGACTTACAAATTTGAGTCAAATATAGAAACTAAAATATTATTTAAACTTACTTTAAATTCATGTTAAGTTGATTCACATGTGAAAATTTATTTTTGGCAAGAGATAAGATTCACTGCATAGGGTTATCATTCTTCTCTTATAATGTATCTTTTCTCTCTAGGATCGCTGACTCACGCCAAACACCACTGAATATATTAGTATTTAAATAATAAAAATTATTCTTATGTTTTTGAACGTGAATGTGTTAACTCTGTATTAAGAACCTAGTCAGTTTAACTAAAAGCATATACCATTGTGTGTACGGGGAGTAAGCTTTTAATTAAATGATGCTTGGGGTTTTAGTAATTTTAAATCTTCTTATTTTTTTCCCTCTCTATTTTAACTGTAGTCTAACCACACTCTAAACCCTGAACCCTAAACAGTATTTAGCTACTTATCAGAAAAAATAAATTCCAAGTTGTGAAATATATGATATTGATTGGGACATAATATATGGCGGTGCACAGTTTGGAGGATGAAAGAAAGGAAAAGAACAGAAAATGTGAATTAATCCATAAGGAGAGAGGAAAATCGTCTAGGATCCTTGATATTGATTTTCCAGTGCCCATCGCCCAATCCCATCTTCCGAGCCTTCCTTCTCTCCCAGTTCAACTCAGTGCGACGTCGTTTCGTCAACCTACACAAACTCTGCAAGTTGACGTCCATTGCATCGTGAACTTTCCACCACCGGCGGTGAGCGACGTCACTGGCGTAGGCGCGCTGTTCCAGCGTGTCCCAGTTGCAGTCATAGTCTCTGTAGCAGTGCCAGGGCTTCCAACCCAGATAGTGAATGGCGTAAACCTTGGGAGGCTCCGCCGCAAACAACCCGTTCTTGACCCTCGCCTCCACCGTGGTGTTGGCCCAGAAATTCTTCAAGAAATTGACCCTCCGGGGCAACCGGTGCCACCACACGAACACCTCGTTCAGGAACCCCTGGTCCCCTCCGTTGTAGGAAACGATGTCGTCTCGGTGGCTCATGAGTATCCGGAAGGTGCAATTGGAGGGCTCGATCACCATGATGCCAGAGTTGAAGATGGATTGGTCGTTACCGGAGGCGGATATCTGGGGGAAGTGGAAGAGAATGTCGAGCTTACGAAGTACGATGATGTCGGAGTCAATGAAGATGATTTTGTGGTAGTCGGTGAGTTGCCAGAGACGGAACTTGCTGTAGTTGTGTTCGTTGTAGCTTCCTTTCTCTGCTTTGGGGTTTCGGATCCGGTTGATGATTCGGATCTTCCAGCCCGCTTCGGATAGGGCCTGGCGTTTGGGAAGGGAGATGAACTTGTCCGTCAGGAGGATAAGGTCGCGTTTGGTTCCTGTTTGGATGAGGCTCTGTGCGAGTGTTATTGCTCCACAGACGTAGGCTTCTGAGGAGTGCAGCACCGTCGCGTACGCTTCGCGTTTAACTCTTCCGCTGCTCGTCACTCTCTTTTCGATCTTCGACCAGTCGTACACTTTGTCAATTCCTGCAAATCTCAACTTTCTTTTTAGTTTGCATTGCATTGGGCCGCGCCACGTTTTTTTTAATTTTTGATTCAAAAAAGTCAAACCAAAAAGAGTGTTCTACAATTTTTTATTATTCTTACAATTACAATTATAGGAAATTATGTACAAAAACAAATAATATATTATGATGATTGAACGTTTTTACCGGTTCTGAAACGTGATTGGAAACTGCTAACTAACTTTGTTTGTATGCTACGGTTGAGGTTTCTTAAAAGACTATGCGAACAAAGGCAATTATGGATCCATCTAAATCTAAAATAGTGATTTGTTCATATTGCATGGAAAATGAGGTGGTTGATAGGTTGTTCACCCACAACTCTTGACCTGTAATTAATAATTTTGATTGTCATTGTCCTCCTGCTCCCACTATCAAAAATAAAAATTAAAACTTCCAAAACGATAATAAATGACATACAAAAGAAATAGAGTTAAGAGATAGACCACTTCATTGATTACTGCTATTACTATGGAATTTTAAAACTTCAAAAATTTATCATACGCACGCATTTATTTTTTGTTTGTTCATCTTTTTATGAAACATAACTTGACGGACATAAAATCTTTTTATGAAACATTTGCGGATGGCATTTTTTTTATTTTTATCATCACACCGAATTTATTATTATTTTTTTGCTCGTTTAAAATTTTAGAGAATTAAAACGTTTCCATCGGTAGAATAAAAAGATTGCAATGAAAAGCATATGTCCGAATGTCTTCACCTCCCCTACGCTCCCCTCTGGGGAACAAACGGAGAAGTTCTTTGATAGAATTAAAAAGAAAAACGAAATTGATATTCACTCGTTAAGTTTTGTAAATAATTTTAATGTCGGTTAACGATGAATAGATTTATGAATAATGCATATATTTTGGTCAATAGGACGAGTAATCAATCACTATCGCATTAATTAAAGTTTTGGATTATAAATTTAAGTATAAATAATTAGTATAAAAATAATATATAGAAAAAGTGTGACAACATTTCTACAGATTTTATTTGACCTTACAAAGTAGTTTACGATCTCATTATAATTTCTAACATTTATTTTAATAAATAGATTTGTCTAAGTTATTTTAGAGGATAAATTAACGACATCTTAGATGAACTAATGAAATTAAGGTATTTTATAAACTTTTATTTAATTTTTTGCTGACACAATTTCATTACTCTATTTAAGACCATGATGTAAGTTATCTTATAGAGAAACTCTTAATCATTTTGCTAATTAAGAAAAAGGAAAAGCACAGTAGGTAAACAAAGAGAGGAAAAGTGCGCGCGTGTGTGTGTGTGTGTGCGCGCGCGCGCGCGCGTGTGGGTGACATACCTTGTTCCCAGAGAGGCAAGGCCAACTTGCAGGAGCCAACGGGCAAAGAGACCTTGAGTTCCAACCTATTAACGTCAGCTTGATAATACCACCATTGACCTTCGCGGGTAACCAAGTGGGCGCATGGAAACAGCTCAAGCATTGGTCTACACTTGCTCCAAAATACCACTCTTGTCTTCCCACTCCAGTCCTTCTTCCCCTTCTTCATGGCTACATTTGCCACTATTAGATGAACTTGCAACCGAAAAACGTCCCTCCCCCACCCTTCTTCAGGATACCTGCATGGAAGCTTAGCCACGATCACGTCCATGCTTCCGTATTTTGCATAATCTGGCATTGATATATCCGGGCATGATGGCACGTCATTCTCTTCCTCCTCGTCTATCCATTCAGGAAACAAGTCCGTCCAATTGAGAGACTGTGATACCCTTTCAAAATAAACTGTTGTCGTTTCCCCATGTATGCTCCATTCACTCACATCCTCTTCTTCCATGTTCACCATTCCGATCTTCATTCCTTTCCCCAACTCGCGAAAGAAGCTAGGTACTCCATTCCCTTGCATTGCTCTCAGATTCTCTTGCCTCTGCGGTTTTGCTTGAGGTTCCTCAAACACTGCTTTCATTTTGAAGCTCTACAAATTTGAAGATCAGACAAATAATGGCCGATCAAAACACATGCTTCATTTTTCACATCAACTTAAGTTTGAATTCGACACATACACAAAAACCAAAGATAGGTAGGCTCACCTTACCCTGTGATGACATTCGTGCAGGGAGCACCTCACTAAGGAGGCTGCATTCTCGAAGTAGTCTGAAGAAGACGGAAGGAGAAGAAAGGTTGCATAAACAACTAGAAAGACGGCAAGGAAGACCAACTTGACTCTGGTAATTAAAGCTTTAGATGGCACCGTCTTCACCATCTTTTGAAGACTCGAACCTTTCATCCCTTGATAAGAAGTATTAACAGGAATGCCCGAGTAGAGGACTAGATTATATGTCTAAATAAATTAACTCCACACTCATCAACTTAGATGTGAGTTGTGTAGTAGTTAAATATAATCAAGAGAATGAGGATTAAGGATTCCAAGTAGTAGTTAGAGAATTAGAGTAAATCTCAAATCAATGCAGTCCATTTACGTAGCTCCAGGTGTCCTTTCCTTGCTTTATATTTCCCTCGAATGAGACGAGATCGAAACAAAACTGCTTTTGCCTAATATTTCAGGTCGAGTCAACTAAAAATTCTAAACAAAATTGGAAATTACCTATACATCATTATGTGATTACTGTAGCTAAATCAGTTTAGACCTAGCTGGAGGGGTATATAAGTAAAAACATCGAGTCCATTAGCATTAGAAAATAGTATACAAACGGAAACGTGCAAGAGCAGGATAGCAAGCTTGCCAACTTGTTTGGTTGATCCGTCAACCTCTTGCATGCAAAGAAGGATTGCTATTATATTTTCATATTGCGAGGATCCGCCATATCTTGATAGTTTATATCTCTTGAAAAATTCGCTTAGCTTATTTTATTCAAAATTGATAAAAAAAAAATGTTTGCAGGTTGCGGGTCCGCACATCATAAATAAGTAAATAACCAAAAATGATTTCAGGGCAAGTTCTGCACGGCTACATCCCAAGAGATGGTAAACTATCACATCACCCCACATCCATCGATGATTAGACTAAGTGAGAGTGGGGACAACATATGAAACCAATGGGATGCTCCCCGTTTCAATCATACAATGAAATGACGACCGGCAGTAGCTCAACTGTGTCTTTTAGGACTAAGGTAAATCACTACTTCAGGTTGTGAATAAACCAATTATGTATCCAAAACACCAAAAAGGGTGATCATCAATTGTGATAACATCCTTCAATCCGTAGCACAGCGGCCTGCCCAACCATCCCCATCATAATAAAACCAAAATTTTCTAGATCTCATCTTCAAAAACAGAATGGATATCAAATGTAAATGAAGATCATTCTCTCCCTGAACTCATAAAAGTAGAACTCAAGGAATAAAATTACAACTTCTGTCAAAATAAATAAACTGTACATATGTATGAGTAAGAACACCCCTCATACATTTGGTATTTAGCATACTCAACAATGGTGGTTCCACGGACCTCTTAATTGAAATGGACGTTAGCGGTTATGTCCTCTCACATACACATATACCTTATATCCACTGAAAAATTTTAAAGCAGTATCTGCATCAGAAGGAATTTTTTTATTGATAAGAGAAGGAAGAACAACACAATTGTTGGAAGGCAGAGGTCCTGACATCTCACCAGCCCAGTGGAATGTGACAACAATAGCATCCAATTTGCTCAAGAAAACCATATAAAACTATGGTTAGCTTAAGTTCGTACCCAGGAATCATTCGTTAATTTCTTGTATGTGTTGAGAGTGACTTTTTCCTGGTGGAATAAAAATTAAATCCTCCCATCCTGAGTTCCTTTCACTCATCTGTACCATCAGAGAGGGAGAGAACTAGTCACAATTCAAACTACTGCCCAGATTATAAGCTATTGAATTGAACCTGTAAGCAGACTTAATTACCTCCATTTTTTTCAATACATCTTCCAAGCTACCAACCTGTTTTTGTTTCATAATGAAGGGAAAAGAAAACGAGAAACATAAGCAAACTTCAAACAAATAATAAATTGAAAAAACAAATCTAGTGCCTATTTATCCCAAATGTGGAATCGATTCCTGCAAATTTGGCTATTTCGCAATCATGTACATCAACAATGTTAATACAAACGGGCCACTGCTCTAGCATGGAAATATTTTTTTATTTGTTGAAAAACTCACAATCACTAGATATCTAGCAGAATATCAGGACTGAAATTTGCAGACAGGGAACATGTGGTTACTCAAATCCACACACACAAATTACATCCTGTTTATTTGTGAATGACAAGTTTCTCCCTTTCCCCCTAACCTTTTCCATGCAAGACAAATAACAAGAGTTTATGAATGAACTAAAATCTCACACGGGGAGAACTTCAAGTCCCGTTTTGTTTGAAAAAATGTTTTTTATTTTCATTTCCTGCTATCACTAATGATTACTACTAGAATATGATTACTATTAGAATATACGAAAATATACGAAAATTCCCATTTCCTCTTTCTCTCTTAGGATTGACAACCGTATTTCCTTATCACATTGATTTGTTTCCTATTAATTTAAGATTATGATTAGTAATAGAATAAATAAGGATTAATGGTCTAGGTTTATCAACAATATATCACATTATAATGCATTAATCAAAATACTCAATAGAATATCAAAGTCTTTCTTCTCTCCAATTTTCTCCCATAATCCCTTAAACTTCATAATTTCAATACTATAAAAATGTAACCTTATTTTTGTTTGATTTCCTATTTCTAAAAATTTACACAAACGATGGTGAAAACAAATCTTTGATCTTTTTACTAAAACCTTTCACCATTTCCTATACAAGACCTGTGAAAACAGGAAAGTGTGAAACTAACATGGCAGTTATTGTAATTGTTAAGAGAAATTGTCTTCTCTACCCAAACATGCCCTTAGAATGCTATTTTCACATTGAAGCAACCATACAACAGATAATTTGTTTACCATGAAAATAGAGAAAACGTTTAAAAAAAATCATTTAGAGAACCAAAATTAACTATTCCATCAACATAACTGTTTTCAAGTTATAGTTTGGTTCAAAGCGAAATTTAAATAACACAAGCATTTCTTACCTAAATTGATGTAATGGTTATCTAGAAAATATATTACACAGACCACTATAATTCAACCAACTTTTCAGAAAGTTTTCAGGTTGATCATACAGGTAGTTAGATGTTGATGTTTATTTAAGATGAGTCTTGCACAAAACATTGGGCAAACACAAAATCAGCTTTTTCAGAGTTCAATAAAATATGCTACCACTTGTGATGACTAAAAAGATTGTGAAACTAGTAAGTAGCTTTGACAAATAAATTAGAATGTCAAAAGTATAAGAATTTAAACCAAACTTCATTTACAAACATGATTCTGAGTTTCTGACAGAAACAAGTGCAAACAAGAACAAGAAATGACAGATTTTGTACCGCTATATTCTGAGAAACACCGGGTCCCCTGGATGCCCTGGAAACCTTGGACAACTCCTGCTCAATATCCTCCTGTCCATTTAACCAGCATATTATAAAAAAAAAACCCATATAATTATATTCTACCAAGCAACATGCCTAATAATGCCTTAATAGTGTAAGTGAAGTATGAGTAGATCAATGAGTCAGCCAAACCTTTGAGAAATACACAGGGCAATAACGTTTGTTCTTCTTCTTCACAACCAAAAGTTCTGACTGTAAGCACATATGATTAAGCTATCAGCTATTAGCCAGTCTCTAATATTTATATATCAAACATCGTATACCACAAATCAGCTGCACTTAAATGGCAATACTAAAACAGTTCCAATCTACCACATAGACAGAGAAATACTAAAATAGTTAATGAATTTAAGCCATCAGCCAGTCTCTAAAATTTATATATCAAAACATCATATACCACAAATCAGCTGCAGTTAATTAGTTCAGTGGAAAAAAAATGTTATGATGTTTGTACCGGTAGTAATACACTGATACTAGCCTTGCTATACCGATAAATACACAAAACAAAAGACAAGCTCATACCAATTTGTAACTGCCACCCACAAAATATCATTTACCCAAAAGGCCTCTTCACAACTAAAGTTTGTGAACAAAAAAGAAAGCATACCTGAAAAACAGGAACTCCATCAAAGCCTCCCTTGTTGGCTGGTTTGAGCTGATAAATGTGAAATGGAAACGAAATTAAACACAATATAATGGCTCAGTGGTGGTTCTTCAATATGTATGCTACATATTTATTGTCGTAAAACTAATGCCCACACTGCAACTACCATGTATATTTTCAAAGCTTCTTTCTCTCATTATCATCACAGTTATTAGACTCAGATGATGAAAAATAATGGTGCAGATTAAGTGATGTGTTGTGCGCAGACACTGCAGAGTGCAGGAAATATAATAAATGCTCACCTCCAAAGCATTCTTTATTTGAACTGGATCAGGTAAGAATCGGAAAGCAATTCCTTCAACCTTCAACATATATACCTGTAGCAGAAAAGTAGTCATATGTAAAAGGTGCAGCATAAACACCATAACTGATGTGCTTCAATACCCAGTTGCAGTCAGTACTCAGTAGCATGTTCTCTCCCCATTAATAGGAAAGATGGACAACAAGATGCATGGTTGTAAAGCTCCTGCTAAGTGTCCGTGGAACATTAGTCATGATTATAAATGCTGACGGTTGCATAGCCATTCCAAAGCAAATTCAAAGTGGAAAATTTTTTTTTGGATTGTTTCACTTATATCAAGCCTCAAGGGTAAACAGTAATTCAACTTCATGACAAATAATATTTCCTATCATAATTAAATCAATCCCCACGTGACTTTCCATATGATAGAAGCCAAACCACAACTCTATCGCGTGTAAAACAGGGATTAGTCAATTAAAAGCATTTGACAGATACATGTATGAGAAACAGAGTCAACATTGGCAAAATAAGTAATAAGAATAATGCAGAATCTAAGAATAAAGATAAAATATATATTTATCAAGTAACAACTTCTATAATGTTGTTAATACATATAATTTAACCACCCAATACAGTAAAGGTAGAAACAGATAATAAAATAGTCATGCATCACTTCAAGCCGATTAAAACTAGACAGCACTGACTCAAGATAAAAATACAGTCATGCAACATCGGTAAGAAATCCACATTAGCAATTATCATGTGGATTATAAACCAATGTATTCACTTTTCGGAGCAATAACTACTTCAGAAAGTCAGCATTATGACGAGAGTTAAGAAACGGACCTGGTCAAGAGTAATTGGTACAACCCTAGCCTTGCCTCGAAGTTCTCTTCTCCGCGATCGAACCTAGAAGAAACCAGCAGGTGCAATTAAGAGGAAGAAAATAAGATGAGGGAATTTGGAACGAAGAATTATTTGAAAGAAAAAACCTGAGCAAGGAAGGCTTCGGCGTCCTCTTGACGAAAGCAAAGCAATCCAATGGACTTAGCTCCGTCGGCGTCCGAAATAAGAACGAACTCATTATTGGAATTGCTGACGGTGTAAACAGAGGTGCCGACGAGGGACTTAGCCACATGCTGGGAACCCAAAGTAGCAGTAGCGGCGAGGGCGTGTTTGGGGAGTGACAGATGATGATGAGCTTGAGCTAGGGTTCGCTTGGCGTCATCCAAACGCGTCGCAAGGTGAGAGCCTAGACGGACGCAGTTTTGATGGATGAAGCTCGAAAATGACAGAAGCGGGTTAGAGTGTCCGCGCGACTCCATCTTAAGCTTTCGTGACTTCGTCTTCACCCCATCCCTCCACATTTACCATAAATATCCCCATTTCCATCCTCTCTAAACTAACTTTAATTGCGCCTTATTTCTTCATCGGCCCATTATTTTTTAATCTCAGGCCCAAACCTGTTTAACATGTGAGTTTCGCCTCCAATTAAACAAATCAGAATTATGTTCCTATGCTCGTGTTATCTGTAAATTAATATATACCACCGATGCTGCTGCTGGCTTGTTATCCAAATTGATGCTAATACGAGTTTGATTAGAAAAGGTGGTCTGTATTTGAATTTAACTATAAAAAAATATTAAATTTAACTATAAAATAAAGGTTTATTCATTTATTTGCTAATGAATGATTGAGATAATTTTCTTATAATCTGAAAAAAATATAATTTTAAAAAATAGTTACTGAAGTTTAAAAAAAAAACAAAACAAAACGTGTTTAATGCATGTTTAAGGTGTACAAAATTGTATTTTAAAATAGTTCTCAAATCCTTCTCGTTCTTCCTTGGTGTCCATAATTTATTATGAACAATACGCTTGGCAGCATAGACGGGATACATACGTCTTTTGAAATGGTGTGGCTTTTATATACCAATTTGCAAAGAGAATATACCCAGCAACATTTATGCTTATATACCAAATTATAAAAGAAATACATAGAAAGGCTAAAGGCACAACAGCAACCATATTGTTAATTGAAATAAGAAAAATAATATTGTAGCCACTCACCAGCCAAAATCAGGGTTCTCTGTATAAATACAAGGTGCGTGTACGTAGCGATAGAGGAGACAATTTTATATATAGAGTGTGTCCCGTACATGCATCCTTTAAGCAGCAGCTGCCAAACTGCAAGGAAAACGATTCTTATTCTTCCACAAAGGATGCAAATTAATATATTGAATATACTCCAATTCATATACCCTATAAATTTGTAAATAATAATAATCATTAATTGGTGCTTTAAGAAAATACGAAAACAAATGCACGTGGCAATATAAATACAGAGCCCACGCTCGGAAGATGATCGTGAGAGGTTGAATAGCAGGAGCATATATAGCGAAATTAAGGTTATGGCGTTCGTCGTGCATAATGTGTCGAGCGATGGGAAGCGTGTGATGACGGTGGAGCAGTTTAAGCGGTGGTTGAAAACGGCATTTGACACCGACGGAGATGGCAGAATCAGCAAAGCCGAACTGCGCCGTGCCGTGCGCCTCACCGGAGGGCTCTTTGCCTCCTTGAGTAGTGGCCGAGCCTTCAAGTCTGCAGACGCCGATCATAATGGTTTCATTGATGAAAACGAATTCAGAAACCTTGCGCAGATCGCTGACAAGCATTTCAATGTCAGGATCACTCGCTAATTTTTCACTTCTTCTTGCATGCTTACTTTTTCATTTGTATCTTTGAAGGATTGAAGCATTGATAAAACAGCTCATAATTATTGTACGGTATTATGAGATTATTGATTCCATTTTTTTCCTTGAGAAGAGGGGACGAAGACATGCTTCTTATAACTTTCTTTTTCGATAAAGGGGATTAGGAATATCCCCATACTTTTTCTGTTAACATAAATAGTTAAATACATATATTAGCAAAGTATAGCTAAATGTATCTTTTGCAAGGAATAATCCTGCATAAATGCATAAGCTAAGAACATCTATAATATAGTAAAACTAATTGTCATAACAAATGTTTCTTTATACATAAAATTATACTCAAAACCTTGCCCAACTTAAATTAACTTCTATTGATGATTGTTCTAATAAGTTAGGTCTATTATTTTATTTATTGCTCTTCTTTCATGTCCCTCCTTAATTTCTTGTTATGAGTGTTTGGATAAAGAATTTAAAATACGTAAGGATTTAATACCTTCAATTAACTGCCAGTCATTTCTAAGCACCAGGTATAGCTTAATATTTTGATTATTTGTTCCTTCTTAAGCCTATCACTCGTCACCTTCGTTGTTTTAGTTGCTTGGCTTTTCCTAGTTCCTCAATTTTCCACATCGTGATCACTCCAGTATATAAGAACATTTGGATGATGGAAATTGTTCTGAAGCAGTAAAACTTACATGGGTGGTGCGTAAAGGATGATTGAAACACGTAAAAATAAGAATCATAAAAATGAATGCGAGCATAAACTTTTCTATATGGCAAAATAATAAAACTGAAGTGGACGAGTTACTCAAGTACAGTTACTTACAGTTATACAATTAAATGAAAAGGACTTAACGAACTAATCTATCGATAATCAAGAAATGATAACAAATGCGTGAGATTCCATGACTTTAGTGGTGATGGGTTAACACCAAACCAACCAAGGACAAAAATGGATCTGATATCTTTTATCAAACTGGGGAAGAATTTCCATCATACTCTTTCAGGAGAATCCCATCCATCAACTTATGAGTTCCGATAAATCAATCCAGAGTACATATGTCAACAACATAACGAAGTTGTTCTCTTCGGGCTTAGATGCATGTCACCTGTATTAGCAAAACATTAACAAAACGAAATAGCATGCACAATTGCACATATACATAGTGGTACAAACATACACAACCTTAATATACAAGCATAAGATAAAATTAATCACGTTAATATTCCCTCCGCTCAAATTAATTTTTAAAAACAGAAAACTATTTTAAAAACAGAAATCAAACATACTCTAAATTTTTTTATACTACTATTTATTATGAAATTTATGTTAACAATATATTTATTCTTTACTCATATACATGTACGGAAATATATTTATTCATTTAATATGAGACATCAATTTAATCATTTATTACAATAGATATTTTTTAATTCACTATATATTTATGACATATAATTACTTTCTTTTGATCTTCATGAATTGCTTATTTGTATTTTATTAAAAAAAATAGGAGGGAGCAACTTCCATACTTCCAGTTCCAGGAGAATATTGAACACATTATACAAGAAAAATATAAAGATATTTCCCGAAAAAGTTCCTGATTAAATTAATGGAAACATTTTAGTTGAAAACCCATTAAAATATTTCAAGTATCTAATAACTAAAATTAAATCCTGGAGTGAGGACAGATTATGCTGACCTGATAAAATTAAAACCCATGTAATGCTTGGAGCAGCAAAGCCTGCACCATCCATGTCCAGATCAACATAATTGAGCCCAAAAAGCCGCGGGGCCCTTTCAAATATCTACTGCAAGAGGGGGTAGCTTCCAGAAATTCCATGAATTAAAGTCCTCCTGCAACCAAAAATTCAGCAAGAAGACGGACAAAATTAAGTTACATATGTTGCATTACAAATATATCCTTAACAGAATGAAACTAAAAACATTCAAAGAATAATAATATAACCAGGATCTATTATTCGCTTGTTTGGTTTCATGTTAGAATGCAGGTAAATCCATGTTTAGTTCAATGCTGCTAATTGTAGCTTTTGCATTGGATCCCTGATTACAGGCTTTCTAACATGTTTCAAAACACACACTATATAACACAGCAGATAAAATATAAAAAGACCTACCAGAGTTCTCGCTCACACCTAGCATGCTTTGGAATTTAAAATTTTGGGAAGACCACAATTAAATATGTGGAACACAATTCCCAAGACTAGCATTATGAACAAGGAAAAAAAAAACACAAAGTTCTAAAAGATTAAAACCTGCTCAGAAGAGTTCATAGGGGGGAACATTCCATTCACGAGAGCATGCAGAGAAGTATATGATTTTGTGTCAACACGGTTTACAACAATCTCTCCCTGCAAACTTAAAAATAAGAAAGGTTTGACTAACTTCAAACATTTTAGGAACTTTTTGCAAATTTTTACTCTCTTAAAAAAATAAGAAGGATTTAATTACCTTGGGATTAATAATGAAGATTTTTCCTTTGGGAATTCCAACCTTAAGGTAGCTGATTTCATCGGTATCCCTATTTCCGAAACCAGCATAGAACGGATTGCAATCAGAAGGAAAAAGTGCTTTGATGTCCTGATGACATGAAAATTCAAATTGACTTTAATAACATGATGCGCACACTGAAAAATATTAAAATATGTTAATTTTAATAGGTGGCAGTGGGAAACTAACCTCTAAGCATGCAATTTTGAATTCATGGGGAACCCTCCTAATAACTGGAAATAGAAAACAAAAGAAGTTTCTTAATTCAGATTATTTTAACAGAAAGACCTGGGCATTTCATACTCAGACTTGAATTTTGATGAATCCCATACTCCCATTCAAATTAATTGGTCAATTAATCATGTAAAATTCAAAAAATGAGCCCTACATATATGTTGGTCACACCTCCACATGGCAGTGTCTTATGTGAACTAAGATTCAAAAAATAAAAAATCATGCAGAAAAAAAAAAATTCAAAAGTTAGTCATTTATGAATCCTGTTAACAAACACAGCCAGCACTGCATGTGTGTCTTCCCGTGAAATAAGGGAATAAAAATTTAAAGTGACACGTTTTCAATTTATTCAACTTCGCCCTTCTATACCATTCAGAGGTTCCTAGCACAATAGTATAGCCTCCCTAGCCCTATTATACAAAAGCTATCCATTGGTTAAGGTCAAAGAAGGCACAAGACTCCAGATCCAGGTTTTGTTTCAGGCTTTGGAGACTGCATTAGCTAAATCGCTAGAATTTTATCAATAAACTTATCCATTCTTCAAGAAGACACTAAACATAGAAAATTTTATTTAATTGTGCAAGATTTCTTTCATGTAAGTTGAATCTGTACTGAAAGGAAAAAAAATAACTTAAGAGACAGTAAGGTGTTAGATTGTTCAAAAATATTTTTTTTAAAATTTAATTACCTAGGTCCTTTTTCTTGTTCCGTCTCTGAAATATAAGTTCAAAAAGACAATCTACATCCATGTAAAAAAGAAAGCTTTTACAAGTACGTTATGATAAAGGTAGTCCCTTTACATGCCCCCATTCAAAACAGAAGTAATAATAATTAGAAGAAAGGAAAAAAAACGAAGCAAAAAAGAAAGATAAGCAGGCTTGTTACCTTCTCGATATAGAGAGGGGAAAAGTCCGTCTGGGGAAATAACAACAGGACCGTCTGGTAAAACTTTCCCATCCTGCAATGTAGAAAATAAATATGAAAATGTAAATTGCTTCTTTTTTTCCCCATTGTAGGGAATGGAAACTGATTGCTAAATTTTATACATCACCTGTTTAAGGTTAACTAGGAATTGCCGTGTAAGATAGGCCTGAGAAATTGAACGAGCACTGAGGAAAAGCAGTTGGTAACCATTTTCCTGAAAATGTGAAGTTGACAAGGGAAAAAGATCATTGAAGACCTCCAAACCAGGTGAAAAGAGATTTAAAGATAGCTGTTGTAGGTGGGATATAGGTACAGTTTTCATCTTAAAACTTCCTAGAAAATTAATCATATTAGAATGATAAAATATTTAAAATACAAGTAAGCTATTTTGTGGTTATAACAGACAAAGCAACCGATTATTTGTTTTGAGCATACCTACCCAAAAACTGCCCATATGCATGATCACTATCCAGTTTATCCAAGATTTACCACATTATCACATTGTAGTAATCTCAGAACATCTAAACACATGGACAAGATAAACAAACCTTGATAGCAGAGAATAAATGGGCAACACCTGTCTGTGACCAGTCAATACCAACCAAAGGCATGAACTGACCAAGAACATCTGACCTGTAAGACATGAAGCAAGATGAAGAAATTACCATTGTCACACTAAAGAGTTAGAAATTTCAAAAATAACAACAGAAGAGAAGCAGAAGACATGGACACTAATAGGTAAAAGCTTATCAGAATGTTGAAAATCCTTGCAAAAAGAAGGAAAGGAAATTAAAACAGCTTCTACAACTTTATTTTCTGTCCTCCATATAGTATTATCCTTGTGTACTATATTCATGATGTAGTTGGCATTCCAATCCCACTTAAAATTGCAAACTCTACCTTATCATCTCAAAATTGACCAAGATATTACCACAATGCACAAATTTTCTCGTAAAAATATCACCACAAACTGCCAATCAATTAAACTTCAAAAGTATAATGATAATTGTGAAACTACTTAGATCTGATAACTTTACAATGATCATGACAAGAATAATGGGCCAAACAAGGTCTTCTATTACCTAAAAATTTTACATCCAATTGGTTGGTGTCGTTGAACGGCAGCTGGCCAACCTAGGTTGTCCAGCCCCATTATCCAATAAGTAGTAAGTAGTTCATAAGCCTGATTGGGTTTATCAACTAAATAGCGTATATTAAGGTCAAATGTCTTTCATAAAATCCTAATACACATCGAAGTGTTGCCTCAGAAAAATTTTCTTCACTAGAAACGTCTAACTTCTGAACAAGTTTTTAAATTAAAAGCTCAGTATATGAGAGAATGAGTCTATGCACTAGGTAAACAAGCCTGTGTATACAGACTCAACTGCTGAGAAGCAAGTATGAACAGAAACTCTAGATGCCCCACAATCACCATGACACAGTGTTCTAATGTTTCTTTGTAATTGTTCCAAGTACAACCAACAACAAGCACCCCCATAATGATACTAAATCTTGAATTTATACTCCAAGCTTTGATAAGATTTATACTTGTATTGTGTTTACATTAGATATTTCAGCATGGTAAGAGCACACAAATTCTGAAAACCATAGGACAATAAATAAAAAAAAAAAAAGGCAACTAAATGATAAAGCAAAAATAGCATGAAATAAGATTCATATGATTTTTTATGAGTAAACAACTGAACAGGCTGAACAAGCAGATGAATTCTGATAATGGTATACCATTAACACTCTAAACTGAAAACAAGCTTGGAAGGTCCATGTCTAGTTTTTTTTAAATGATAACAGGAGAGGGAAAAGTACCACTCTTGCTCAAAAGAAACTAGATACTTAGAGAATCTAATTGTTCACCCTCATAAAATCATCATATAGTATAAGTTTACTAATACACAGCAGAATTGATCTAATCCAGACACATATGTGAAGAAATTTGGGGTGACATGTTTTATCTTTGGTCTGAGAAGTATGGATTGTGAAGCTCATGGAGGAATACAGCATATCATGCATATGTTTTTACTTGATAGAGGCAAAAAGTACATATTTCGGTTGAACCCAAAAAAAAAAAAGTAAAAAAAAAAAATTGCACTGAGATTTAATGAGATTGTAGAAGTGCATATGGTAGGTAACATCAAATTAACAATAAGATAGAAAACAACTTTTAAATGAATGAGCATAAACCAGAGTTTTGTCAGAGTGCATTATCTGTTGTAAAACACAGTTTTATTTTCCAAAAGGTATATCCTTACCTTGTAATTGTACCATCCACATCTGAGATCACTATACGAGTGTTCCATTTCCACAAATATATTCGAGCATCAACCTGTTAGTCAAACATAAAATATAAAAATTAAGAAATAATAGTATATGAGAAATTTCAATTAAAGAAACATACATAAAAGGAAAGGAGGAGTTAACTTCATGCTCATAGAATAGAACTATAGAAACTCATTATTAATGACCTGCTGCTTCCCCAGCACAGCTGTAGAGAAAGTGAAGGTTACAGTATTCATCCCATCCTTCAGATTCAAGGATGCTAGCTGTTCAGAAGTTGGAGTTGTTACCCTAACTTTCTTTTTCAGTATATTGGCTGTCAGCTCTTTTTTGTTCATATCTGCAGTAATCGTATGCTCTGGAGAAATACCAAAAGTGTTATTTTTGGCACCCCTTGGACTTGGAGTAGGCGGCAGCATAGGATTTCTAGATTCTGTTCTCCTCAAAGAGAAAGGCCAAAGTCTCCAATTTCCACCAGGGGAAGGCATGTGTGTTGATGGATCTCCTGTACGATTTTTGTTAACTTAGTCAACAGATTCAAGCCTTTCAGTTTAAATATTTGTGGACTTCAAAAGAAGCCATGCTTAAATCCCATGGAAAACCAATCTTAATAACAAGCATAGAGAAGTAAATTTATTTACCACCCAGATATTCAGCATTCAATGCTTTAGAATGATAAATCAGTATAGTAACTACCTACAGGCTACAGCATAATGTTTGAGAAGCTTCTTTCAATGCTAAAACAATGACAATATCCTTTCATTTTTGTCTGACAAAATACACAAGACAAGTCTGCTCAACTAAATCCTGTTCATAGTAGAATCCACAGGGAAATTTAAAGATTGTTTGCTATTACATGTATAACAATTAATCATTCCATAAACACAGTATGTTCAGTACCCTGCTAGAATTAGATAAAATATTTTTTAAAGAAGTGGAGTGTTTTCAACTCACTGGGCAGACAACTAATACAAGTTCTCTTACCAAAGGGAAGCTTCAGAAACTGACCTTCGAATTCCCCAGAATCATGGTAATCCTTGGCACCTGGCTCCTCATGTGATAACTGGTTTTCTTTGTCCTCATCTGATTTTAGACAGTTCAAGTCATCTTTTCCAGCAAGTTCCCACTGTAAGGATGAGGATTTTGAGTCTAGCGACTGACTTAAAGGATAAAAAACATCTCGTTGGGCAATGCTGTTAGTACTAGAAGAAATATTTGGCAAGGATCCAATGTGCTGCCCAACTTCCTCCGCAGCAGCCTCGTTTCTTGGAATAGCTATGGGAGTGGATATTGCTGTTAACTTTTCAATGCCATTCTCATGAGAAATATGATCTTCTTTATCTACATGTTCATGGGAGAATGATCTCTCAAATCGATCAGTGTTTCCAGTTTCATCAAGGTCACTAAAAAGGAAATTGTCTTCCCCCAAACTTGTTGATGGTGATATCCTTGATGCTTTTCTGGGCAAACAATCACGAATAGAGTTTAGAGGAGATGATAATGTGCTAGAGACATCTTTGCCCTTCGTTTCATCCAAGCTGCTGGAACTGGAAGATTTGGTAACACTATTTGACTCAACTTTCTCACTTGTAGAATGTCCGAGACCCATATCAACAGTATGAGATTTTGGAAATGTTTGCTCTTCAACAACCACCTCATTGTAAATACCAACATCAGAATCAGAACAATTTGTTTGCCGAACCAGAGACTGAAACTCAGATAATTCCAATATCGGCATCCCAAGATCAGCATTCTTAGTAACTTCCTCAGTTTCTGTACCCTAAAGGATAGCTTTAACTTGTCAGGGTCAACCAAAACATAGTAAATGTTCACTTGATTTAATTATAAATAAAGCTATATTGGTATATCCTTCTACAAGATCCTCCAATCAATCCTTCTAATACCTTGTAAAAGAAATACTAAATAAAAAAGTAAACGTATTTAAAACCTATAGAACATAAAAAACATTCAAAACTCTATTTACTAAGTACGATGTAGAGTGACTAGCAAAAATATGTTGTAAGAAAATTTCGAATTGTTCTTTAATTATCCATGTTGATATCTAAATTGGCCAAGTATTACATTTTATCTTGGTAATTACTGTTAACTTTCAAAGTAGCTATGAGTTTACCTCAGATATCAATACAGTTGCACTATGCAAGACTTCATCATGAAAATTGACATGGACTCTATCAACTGAAATGTCCTCATCATTATCATTACCAGTGTTCCCATCAGAAATTTCTTCTCCATTCAATAGGTTTTCCATGCAAGTTTCAAGCTTCATCTCCACACATGCAACTTGTACATCAGATTGTGCAACATCAAAACAAACATCCTCGTTCAATTCAGGAGGCGAGGTATCAAGAACATTCTGATCACGTTGTCCAGAAAGATTCGTGGACCACTTGAGGTCCAACAAGTTAGCGGCAATCTCAGCACGCTCCAACGAATCAACCCTGTTTTCAATTCCATCATCATCTCCACGTTCCGGCTTCATAGACTTTCGCCCAAACATAAGCCCAAGTATTCGTGAACGCCGAGAACCACTCCTATCCACAATATTGCCACCATCATTTGCATCAAAGTTACAACTTTTTGACCTCAGAGAACGAGGGTGATCGTCCACGTCATCACCAAAGTACCCAGATTCTTGCGCTTCTTGTGCATCAATTTCCCTGAGAAAAAAAGCTTCCCCTTTATGATCAAGATGCATTTGGAAACCAGCTTTCACATCATTCACACGAATATCCACCACTTTTTCCCTGGCCTTCAAAACCCCTTGAAATTTTCCGAATCGTACGTACCAAGGCGAAGACTTGTAGCTCCCATCTTCTTGTTCCACCACCACAATATCGACGGCGCCACCGAACGGATGAAAGGGCCCTGAAACGGTGTACACGCCCTGACTAATGTAGCTCCCCAACCTCCCTACCGCTTGCATCCTCCACCGTTATTCTAATTCTTATCATAAATTCAATCTTTGATTTTCTTAACGCTCAAATTGAACCGCAATTTAATCAAGAACCGAATTGGGTTCAATAATTAAATTCAAAAAGAATCGACGCGTAATATGAACAGATATTCTGTTTGAAATGAAAATATAATTAAAAATACCCGAATTTGGAAATGTTGAATATTAGAGTTTGCGATGAGAGAGAGAGAGAGAGAGAGGGGAGTGTCTCGCGTTGTGGCGGTGGGAAGAGGGAGAAGTTGATGCTGTTGGTGAAGGCCAAGAATGAAGAGTTACGTGGGTGATTGTGGGTCCCGCTTTTCAGATTGATTGGCTTCTTCTACACCGTTGGATCAATCAATCCATCCTGCTTGCTTCACGCTTCGTCGTTCTCATTATTTCAGACGCAAAACTCATTCTTCCTGTAATTTATTCCGTAATCCACTTCCATATCAATCATAAAACTATTGTTTAGGAGAAGTGTCACGTAACTTGTACCTGTAAATATTTTTAAGTCAATATAAATGGGGTAAAGATTTTTATATATACTGATAAAAAAGTTTGATACTGTTCAAATATACTAATCATGATCCAATTTTCAAATGTAAATATAAGAAAGGTTTTTATAGAAGAGATGCATTTTACTTCAATAATTATTGTGCTCTAAAATATATTAATTTACGTCTATCAAATGGGAAATATTCAATACACACTAAAAAGTTCTTTATAAAAATTAAGAAAATGCTTTGGTATTTTTATAAAAATATATTACTATTGTAATTGGATTATGTTCTCCTTCTGTTATAAGTGGAATAGATGTACAGCCATCAATTGGGATATCCAAGTATTATACTAGACAAAAAAAACTATTTTAAAATAGAACGTCAGCGTAAACTATATTGTTTTTATTATTGTACATGTGTGCAAATTAAATTGTTTTAAAGAAGAGAATTATTCAAAGGCTAAGTTGGAATCTTAAAAAAACATAGACTTATGTGTTGATTTAGAATGTTTCTGTGATGAATTTTATTTATAATGTCCAAACTTGGGAATTTTTTTGTAAGAGGGTGTTCTTAAACAATGATTAATCTAACATTTAAACAGAAAAAAAAAACTTCTGAAAAACAGTTTTGTCATGTATTTAAAAAACATTTAAAACAAACTATGCTCTTTTTAATTATCTTTTTATATATTTTTTATTATGGAATGATCGTTATATTTTAAAAGTTAGTTAACGAATGCTTTTAGACTAATATAAATAATATTTTTTTTCAATATATACCTAAAGATATATAATAAAAATAAATAAATAATAAGAGAATACAAAATATAGAGAGAAAAATGATTAAGCTAAGGTAGGCCAAGGTCAAGGTGAGAAAATTAAAGAGTAAGACAACTGGTTGAAGGGAGTTACTGTTTACGTCACCTCTTTTATATATTGACATGTCCTTCAATAATTTTTGTAACTTTTATTCTAAATATATTTCATGCATAAAGAAGCTATGTTTAGATGCTCCTCTTTTCTTTTGTGATAAATGTCCATTTTTTACGGAAAAAATGGCAATACAATTAAGTTTAAATATAAAGAATAAAGTTTCATTTTCTCTGCATGCTAAAAATTGTGGACTCAACTTGATTTACTCTCCAAACACTTTATCAATTTTATGAAGTGGGTGTTTGATCATAACAAAAAAAAAGGAAAAAAAAAAAAGAAGCTTTACAATTGCCTGCAACTTATAAACTTGAGTATGGCATAGTAGTTATTTCCCTTTAAATATTAGAAAATGATTGATTAACCTTTGAAAGTTTAGTTACATGTGCACACTTGTGTTGGTGGGCTTATTGGAATTGGGCCAGCTTACTAGGTTTTCTTTATTACTCATCTCATTTGGACCCCGCAAAAACATCCAATTCAGCTACAATACCTCACGTCAGGAGTATTCTAGACCCCCCAAAAAAAAAAGTGTAAGGAGCATTATTCTATATTGTATAATTTTGTAGAAAAAAGAAAGATGTTATTCTCTTTTTCCCCTCATTTCCACTGACAAAAATTTATAATTTTATTTAAATTTAGATTACTTGTTTACATAATTGAAATTTGACTCATTTTTATATTGGGTGCAGAAAGTTTATTTAGTTGATAATAAGTGCGTTCTGATGCACTCCGCATAGAAGGGAAAGTGCAGAGCTTATCCTTAACGCAATTACGAGATACATGAACGGTTACTCCGTGACCCCTATGTTGTGCCATTCAGCATAGTGGAGTGGTCAAATATAATTCATGCATCGTATGGAATGGGATTTTGTTTCAATTTGACTGATAGTACAACACCCATCACTCATGCTGGTCCTTTTTAGACTTTCATAAAGCCAACATTTTCTAACGCATAGCTAAGCTCCTCATTATGTTTATCATTATTTGTTTATATACCTCCTTATGACTTTCATCACTAACTGTCTCTCCTCATAACTACATGTTTGGAATATGTATATTTTGTGTGCATTATATATGACCATCGTATAAATCTCGTACTGAGCTTTCCCTTTTTGCAACTTTAATTAATAATTAGTTTGCTAGCGATTTCGATTCTATTGCTAGTGTAACGTGAACTCATTTTCTTTTGACAAGTGTAAGATACTTATAAAAGGAACTCTTGTTTACACGAAAATTCCTAATAAATCATATCTAATTTTTAAAATTGCTCTTAATTATTCTGCGGCCATGACATGCATCTCTAATTTCATTATTCTTACGATTAAAAAAATGGTAAAGCTTTCAATTCCCTTTTCATTGCCGTCGTGTGTAGAGGGGGCTAACAAAAAGGTGATTTGACCTTTATGACTTTATAAATTGGTGCCAAGAAATGTATTTTAATTAGTTAAATTCGAAACAATAATCGCATACGGATGTAATTTGCCTTGTTCTGAATAGAGGGTTTGGCTGATTTAGATTGCGCTTTCCTAACTGTTAAGGCTGTAAAGAACATGTTCCCACCCTTTATGTACATATTTGTCATTGACAGTTGTAACCTTACCTTGATGGTTCCATGAATACAGTCTTTCTCGCAATGCAGACATGATTGTGACAGGGTAGAACCGATTATTTGGCGAGGGAATCTAGTATATCGGGTCCAAATATATTTCGGTTGGACTTGTGTTGGATATGATTTTAAAGGGAAACTTCAATAAAATAACCACGACAGAGGAAAATGAAAATGAATAACAGATGCACAAACACTCTGGTCATTAAGGAATATGGATCTGCAAGGAGAATGTCAGAGAAAACACAGCCAATTAAAGTTCAATATTTCTGACGCGTCTCTAGCTGCTACATATATGCTTATCATTGGTATGTCAGAACTGAGAATTCCCATACATAGATTGATCTGTACATTTTCTATTAAAAAATTATAAATAAATTCACTCATTTTTATTCTATTTTCTGGTTTAGTGTAGTCTTATTGTTTTTTCTTCGTGGCATTCTTAGTATCAAAAAGTTATTCTAAGTTTTGACTAATCTAGTTAACCACGATAAATTTATTCAATGAATAAAATTATTTCATTGTCAATTTTTTTAGTTCATAATATAACACTCTAATATAAAATATTTTTTTTAAAAAAATTACCGCTTTCAGCAAAAGCCTTAGTAAAAGACGGTTGTTTTTATCACCTAATGAAACAGATATAGATTCGCTTGCTTGAGTTTCTAGAATTTTAATTATGAGATATACTACATGCTAGAAGACGTGAATTACTAATCTTCTGTACCTAATTAATTGAAATATTAATTCTAAAATATTATACTCATTACCTACATCTAAAAATCCACATTAGAGTTGTATTTTGTTATTAACAATGTGTTAATTATTGATATTAATAATGTTTTTCAGGTAATTAACATATATTATAAAAAATAAATAAATTGCTAGCGGGTCAATCATTTGAGAAATGTTAGCAACAACAATTAACATATATATCGGTAATCAAGTGTAATAACCTGCAGGTGTAAATTTTTCAGACGTAGATTTAACATTACCAAAACATAAAATATGAAAACTATGACAGTAATAAGTACAACTAGGAAAAAAAAAATTATCTAGCACGTCTCTATCAGCAATTGAGTTTCTCTTCCTTAGCAATAGAATTTTTGCAATGAGCAATTGCAGCTTGAATAGCAGCTTGCAACTCTTCCATGGTGCTGTCATTAGCAGGAGGAAGAGTGGCAGTTGCAAGCAAAAGGCCACTGTTTGTTGGAGAAGTCCTCATAGATGCTGGTGCTGAATACTCTCCTCTTCTTCCTCTCAATTCAGGCTTATTTCTCCGAATCAAGTTCCCTGAATGAGAATAAGCTTGTCCATGGAACCGGACTTTTTCTCTTTTCCCTCTGAAAAGCACTAGTGGCTGCACCATTCTTAGGTACTTTTTTAGTGCATGGATCACATCATAACCTAGATTCTTCTTATGTTTATTTTCTTTATCTTCCTTGTCTCTAACCTGACACCCTTTACGCCCTTTTGTTAATCCAAACAATGAAAAAGTAGGCTTGGACTTACTTTCTTCCTTTGTCCCTCTATTGTTGTAGTACTCTTCTTTGTTGATGATGCTGTTGCTATTGCAATTGCTAATGCTATCTATGGTGATGTTGCTCCTGTTGCTGCTGTTGCAACTGCCACTGTCCTTAGTGGGTTTTTTCTCATCTTCTAAGAATTCTCTGATAGGGAGTGTGAAACTGTCCATCGAATTGGTGGAAAAACGGGGTGATGAAGAGAAGTGAGATAGGAGGTGAAGAGGGAGCAAGTGACCATGGAAGAAAATGTCATCAGCAGGAGTTAAATCAACTGCAAGAGAAGGTGGGGCTTTGGATTTATCATGGATTGTGGTGTTAGAAGAGTGAAGAGAGATTGTGAAGGAGAACTCATGAGAAGGGGAAGAGGATGGTGAAGGTGGTTGTTGCTTTGCTTCTCCTTCAGTTTGTTGCTTTTCCACATCGTTTTCTGTGTTCTTTTGGGGTAGATGTGTTTCCATTATTACAGTTGAGGATGTCTTGAAGAGTAACAAGATTCGATGCAGTATATGAAGTTCTCACTCTATAATCTTTTTTTCTTTTTGGTGGGGAGAGAGAGAGAGAGAGTATTAGAAAAGGGTTGTGATCTTTTCTTTGTTATATGGATGTTAACAAAGCTTTATGAGGGATAAGGGAACCGAAAAACATGGAAAGAAAGAGAGGGTCATTGTCAAAACGCTGTTGGACTTGGTCTGTCTTCTTTTATAACTTTTTCATAAGACATTAACTGTGTGTGTGCGTATTATTTACGTGATTATTAAGCATTATCAATGATGGATATTTTTTCCCCCTTGGATAGAAGGGTGCTATGGAATGAGATAAGATGATATATTTACATAAATATATTTATATTTTATTTTTTTCTCGTGTGTTGAAAAGGTTGGTGCTTTGTTTCGTTGGGTCCCTATCAAGTCCAACAGCAATTGTTGTGCTGGTTTTGGGAATGAGGTCACAAACATCCAAATTTGGCCACTAAAGGAAGATGGGATTGGCATGGCGGATTTCACTCGAAAAATTTGGACTTTGTTTTCCAATCAGTGTGAAGGTTCCCAGAGAAAGAAATCAATCAATTCCATGTACATTTACAAGAGCAAAAATATTGTACCTAACTCAAGGGTTTATCTAGTAGTTTAGGAGCCCAAAAGGAAAAAAATAAAGTTTTAGAACATACTTTTTGGTACGAATTTAGATTAGTTTACTTTCAAATATTCTTTTACTAATTTAATGTTAGTCCTACAACCCAATCATAATGCATCTTGCAACTTAGAACTTCAAAATATTATACTACTTTGAATCTCAGGTTCTAACATGCAGTTATTTACAAATTACATGGATGGTTTTCTGTCAACTAGCAACCAACGTTTATGCATTGTTTTTATTGATATTTTTTATATTTACCTCCTCTAAATTAAGATATTCATTTTAGTGAGTACAACATGGTATTATAATCATTAATGTAAACTTTTAAAATGTATTTTTATGCGTGGCAAAATAAACTATAGATTGTTAAAATTAACTTGCAATTGGAATCTTTCAAATTTTATATTTATTTATTTTTGGATATCTTATACAAAGTGACTCTTCAAAATATTCCTTGACAATAAATACTTAAATTTATGCTAACTTTCATATGTTAATTTATGCAATGCAAAAAAATGTGTTTAATAGTAACTAACCAATATATATATATATATATAGACTACATAATAATAAAAGTTCATTCTTCCAATTTAAAATATATAACCATTATAAAAAAACATATATCCCAAAAAAATTCGATCAAAACTAAAGTTCATACCATCACTATTATCATTCATGACTAATAATTTTTTTATATTTATTTTAAATCTTTCAATTAATAAACAATTTACCTTGTTATATGTTTTATATTATTTTTACAAATTTAAATAAGTAACTAATCACTGTAGTTTAAAGTGATTAATATTAAGTACCAAAATTTAAAAAAAAACATTATAGATAAAAATAATTCACAAATTTTTTTTTTTACTTAGCTAATAAATATCCAAATACTCGTTGATTTCATTTTTTTTTGTTACGAGAAAAAAAATTATAAGATGTTACGGCCTAAGAAATAAAACAGCACTAGAATCATCCAACAGCCAAAATTGAACTTGGCAACAGGGACTATCTAAAAAAACAACAAGCTCAAATTGAGAAGCACTCATTTTTGCAAGCTTATTTGCAAAAAACTTTTCTTCCCTTTAAAGGGTGCTTTAAACTAACTTGTCAATGTCTTCTACGAAGCACTCTTTTAAAATATAATTGATTTCATTTGCAATTGCAAAGCATGATAAAGGATGAAAAAATAATAATTAATGTTATTATAACATTAATTAAAAAATAAAAGTAAAAAAATTACAACTTTTTAAACTTTAATTCCAAGAAGTAGAACCGAGGTTATTAAAGATATATATGTATAAAGTTTTTATTGAAAAAAATGAAATAAATAACTTTTGGGTTTTTAACATAATATATACCTTTTAATAGAAATTTTTTATTTTTAGACTCTTAATAACATTTTTTTTTAAGAAAAATATTGTATAAAAAAATAATACATGCATTATTTAAGATTATATATTAGCAACCATTATTAGAAGTAATGGATGCTGATAAAATTAAGTAGTATATTTTTGAATTAAAAATTTAGTTGTAATTTCTTAATTATTATCCGAAAATATTAAATCAAAGGTTAATATAACTATTTGAAATGATAAAAATAAATTAGATTATCTTTGACTATTGATAATGAGATAAAGAATGGAAATAGTTAGTTGAAAAGGGGAGGGGAAGGGGCATGATCACAGCCAGCTGTGGGGAATGATCCATTCATTCATTGATGAACACGAAAGCTCAGAGAAACAGAATGAGCAATGTCGTTTAGGGAAGGGAGGTCATGTGAGTGTGAGCCCCCTTATCTAACGGTGCCCAACACTGCGTAGTGTGTGTGTGTGAGTCCACAATCATACATTGACTGCTACATATATACCCTATAATCATATATATAGACACATGAAGAAGAAGAAGATGAAGAAGAGAATTACTAATAAAAAAAAGAAACATAGTTAGGTGGTGGTGGGGTGAGGATCATAGACCCACACACACGTGCATGCAGTGGTGGTCCATCCAACAAGCATAAAGGAATTTTGTATGCATGGTTAAGGTCAACATCTTAATCATGGAGGCATTATTTGGTTGGACTGAACCATCCTCACCACTTTCACCACTCAATTTTATATTCTATATTTCTCATCTTTTCTTTTTGAGATAAGAGAGAGAAAACTTAGCATAAAACAAATGCTTCACCATCCAAACAACATAGAGATCCTTTTGTGGGGGAAAAACTTCTGCTTTTCGGCCTCTCATATTAGCCATTCAAGATCCTCAATTAATCATCCCTTTTCCATAATATGAAACAGCACACCAACAACCAAACCTTGGATCAGATTATGGATCACCTCACAGCTTCCCTTCCTAACATTTGTTTTCGTTTCAACTAGTCATAAAAGTTGGATCTTTTTCAAAAATCCCCAAGAAAACGGATCATGTTCAGCTTCATTCCTTTTAAGGTTGAATGAGATTAATTTTTGTTGAAGTTAAATAAATTTTTGTAATAAACTTGATTTTAAATTATTAAATAAAATTGAGATATGCATCAAATTTCATTTTGATTGCAATTTTATATAAAACAACTTTAGGGTCTTTTGTATCCTAATTATAAAAAAATAAAGATTTATGGAATTAATGTTTCCAAGCATATACATATGGAATTAATGTACATTCTGAATAGCGAATATCCGTGAAATTGGGATTCAAATTCTGACACGGAATTAATCAGATTGTTTGTATTCCGTATACGAAGATTCGCTATATAGATTGGGTCATTTGTAACCCCCTAGTCCCCTACCTATTCGATAGTTAAGTGAATGGTTCAAATAGGAAATACTGTGAACTTTTAATTAACCTATTTATACTTGTTTGGGCTGACTACTTTTGTTACCAACATGCTTACTCAGGTAGGAGCCTAAGCCTTTGTCCTCTTCCAAATATTTAAGACACGCAAATGGATTATGTTTTAAGTGTCGAAATCTAGCAAGTTACATGTAAGATTATTAGAGTTCAAATTTTGAGTCTTAAAATTTTTCACAGATTAATCCTCCTTCCTTGATCCTCTCCCCAATTTATTAAAAAAAGAAAAAAAAATACATGCAAACGAACCACTGTCGAATTCCAACCCATAATTTTTTGAATCAATCTAGTTTCATTATACCAGTTATATCAACTTCTCGTTTGATTATTATTATTTTATTCGTTTGATCCCCATGTCAGTAAGATAATTGTGGAATTTAGTCTTAGGATTACTGAATTCTGTTTTCGAGTTTTTTATTTTTCCTGAGTTGAGTATAATAATAATAATAATAATGGAGCAAACTTACGATAAATAAGTGCAACTCTAACATTAATTTGACATTCTAAAGGGGTTTTGCACATGAAATCTGATAATCAAAACTCATGTAAAAGCCCTTTTATAACTAACATAAATTAATAAAAGAGAAATAGATAATGACGAGATTAAAAGATTCTGCTTCCACGCCCTTGGCTCCTCATTACTGGTAGATATCGATTGAAGAATATAGATTACAAACAAAAGTACTTCAGTTAATATGGAAAGGGAGATACATAGTCATTTGGGTAGTCAATTGAGCATATGAGAAAATGGTGTGTGGGTTTATTGCGAAAGAACTATGTAAATTCATAAACAAAAGAAGTTGATAGCAAAACATGGTAAAATTTATATTAAGGTGAATTTCAGTTACTTGACATTTAAATTTTATATTTTCACATTCGCTTCCTGTTACATGTAATTTTCATCATCTTTTTTTTTTCTATCACATTATTAATTATTTTTTTTTATTCTTTTCATCCTTCTCTTCCCTCCAACCATTTTACACTCCAAAAATGGATGTTAATGCATATTTTTCATCTAAACTATTCGGTCTTTCAATTTCCTAGATAGTTTAAGAGATAGTTGTATATAAGTTTTGAATAATTTCACTATGCTTGAGTATCTCTTTTATATCTACAAGATGTGAGGAAACCTCCTATGAACTCAGTGCAAAAAGATATTTTTAAAATTATTTATAATTATTTTTATATTCAATATTAATTAGTCTGATAATTAATTGGAATCTTAAGATGTGAGAGTGGTAACATACTACAAGTTTAACATAACTTTTAAATTAGGGATATTTTAGATAAATAAAGATAAAAATAGTTGAAAAAAGTAAAAATAAAAAATAAAGAATGAAAACAGACACTCGAATTGTTACTATAATAACTATTTATAGCGACTTATTTTCAGTTTTATTGATATGAAAAATATTTATTCTCAAGTATAGAAATTTATAGTAAAATTTGCATTTGATAAGAACTGCAGGAGAACTCACTTGTCGACCAACTTTTATGGGAAGTATTTAATAAAGGTGTAAGAATAACGACAAAAGAAATTGAGATTTTTTACAAGCATTTAGGACTAAACATACCTGTTCACGTCATACATCTATTATAATTTTTATTTAAAATGTTTTTTTTCTTTTATAATTATATTAGTATAGAGATATTTTACATAATTTTTTAAAAATTAAATTGAGAATATACACGAGTGTTAATAAAAACTTTCTATTGTTGATTGGTAGAAGTATTTGCTTGCAGAAGCATCGGTCTATTAGACAGAGGTATGTCAAAACTCTGTTATCTGGTATTATTGGTAGCTCCAGAATAGAATTACACAATCTTGGTAATAACTAACAATTCATTATTTCACAGTATCTTTCGTTCAATATCTATTAGTAAGTCAACAGAATATCCTCGCTTGGTTCGTAGGCTTTCAATTAGATTTAGCAGTTGAAGTGACTACTGAATTATCTTTATCAATTATCTCAAATTCCGTCCCAACAATAGAATAATATATATATATAACTTGCTGGTCAATCAAGTCAAAATCATTGCCCACATTATATAAAAACAGCACAAATTTGCAGCCATTTTTTTAGGTCTATGACATAATAGTAACCTTGTAGAAATAACCCACGCCTATGTTCACGATCATGCACCTAACGGGCGTAAAAAACAACGAAATGGGTTGAAAGAAAGTAAGAAACAGGTGCTTGGAAGGGTGTTCTATTTTTTTTTGTGTTCGGGGGGTGCGGGTTTACTCCTACTATTTCTGACTAAAGTTATTTTTTGCTTGGTAAAAGGAGTTATCACAATCGAATGCTACAAGAATAATAATCATTCAGCAGGCTTAACGCACGTTTATTCTATAGAGGAATTGATCGATTTCTAAATAACCCTTGCCCGAAAAAAGAACACTCCCTGTACCACAATAACAACAAAGACCACTTTCATTAGAGGTTGATTTCGTGATTCCAAAGACCTATATACAAATAAACGGACACACGGAGAAAAAGGAATTATAGAACCAAGAAAAAAGAATAAATCACCTCCGACATCCTGTTATACATTCCCTTTCTCTTGGCAGAACCTTTCACAACACTTGAGTGGTTCATATTCCTCTCATCAAAGACAGAATTCTTCAATAAGCTGCTATTGTTTGTTAGTGTCCTGACTCTCATGCATTGAAAAACACGATTTTCATGTGGATTTCCAAAATAGATCCATATTCTGATAAAGAAGCCTCCGTCGTAATTGAAGGGAGTCAAATGTTGATTGGAAGTTTGACCTTCCCTTTATATGAACAATCTTTATCACTCTCAAAATGCTAATGTACATGATAATTCATTAGTCACTTCCGCTGCTAAGTCTATCTGCCAGCAAAAGGTTGAATGAAAGAATTATGGACACGTATAAGTACAACTTAAGGAATCGATGGATTATAAAAATGAGGAAGAGTTATCCAAACACCTGATGTTCGTTTCCCTTCCATGGCTTCTTTCTTTTCTTGGCAACTTAAGCAAAGGAAAGGTCCATCCCAGGGGCGCAATCTTCCTGGGTTAGGTGCGCCCTCGTGTATTGAAATACCCTCCCCTGGTTTAATCTCTACTTGACACACTGCACAGATAAACAACTTGAACATGTTGCAGAGTGGATATTTTGTTTCTAACCTGCATCTCAGACAAAGATGTTTCCATGTCAAGAGAGACAACTAGAAAGACGTTAACAATAAAAGCAATCGTTACTAAACCATACCTCTCTGAAAGCATAGCTGACCCTTCCTCATATAGTTCTTGTACCACATCTGGCTCCATGTATTCCTTGTCAATATAAGATGATTCAGAGGACTTTTTGCGAAAAAATGACTTGAGCATTTTTTTTACTGGTTTCTTTTGTGTTGGCATAGAAGTAGGTGGCTTCTCCTGAGGTAATATATCAATAACAATGCAGGTCGTGTCATCTCTAAGTCCCTTTGCTTGCAAAGCTTCCTGAAGGAAGAAAAGTGACAGGAATAAATGGTAGAAACAGAAATAAGTAATGCATACCAGAAAATGACACACAATTTACAAGGTGAAACTAGAGCATTGAAAAATTATGCAAAAGATGTGCATACTTTCACAATATGTGGTGCTGCAGCCTCCGCTGACATGCCACGACAGCAATTTAAGGCCATTTCTGCAGTTAGAGCATCCCAGACACCGTCACTGCTGATAACAACCCTACCTCCAGCAGTAGAAAGCTGCAAAAACAGAAGAGGGAAAAAGGAATGAATTAAAACACTCGAGGGACAAAAAAGTACAAAGGAATTTACAGCAACATAGCAAGAAAAATTCATTTTGACTTTTGAAGTACAATATATAGTCTTAGGAAAACAAATGAAAATTCAGCTGTTCATTATAAATGGGAACAAAATCATGCTATGAAGACTCTGTTTGTACCTATGGGGCAGAGATGGAAAACAATGTAGAACTAAACTTGAGCAGATAAAGAAATTACCCACTACAGTAAAGAAGGGTAGCAAGAGAAGAACAATTAATCAACATAAACACAGGAAAGCCTTGACCAACCTTCACTTGCTTTACATATGGTACAGGGACAATAAATTCACCAACATCCATATCACCAATGGACCGTGAGAGACACAAGCCACCAGGCCAACATCTCAAAGGACCAACCTACAAAAATCATTAACCTAATCAGGCATAATACAACTCAAACGTAATTTTTTTCTATAGAGCATATTGATATATCACATCGGAAGATAATCTAAATATCATCACATATGGGAGTATAACACCAAAAATGTAAATAACAGTTTCTCCAAAAGATTATCAAAATTTAATGACATGTGTGATGAGTAATGTTAAGTGAAAGACATGACCTATGACTAGCATCAATTATCTTGCCTCTCAAAATCTCCATGGTATGATTGACCTAGATTACCCTTTATCTCTGCTTATGCAGTTTTAACTGGTTAAGCATTATGCATAAAAGAGTAGTATTGCTAGAGTCTTCAGATCCATTTGACAAGCAGCCACACTGCTTCGTTTTTACCATATGAATTCAAATAAGGATCACAATGAAAAGAAAATATACCTCTGCACCTCCACCCGTATTTAGACGACCCACCTCACCCCCGCTAGAAGTGATTCGGACCCTCCTGACGAAAGGAAAAGAAAGGGTGAGACTGTGCTGCAATGTAATGGAGCAATTCCAAGCAGTTGTTCAAACAAAAACACTCCAATAACAACTTACTCCTCTTCATTGCTTTCGAGTCTATGATCTGCTGACAAGTAATAAACTCCACCTTCAAAAGTTTCAAGTATGCAACGGGAATCACCTACTGATGCAACTGTTATAAAACATCCTTCTATAATCACAAAGGTTACAGTTGTTCCTGATGATTGTGCTGTACAAGCAAAGATACTAATCAATGTAAATAAACATATAACTTAAGAAAAATATAACAAAAACTCAGTAATTCAGAAGTATAAGAACTATCAGCCATAGCTCAGTTACAAATGCTTGATATTTTTTGTTAGAAAATGCATGTTCTCCAGCAACTATATGTGTGAGTGTGAGTAAAAAATAGCTAACTCTACTGTTCTTACGGCTAAATATAATTGACTTCTAGTGTGCGTTGACAATGTTAAGCTCCAGCTGCAGAAAATATCAGAGCTTTATAAAATTTTCTTGACATGGCCAATTAGAGAGCTTAAAAAGCTGGGGGCATGTAGCAATGTACCAACAGAGGTTAGAAAATATTACCAAGGTTTCCAGATACTGTCAAAATTTTCATTATGTATTTTGCCTAATTCAATTTTTCCCTTATTTTTTCTTTAATTTTTTTTAACTTCGAGAATTGCAAATATTTACACGTTATTTTGGTAACATTACATGCAAATTTAGCTCCTCTAAAGTGAGATGTGTAAAGTAAGAAAGTGGGGATCAACCTACTATTAATTTTAATTCAAGTATTTTGTAACCATAACTAATTTCAAATCAATGGTGAATAAACATTCACTTTCTCACTTTACATTTCTCCTTACTATAGAAGAGTTAAATCTATTACATTGTTACCATGAAGATTTCAGATGGTGAACATGAACTTGCCGCAACCTAATAATGAATAGAATAGATTAGAAGCAAGAACAAACTCTACAAGGAAGTAAGTAGTCATGCCTTTCTGTTGAAAATCTTTGTCAGTTTTTACAAAGCCTGCGACCAAAGCCCTAGGCAAAGCTGATATCCACTCATCTCTGTTAAGATCGGCAGGAATTGCACTTAAAACATTGTTTAAAAGATTCTCCTTGGCATAAATAGCGGCAGCAGATCCGTTGTGTCCATCAAATAGCTGTAAAACTTGTACATCAGAGAGTGCAAATGCAACAAGAACCAAAAAAATACTAAAAAAAAAAGAAACCAAGAATAGAAAGACATAGTTATATTAAGTTATAACACAACACATCCATTGAATAAACGGCTAAAATATTCATGTCATCCAACTAATACAAGTGAATTAAAAAAACAAGACAGTTTAGTTGTTTTCACATACATACAAGCAAAAGCTATCTATCGGAGAAGAAAATCATTTCTGGGGCAAAAACTCAAAAAAGCCTTGGCACTGAATCATAACGTCAGAAATTTGCTCCTCCATGTGGACAGAGACATCACACGCAATTTGCTAAAACTCATTCGAGCTTTGATAGTCTAAATCAGCAATGAACTAAACACGAAGCTCATTTAAATACAAGCAAAATTACAATAGATTTGGTTTTAAATTCTAAGTAACTAAAGAAACAAGCTAAATTCATGGCACTCACTGACATATCTCTTCACTTCTCACACACATTAACTTCTGATGCATAACAACCACGTTAAAATCCGTTGACGAGTTACAATCCATCAAATCCGAATATATACACAAATAAGAAAGGAATGCTGTGTTGTGATATGAAACAAAATTTACATACCGCAAAAACGGAATAGGTAGACACTCCATCTCCCACCACCCTTTGGCATTCCGTTTTTAGCATCGTGAAATCTTCTCCTTTCTTACACTCGCTAGCTTCCCCGTGCACGACCGCAACCTCCGGCTTCTCGCTTTTCTCGTTTACCAATTCACGGCGCAGAAGCACCGAAAGGGGAATCGTTTGGTGTTCGCTCTGAGCAGACATTGTTCACGGCGATCAATCTCAATTCTCAAGTTCTTGGATACAGCCACAACAACGCGTTCTGTTTAAATCCAAAATTAGGAAACAATCTCACACATTAACGAAACATCTCAAAGCTAAACCGCCATTTATTATGAGAAGATCGCAATGTACATATTATCATGCGGTATGTATCTGGAAATCGAGAAAGCAAAACGTGGAATCCTAAATCATAATCATAACGGATTAAAAGAATGAGAAGTTGGATGTGAAGGATAAGAAAGGGAAGTTTTGAGACAGGTTGAAATGGAGTGCTCGAAAAATGTGGATCCCTGCGTTCTGCAAAATTTGCATTGTTGTTTCAAACATAACATTTCATACACAGCACATATCAATGAACCGAACCGTTTGTTTTTCTTTCTCTTCCCCCAAAGACGGTAAAATTATATGACATGGCAAAAAGCACTGTTTCTTTCGCTAGGCTCGGCTCCAGCCATTTTCGTTTGGAGCCAGCCGAGGCTAGGTCAATGTCAACGTTCTTTTGACTCTTTGGGCTATTCTTCGTTCTATGCTATAATTTAATTTGGAATTTGTATTTTTGGGGGTGAAGGTTTCCAAATCCTTCTTTTATAAACACTATTTTTTACTTACCAAACACAGTTAATATATAATTATATTTTTTAAAGTATACTACTGCGGATATTCACGCCTTGAAAGTTAGTAGTATGAATTTTTTACAGTCAGTTAGCTGGAAATTTTTTTTAATGCTCACAAAATAATAGTAATTTTCACTTGCATCAAAAAGCATTAATAGTTAAGAATCTTTCTATTCTAGTCTACGTTTACACACAAATAATACATTGGTAAATGAACATCCTTATTCGCCCACATTTTATTTTTGGAAGTTGCTTCCCATTTGTTTATTATATATATTTTTAAAATTGGTGTATATCGTAAAATAAATAAAGAATTTTATATATATGATATAAATTTTCAACTGTTAAAATAAAGGAATTGTTTATCCGTAGAGACAAGGTAATTTGGCTTCATTTTTTTTTTCACCTAATATCGGTGGTCCTATATACAGGCAAATGGAATATTTCTCTAAATAAGAAATTGCCTATGGTTTCTCATATTAGTGAAAATATTTTATCTTGATTAGATTTTTAGCTATGCAATCAATTTTTAACTTAAAAAAACAAAGAGACAGAAAAGGTACAAGTGATTTATAATTCCGAACTAAATCTTTGATGTGAAGAACCCGCAATTATCGGCGCCTGATGGTATCGCCGAAAACAAAACAAATCCCGTGTCGCACACTCGCACAGGCGCGTGCGTCCACACCGACCCCGAAGGAAAGGAACCTTTCTTTTCTTGTTAGGCTATCGGGCTTGGGTTTGGGTCGAACCCAGCCCAATTACCAATATATTAACCAATGCTTTATGCAGGCGCGTGAGGGCTTGAAAGCAGTTAAACATGGTGGTTATGGAAAAAAAACAAAATCCGCGTGAAAGGAGCCAATTATGCATAATCTAATATAACTTTTGATGGCTCATAGTGATGGCTGAACGAGTGGCTTCCATGAGAAAGAGATTGATAAGATGTGATGTTAACAAGTAAATTACGAAGGTAGGAGGAGTTGTTCTTGTTGTACATGCTTTTGCAAGCTGTAAACACCCCACCTGGCCTTTCCAAGCAAGTGTTGCTATCAAATATATATTATCAAAATTCCAATACGCGTAGCCATTCACATGCGCTACTTAGAAGCATCACCTTGCCCAAAATCAATAATGCATAGTCTTCCTATTACAAGTTCAGTTAATTCTTGTCTTCCAAGAAAACAAAATAGCAACTTCCCATGCAGGGAGGTAAAGTTTGTTGCCACTTGCTTTGCCAGTGACCTTTTCAAAGACATTAATTCATTAATGATATGTCCACTCAACTTGTACAAGATTTATATTAGATTAGAAAACACATGATCGTGACATGTTTGCCCATGGCCCCATGTGCCACCAGATTACAAAATTTGTTCTCATCAAACATTTACCACAGCCCAGGAAACATCAAAAGATAATATACGCATATTGAAGATGGAGCATTGGATTCAAGAAAGTCCCCTCATGGGATCGGTTCTATTCCTTTACATGTATGTATGTGCAGACGATTCACTTCACATGTAGGACCTCAAAAGAGGTGACAACAACAAATAACACAAGATAGACTCCAAACGCCAGCCGAACTACAAGTCCTAAACTTCTTCAAAAACAGCCACATTAAAACCTGCAAAAGAAAAATTAAATAAATATAAATATAGCGCATTCATGAGAGCACTCAGATAAAGTTGAACTCTGATGCTACGCTGGCACCCAAATAATTGAATAAAATAAGGCTGAAATAAAAAAGCAAACTTTCAGGCTGAAATAAGAACAACGTTAATAGAAGACAAATGGAACCAACTATCCCTTTGACACACGCTCGAGACCCACATGTCTCTTTAAGACTACATGCATTAAGTTTTAATATTTTTGTAATCGCATCAGGAATCAGACAGAATGTGATAGGAAAGTTGGAATGAAGCCTCGGAAGCAACTAAGAAACTCAGTATTTTATTACCACAAATCTACAATAAATTATGAAAACCCATCCCCCTGTTGTAATAAACTCCTCCTCTTAAATGAAGTATATATACTTCAAAAACTATGTTGACTACAATCTTAATGCTTTCAAGTATTGAGTAAGCCTTGTTGTTGAGGTGTGTGTTAAATAAATATAAGCGTACCCATCTCCCATGACATGTTCTCACCTAAGGCGTTAGTAGGCATCACTTTACCTTGTAACATTTTAAAATGGCCGTGATTTCTTTCATAACTTTATATGCCATTAGTTTGAAGATACACATTCGGACGGACCTGTATTTGATGATCATACATAACCATAAGTGACCCAAGTTGTTATGCTTATGAAGAAAATAATACCTGCACTACATTAGTTTAACTGGCTCCAAACTCCAGCTGAATTCATTTAAGCTGTTCACCCTCTGGAGGACTATTCACTCTAACAATGTACACCTGAAAGAAAAAATTAGCAACCACAGTATGTGTCATGATCAATGAATTCTAATAATAGTACACCATTGCAAAGAGAAATGCTAAATTCATGGATTCTAATTGCAGAAAATAGCAATACTGATAACTCATCTGGGACCAAGTAAAACAGCAAAAAAAAAAAAAAAAACTAAATGACTATAAAAAATAATTAGAATGTCTCAACAATGTAAAAAGAATTACACTGTCATTCATATAATTAATAATTGTTAAATTATGTAATAATTACTTCAAAAGTGATTTTTAATTAATTGTCAGTTTTACACTGACAGCCTGACTATTAGTCACTCTCACAAGTAGTAACCACAGGGCATGAACTGAAATATGCCAGCACATTTTTAAGATTACAAAAAGATCAACGACTCCATTATTAGTCTCTCACATCACACTTTTCCTTATTTTTAACATTCATAAATACTATTCACTTAATTAAATATGATGAATGTGTTACACACAAGGGCGTGAATGAGCGAACATAATCAATATTTAATCACCTTGAATGTGGTGCGCTTAATCAATTGAAAGATCAAAGCGTCCCCATCAGCCAGGTTATGAGCAACAGCAAAACCTTTCCATCCACCACTAAGTCCTGTTTTTCGGGCCAAATATATTGTTGGATACTCATTCCCATCTTCATCAATCAAAGTAAACACTTCGTCCCCTTTTGGAAGATTTGCCTTGCAGAACTGGACCGGAAGGCCCTTGTATGTTTTGAGAAATACTTGTTAATGACAAAAATAATATATATATATATATATATATATATATGACAAAAATAATATATATATATATATATATATATATACATGAAAGTATCTTCTTGCACCAAAAGTAATAACCTTAACTTAAATATAAAGTTAATAAAGTAATAAATAATAATTTAATTTAAATTAAAATCTCTATATCAGGTGTTTATATATATATATATAAGTAAAAAATACGTCTACACATGTATGATTCAAAAGGAATCACCAGAGAAAAAGTTAACAAAAGAAAAAGGAGGAGGAAAGTTTGAAATTACCAGCCAGAATCCCCCGCTGACGTGGGACTGAAGCATTGACTTTATGAAGGTTGGATATTCAGATTGTAATTCCGACAATAACTCATCTGCTTTCTCCAGAGCTTCCTCTCTGGCTTCTTCTGAAGCATACACCCGATTCGAAAAATCCCTATGCCTATTGTAACTTCTACATTTACAAACATTATGATTAAGATATGGAACAGATAACAACATGTCATGTCGTCTAACAGAAGAATAAAATAAAATGAAAGTTTGGGAGAGAGAGGGAGAGAACCTTCTGGGTATCGTGACGCGATCAATAACGACCTGATTGAAAAATAAAATGGAAGATGAAGAAAAAAGGCAAACCCAATAGTGATTGAAGGAAGAAAAGAAGGAAAACTCACTTCTTTGTAAACGGGAATGGGCATGTTGGCAACACGACTGGACCTTCTTACCACAACAACCTCTCTGTGGAGTGTGCGAGATTTGGGGTGCTTCGACGGAGAGGATTTGGGAGAAAGTGAGTTGTGAAGAGCTTGAGAAAGATGGGGCAGATTGAGGGCTTCCATTCTCTTCCTGTTCTCTTCCAATCTCTTCCTCCGACTCTCCTCGTATGTTGCCACCATTTTTTTCCAACACCACGATTCCAATGCTTCTGCGTATGTCCGCTGTTTTTCTCAAGTTACTGTTTATCAAATCAAATGAAATGGCATTGCACTGTCTCTCAGTCGACCGTTGCATTCCCACTTCCCAATGTATTCTATCTTTTCCTCCCTTTGGTAATTTTTATTTTTAAAAATACATTTATGATATTGAAATTATAATGCATATTTTTTATTAAAATTCTATTATTGTTTATTGTTTAAATTTTATTGTAAGGGTAAGATTGACAGTTCTTTTCTTATGAGGTAATGAAATTTTATGTAAATTTAACAAAAAATTAAGTTAAATTTACTTTTAACTAATACGTGGTTTATGAAATTTTATTTGATGATGAAATAATATTATAAAGGAGAAGTCACCAACAAAAATGCACATTCATTTTCACCCTTTATATCAAATTATCCGCCTCTTTCTCCTCTGTATGTAGCTTTTAGTGGTTTTGGGAAGTGTGTCTAAACTTGCTTTGAAATGAATTTCATCATGTAGAATTGATTTTATTTAAAAGTGAGTTCAAATTGATGTAATTTATATTTTAATTTTTTATTAAAAGTAAACTTATCATAAAATTAGTATAAATTATTCAATTTATGTAAAGGCTACAGATTACCACATTAGTTCAAATGAGTTTTAGACAATAAATTTTAACATTCAAATTTTTTGTTGTTATAATGAAACAAACATAATTCTGCATGAACTTGCATTCAAACTTACATATACAAAATCTAAATGAAGTTCTTTATAAATTAAAATTAAAATTTTATTTTAATAACATGTATAATAAAAATTATTAAATATCAACAAATATTAAAATTTGATATATATTATTTAAATAAAAATTTAATTTAATTAAAAAATATCATTAATAATACTGATAATGTATTTAATTTTTTCTTTTATTTTTATTATATTTTTTAATATTAGAAATATATTAATATTTATATCTATTTTTTCAGAGATTGTTTGGAAAAGAGTTTTAGAGGAGATGAAAAATTTATATTTTAAATAAATATATTTAAAATTAATATTTTTTAATATATTAAAAGAAATACTTTTTATTATAAATAATATATAAATTTTTAATTTAAAATTAAAAAATATTTTATCCTCTTTCTTCTCTTCCAAAAATATTCTCTAAAACATAACTTTGATGGTTTTAAAGAGTGTGTATAATACCGTTCAAAAACTATTTTTAAAATAATCACCTTCTTGGTGAGTTTGAGAGGAGGAAAAAATAAAAATCAAATTAAAAAAAAAGTATAATACATTTTGTATTTTTCAATTAAACAATAAATACATTGCTAGTTATGATTTTGTCATCCAAATAAACCACAATTACTGTAAGAATATTTAAGCAAATAGTTGTAGTTTAATAATTTTAAAATTTATTGTGGCTGTAATTATATTATAAGTGATTTGTTTTATATCCGTAAGTTTAAATTGAAAATATGTAAATAATTAATATTTTGATCTCCATTTTAAAAAACTATATTAAAAAAATTATTGAAACTATTTACACTGTTTATTATAACAATAATATATTTCAAATAAAGGTTTCTTTGCATAAATTATCTGAACATTTTGAAATTATTTCATTAATAATTACATCAATGCGCCTAGGATTACAATTGCTAGTTTGCCACTGAATCGAGAATCAGTCACAAGTCTAAACAACTTACAAAGTCAGTGAAATAGATAACCGGTTTAATACTAGCCAAATACAATATTAAGAACCAGTGCACAAAATTAGGCTAAATCAGTCTTTTCATATATATTTTTTAAAGTAAATAGTTACTTGTACATGATATTTACATATAAAATATTATTATTTAATTGTTTATGACATTCTTATTCTATAAAACATATAATGTGATATGTTATATTATTTTAAAATGTGTTATATAATACTACTTTTTATATTTTATTATTATTAGTTTGACCTCAATTAAAGTACACTGGATACAACCAATTGCAAATCAATATCTTCACTTGTTCATGTCCATTGGATTTTAAAAAAATTGATTTTGAACTTTATAATTTTTATGTGTATCTTGTATAACAAAAAAGTTCTTATAATTAAAATCATCAAAACATCGGCAAACCTTTATAGACTCTATTTGGAAGAGAGATAAAATAGGATAAAAAATAAAGAAGTAAAAAAATGAAAAAATAGAAAAAAAAAATGTGTTATTTAGAAAAATAAAATAAAAAATGACACAAAGGTGAAATAAATCAAAATAGAATTTCAGAAACGCGCGATGTTAAACCCATAAAGCCTTTTGGTCTGTTTTATTCATATTGCACAAGGTCAAGCCCTAGCAAGTTATGTTGTCGCTAATATCTTATCAACCCCGAATCCTTCATCCAGAGCAGTACCCCAGCGAGTCCTTCTCGAAGGTTTCTGGGCCTATAATCTAGCTCCCTTTTCGCTTTTTCACAGGAATACTCCCATTGATGTCTTAAAACATGAACTGTCTGTTCCAATATTAAAGCACAGGAATAAGAACAGTAAATTAGGTTTGTTCCAAATAAAGTTAAAAATATCCCTTGATTTCCCATAAAAGGAATGGGTGTAAGTACATCATTTTTTTGTCAGAATAAATTTTAATAGAAATTTTAGTTTATCATAAAAAAATTACCTCTATGTTTTCTCTTTCACAATACATATAATTTCTAATGAATAATCAATTTAGCTAAAGAAAAACTTCTCTTTCTTATATTGTGCATTTTTTTAAGTAAATTTTTTTAAAAAATTATAATTATTTTTTATAAACAAGTAAAAAAATAAGTGAATTAAATGAAAAAATAAAATTAAAATCAATTTAAGAATATGAATAATTCACATATAGGAGAGAAAAATAACTAACAGATTTAAAAATCACAAGATAAAGATGTTTAACATTTATTTCTAAAAAAAATACAAAGTTAAGTAGTGAATAGCCGTGAAGCTGTTTATCACAAAGGAAACAGAATAAAAAATGAAAATAAAAACTAATATTTGAAAGTTGATTGATGTTAGAAATGATCTAATATATTTTTGAAAACTGTTTATTTGCCACAAGCTGAACACGATGGAGGAATGGAACTTTGGATCTAAAACAGTTATTAAAAACAAACCTTCTTTTTTAATATATACAATTATACCTTAAAAACATTTTTGTTTACAATCTAATATAATTATATAAACCTTTTTTTTTTAACTATTCTCTTGGAGCCTTTAGCATTAGCAAGGGGATTATAATTTACCATTTTAGCAAGGGGAAAATTGAAAGTTATATTTTTCAATTATTTTTAAAAATTTGTATTCAGTCAAACATAAGATATCATGTTTTTACTAAGCAGAAATCTAAGAAGCCCCTGCGAAAATACAAAAACAATTTAATCTATCCAGCTTTAATTTTGCTAGCAAACTCCTGTACAAGCAAGTTATATAGGTTGTGCCATATGGTTTGGATACATCAAAACTACAGGTTTTATTACCGATGTTGAAAACGTATAAGTAAAACATATTAATTAAAAACAATAAATATTTTTTATAATTTTAATATAATAATATTATTTATTTATTTATTTTAGAAGATGTGAAGTCCTGAAATTAATAATTATACGCATTCAAAAGGTGGTAAAAGAAGGGAGCTTACCGGTGGACTAATGAGAGGTAGCTTTCCAGTGATTCGAGAGTATAGAACTGACAGCCACCCATATGCTTCAATGACCCACAAAGGGATGCTAAGTATCGGTTTCGCGGTGTCAGTAATAACAGCAGCCATATCAAACACATACTTGAACGACGCATTTTCTCCTGTCAGAAGATACCTGTTCCCTGCTTCTCCCTTTTTCATCGCAGCAATGTGCCCCTCCACCACATCCTCCACATGACTGAACGAAAACTTATCGTTTCCATACCCTATGTAACCCGGCAATCTACCACTGAACCGTTCTACTATCTACCAAACCAAACACACATATTATTCACCATGACAAAATTAACATTACAAATTCGAACGGCAAAACCATATTTCCCATCAATTTATACCATACGAAACAACAAAGAGAATAAAAGATAACAATGCATAACAGCCTTAGTAACACAGTACCATCCGTGCAACAACGTTTCCAGCAGTGACCTTGCCAGAACCATATATTACTCCAGGATAAAGCAACACTATCGGCACCCCGTCCGATGCAGCTTGCATAGCAATCTTATCGGCAGCAACCTTTGATCTCTCATATTCGGTACAGAAATATTTCTCGTGATGCACCTGTAATTGAAATTGGAATCGGATTTGAGAGAACAAGAAAAAATTATAAATAGAGAAGCAAAAATATAAATCCGAATTGTACTTGATTTTCGTCTGCGAGGCCTCCGTCGGTTGGTCCTAAGGCGAAAAACGACGACGTATATATGAGCTTCTCCACTGTGTGGCCCTCCTTCACCGCCTTCAACACATTTTTCAATCCTCCGACGTTGACCTAATTAAAAAAGAAAAAAGTGATTGGAAATTTAGTTATGTCGGATTAGTGAAAATTGTGAGGACTTACGGAGAAGAATCTAGAAGGATCGGGAAGCCAGGGCTCGACGAGAGCGGCGACGTGGAAGACGACGGAACAGGAGGAGCAGGCAGCGAGAAGAGAGGCGTAGTCGGTGATGTCGCCGCAAACGATTTCGAGATGCGGAGGAAGGCCGGAGATATCGCTAGTGGATCGAACGAGGGCTCTGACGGAGTAACCTTGGCGTAGCAGAGCATGGCAGAGCCTTCCACCGAGGTAACCGGATGCACCAGTCACCAATATCTTCATTGTTTCTCTTACTCTCTCTGCTACACCATCCACCACTATAGAGTCTAGTCAATGTTGTAGTTCGAGAAATTCAGATTCCCTTGTTAAGTTTGATTCAACTACAAAAAATAATTCCCAGATGTCTTTTGGTTCTTTTTTTTTTTTTTTAAAGCTTTATATATATATATATATATATATATATATATTAAAATTAAAGAAAAAATTAACCCAAAAATCCTTTTAAAAAATTTATATTAAAACAGACGTTTATACTAAATTATGTATAATTTTATACATTATCTTGCAATTAAAACATCAGTTTCACTCCCCAAAAGTGCTATAATATGTTAATTAAATTTTTCATATTATAAGAAATTAAATTTAGTTACAACTTTAATAATTATTAGTTTGTTTAATATTTAATATCACAAAAAAAATCAGTTAATATTGGACTTTAACAACGATTAGTCAATTTAATTCCTTAATTTAATATACATTACTCAAATTAATTTCCAATACGAAGAAATAAATTAAAAATGGTTATTAAATTTAAAAACTAAAGTAACTAATTTAACTATATCAAATTTAAGGGTCAATTTGTCGATTATAAATAAATTTAGGATAAAATTGCGACACAAATCTTTAAACTATTTTAGTGATGTTTTGCCTTGCCATCAAATTTTAAAATTTCACCTTAATAACTAACATAATAAAAATTAGCATTTAATACAAATATTGATATTATATGAAACTCTTGTTTTGATTAAAAAAATACTAATAAAATACCCAAACTTTACTACTTGAATTTTGTTCTTAAATTTATTTTTTATGATATTCATGATGAAATAAATTAAGTCAATCTCTGAATTAAATTCCTTCTCTTGTTGACTTCATTCTTTTTCTTTCAGTCAAATGTCGACTTCTTTCTTGATGTTCATAGAATTGTACGTCTCTAGTTCGACGGCTGGGTTTTGGTCCTTTTTTAAGTTTTTTGGCTCAACATGTCTTAGGCTTATACGACCCATATATATTTTATTCTCATCTCCTCATCACGAATGTGAGAACTCGGACCCAAAAAAATAAATATAATCATAAATGTGAGCACAAGGAACACCGGTTGCAGGACAAAAACATTTAGGAATATTTTCTTTATGAACAGAATTTCGGACTACAATCACAATTGCCCCCTTATTCTTGTCTCGGTGATCTCAGTCAAAACATCTTTTTCCTCCATTGAAGTAGCTGTACAAGTTACATAAAGAAAAAGGCAAGCTGCTCAATCACATTACTTAGTCCACAGTGCTTAAAGAACAGCTGAGGTGGCAATTTATTAGCCCTTTTTGCCTCTTATTTCAGGTTCTACCACCACACATCTCTGGTGCCTATTAGATCTCCCCAAATTTTGAACCTTGAAGAAAACATCAACCTTAGCAGAATTCACCTGATGCTTTTGTAGGTCAACAATCTTACAACCTTGAGCGCCGAATGCATTTTATAGGATTAAATGGAGCATGCCTCCTTGTACCTGCTAATAGTCGTGCATTCTTGGAATTCAACCTGATATCCCAATCCTCAACATTCTTGGGCACACAGACATCAAACAGTATTTGGCCAAGAACCCCATGCGCATTGATGCTTGGACGACTTGGGAGATGGATAAAACCTCCCTTACGTTCATCCGCAATGGTGCCAACATGTTTACCCTCGTAATACTCCATTGAATTAGAAGACAAATTATCACTTGGGGCAAGAGCAAAACCCTGAAAACTTGTTGAGGCCATTGCTGCTTTCCTTAATTCAGAGAACGGATCTGCGATCTCATCTTTTGTTCCTTCTATGCCCAGTTTCTCATCTTCAATTCGTCTATTTTTGTGACAATGAATTGCAACTGCCTTGCCAAGGATCTCAGTAATAGCAGCCTTGTAATCAATTGGATGATGCCGAAAATGACCTGTGACAAATTCAATTCAAATTCAATACATTAATCCCTGATCTACAGACAATTTAAATATTACCTGGAATTGCACTAAAAATGGTCACAATGCTCATTTCAGTTATACAGAATTACTAATTTTTTCCCTTTGTACATCATACATGCAACGGAAATAATCACATATCTGTCAGCTTGCGAAAAGGAAACAAAATATTCATAATGTTTGCATGGTTGCATACTTAAGTATTTGGAACTTCAGATGTGCCATAGCATGCAAACAAGAGTTGGAATGTAAATGTAAAATGTAGATCTTAAGATTCCTGAAAAAATGCTTATGTAAACAAGCTTTGCTGTAACAGATTCAAAGAAACAAGTTGCCTTACACAGAAGGCATGCGCCCATAGTTTACAGCAGAAGAATCACATGGACATCCTCACAATGAATAGTCGTCATGTTGACCATGAAAAATAGCTTGAACAAAGTACAATCGTGGTAGTACAAAATCATAATAGAAGCTACTAGATATCTTTTTGTCAAGCACAATCTTATTATCTTACTCATGCATCATTATGTAAAAAATTAGTCAAGATACTGACCAACATGAGGTGAATCACTCCATTTTAACAGTTTGACATCTCCACCAAGGTCTTTTAGTCTCTGGGAAAAATTGGAAATAACTTGAAAAGGAGCAAGGTCGTCGTTTTCTGAACATAAAACGAGATATGGGACCTGCATATTCTGCAAAAATAATTACTTGATAAGCAGATAACTCAAGAGACCTAAAAAAAGAAAGAGCTAATTTGCTGGTTGATTCTTAGCTGCTTACAACAGTGGAGTAGAGTGTTCGCCAATATTCTGCACGATCTGATTCAAATCTGCTGAGGAAAAGAGAATCAAGACCCGATGCTATGCCATTGGCAACCCATGAAGCAAATCTTGGTGGATGGGACAATTTTAAAACAGTTGGGTGCAGAAGAAATCGAACACCCAAATCACTGGTAAAATCAACTGGACTGGAATCATAAATATAGCCAGAAATACATTTCCTAACTAGCTGGTAGTCATCCTGTGCCATGAAAATAGTTTAGGAGCAGCGCAAAACATAAAACTAGCAGTGAACAGTTTTATTTTTGTGTGTGTGAACAGGTAGGTTACAAGGACAAAATCATTGCACAATACACATTAAATCAATGTTACAAGAACTTGACCAAAATACTTGGTAGAAGGGAATATATGATCAATTACATCATGAAACGTGGCATTCAGGCAAGGGATTCAACACTGGACCTCATTTCTCACATTGACATGATTTAAGAAAACTTAAGACAATTATGAGATAATCAATTATACTATCCATGTAACTCAACCATCCTTTGAACAGCTAATGGCAGAAAACATACCATATTATGATCTTCAGAGTTCCCACAAATTATCTGGATGAAAGGAACACAGGGTCATCAGACATAAGAACTAAAAGATTTTATAGCATGATGGTCAAAACATAAAAATCAGTCTGGAATAAAATACCTGAAGAACCTTGTACATACAAGCTTTTGCACCACCTGAAAATGATGCAAAGACGATGGGACAAGGCCTAATTTTCAGCACCTGTATATAGAATAAAAAGCAGCATTCGTAAGCTTGAAACTATGGATCAACTTTGGACAAAATTAAAAAAAAAAAAATTTCCAAATTCAACAGTAAGATAATCAATTTACTTCACTTTAGACTGGTTTACATGGGTTCTACACAACGGGATATGAAACAACAGATGATACAATTGTGCTTTTTATTCCATTCAGACTCACATTGTCTTTAATTTTAATACAAGATCATACAGAAAAGCTACACCAGATTAATTGAAAAGGAGGGTTTAAGCTAACTTAAATTCAAGCTGACTGACCAACAAAATAGAGAACTACAGTAAAACTTACCTCAACAAGTTCATTAAGAATGTCAACAGCAAGAGTTGTCGCTTTTTCAGGGAAGAACCTGCAAGTAATAGCAATGTTATAATCACCATCCAGTATGTATTAGATGTGCAAAGAACCACAGCATCGATGGCCTCATCTCTCGTGGAAAATAAATAAAATACCAACGCATCTGGAGGTCATTTTACCAAATAACTAGATACAGACTTGATTAAAATAATTTAGCAAACTTATAATTACTTAACATGTCCCCAATAAACCCATTGCAAAAGAGGTTTGAACATTTGAAGATTAATTACTTGAGCTTATGCCATCAACATTCTAAATAATACAAGCAAAAATTATAACCCAAAGTTTTCATGCATCCACTAAAAAAGAAGGACAACTAAAATGAAAATAAGCAGCTACTACTTTGGGCTTATGTGATTCGTCAAACAAATACTAAGGTTTTAACATAATAATTAATTCACCAAGCTTTCAACAGCTGAAACGTCCTTCCATCCAAACTGCTTTAATTTATAAAGCGTGATTCCATTTATAGAAACATAAAATTGAAAGAAACTTCACCTGATTTGCTGATCATGATAACCATATTGATCAATTCAAGGCAAGGTTAGCTGCTAATGACAACAGTCACATATATGGGTAAGATTATATCTATTTTGGAGCTCTAGAAGACAAAGGCACTACTCCTATTGGTTACACTTCATGAAGCTAATATGTGATGGCTCTGTCAGGCTGTTAGCAAACAAAGAGCAGTTACACTGAACAGAGGGAACCCTCCCAGTTCCCCCCTCAATTTTTTTGAATGAATAAAACTGTTATCAGGCTCCAGCCTTCAATTATACCTGTAAACCTTAAGGGCAGGTACTTATAGTTCATATGAATAATTCTTAGTTTGGAATGAGTCATTCCTCTTCTACTTTGAAATCATTTGGCTTGAATTCTTGAAATGTAGCACCCTCCCCTTCATATTCACTACTGCTCACAATTGAACTAGAAATAAGTAAGTTGATTACATACGACACTGTATTACGGTAAAACCTTGTCATCGCGTATTTGACTCTTCTTAAGTACACTTTAGAGGGCAAAACGCAAAGTGATAGCCATTGGTTGAAAAATCAACATTTGAGGTTGTGATAAAATACATGCACAAAAATGACAAATAATGAAGTTATTAAAATTTTAATAGTTGATTGAAGAGCTATCATTAATATTAAAAATATTCAAAGGGAATCTAAGATCCAATCAAGTTTAGAACTCACATATTGAGAAATTGAGAATGGCAAACGAGAGAATTCCATCCGACAGAGGAATAGAGGTCCACGTATTTCATCAAGTGCTTCTCCTCGCTCGACATCCATGCAAACACCACAACTACCCCATCAGCTTTTTCACCAGCTACGTTTCTTCCCCAGTAGTATCTACCACCAAATCCCCACATTCTCCCTCTTCTTCTACTTCTTATTCTACCACAACAAAAACCGCAGAGCTCAAAGCATTTAATTTCCAGAGAACTAACAAGGGGGAACTTAAATTGAAAATTAGCAGAAGATCAAAGAAGAAGTGGAGAAATTTTACTCGTGCAATTTGAGCTCGCTCTCTCTGTTCTGTCAGACTGTCACCCACGCGTGGCTTTCAACGGTTGGAAAGAATTGAAGAGGGAAAGGAACTGGAGCTGAAGGTTGTGTCCACCAGAGGCTGGTATTGTTGTGCGTTTGAGCTCACGCTCCACCTTCACAGTCACAGATCGCAACCCGTAAAAGGTTTATAAGATATATATATATATATATATATATATATGTATATATTAAAGTTATAAAATTATAATATATATTTTTTTTTAAAAATTTACTATTATTAATTACTTATCTTCAATTTTAAGAATTGAATAAACATTTTTAATTATTCATGCTCATATTTTTCTAATGTATTAATATTGTTTTAATTTAATTAAATCATCAATTGATACATGAGGTTATTAAACAAGGGGTAAAACTTATTTAACTTTTAACAAAATATAAATAATAATAAAGTGTATTAAAAATGGTTAAAATATATTACTTATCTTATTGTACAATGCTTAAAAAAAATTGACCTCGATTATTCTATTTGATGTTTAATCTGAATTTATTTTGGATAAAGTTTAAGTATAATATTATGTTCTTTTTTTAAAAATTAAGATCAGAATTTTATTTTAAAAATTTATACAACAAAGGTGAATTTAATGTATGAGATGAGGATAACTGAAGATAAATACTGGTCGAGTCGAGTCTTATGATTTTGTCCTTATCTTTCACCACTCCTTCTCCATTCGATTGGTTGCTGCTCCACGGAAGGTTTATGCTTTAATAATTCACGTAAAGCCATTGTTATTGTAGAACAAATTTTAGTTTAGGGACTGCGGTGTGAAAGAATTATCACAATCGAATGCTATAAGAATAATCATTCAGAAGACTTTTCTACGGTGGAATTGGTCTTTGACATTTACCCTTCGGATGACCAGAATGGGAAGGCAAGCAACTGATACATAATCAAACCCATCATCAATTCTTTCTGACATTCACATTTTAATTTACGTTCAGAATTGTGTTTACTTTAATATTATTATCAAAGGGAAATCTAAATATAATATTATAAATATTTTAAAATTTTTTGTAACCAAATTATTTTATTAAATAATAACACTAAAAATGCCTATAATGTTCTAATTGAATTTTATTTATTTATTAATTTTAATTTCTTGCAAAACACCCAAACGAATGGATCATTCCATATGCAATGGCTTATGGCCATTCCAAAAATTGTCACGAGAAGCTACCGCGAACAACAATCTTCCACGACTTCTCCATAGCCTCGTGTAAATATTTACAGATGAAAAATTAATATTTTTTATAAATAAATTATAATATATGACAATCCTATGATTTATTAACTTTAAACGATTAATGTTGTAAAAGTAGGATGGTTGTACGAATACATTACACAATAAATGTAAAAAGAAAATAACAGCTAAAATTGTGCCTTGTGTAAAAAAACATTTCAAGCTTTCATCTTAATGCAGTCTGATACTCTAAGGATTGCTTTTATTTTTCTAATGTTGAAATCTATTTACTATTTGCAACTTAACTTTAAATCAATAGAAGAATTTATTTTAATTATTATTGCTGTTATTTACGAAAGGAAAATTATATGATTTTTCCACAACCCAGGAAAATAGTTTAGTTTAATTATACTTGTAGGTTTTTTTTTTTAAAATTTGGATATTGTGTGATTTTGGTCATAATTATTTTATGTTGCTTTTTTCTTAATATTTTTTTCTTAAATTTATCAATTTATACGAATTGATTTGATTAGACTATCTTTTATTATAAATTAATCAAGTAAAATATCAAATTTCACTTTTTTTTTATCAAATCCTAATTGCATATCTTATAAAATTCATTAGATTTTATAAAATTTTTACCAATTTTTTTACAAACTTACAAAATTATTTCATATCTCAACATCGTAATAAATTCTTAAACGTTTAGATAAAATAATAATTTATAATTTTCAATAAAAATGAATAATTAAAAAAACAATTTAAATGTTTATTTTATAAAAAAGCTAAAATCATAGGTAACTTCAATCAAGACAAAAGTGCAATTAAATAAAAGTTTAACATTGAAAGAAGCGGCGCACAATAGACTTAATTAAGATGGGAAGCGCAGTATAGCACGACCACCATCAATAATGGTGGAATGAGCGAAATGATTAGGTGTTCCGTCTAATTCCCACCTCACCCAACCTCCTCAGACAAAAAGCGTTCTATTGAAATTAGAGCCAAACCCAAAACCAAAACCAAAAGCAAAACCGGTTCCATTTCTGAACACTCAAGCTTAGGGTGGGCGATCACTATTCACCACTGCACAAAACCCTCTAATCTTTAGAAAAAGAAAAAAAATCATTGGTCATCGAATAACAATACAAAACGAAATCACAAATTGGCGGTGTAAGCTTCGATCTTAGATTAAAGTAGGAGTTAGGAGGCTTTACGTGCAGTGCAATGTTGGAATGAGGAGATGGCGAGAGGGAAGTTGGTTTGTTCTTACAAGAAAACCACTCTCTTAGTTTGCTTTCTCAACATTGCCGTTGCTCTCTACGTTCTTCGCTCTCTTTATGCTTCTCTTTATATCTACTCCGGTAACGTTTCCCGCAACGGTAAGTAGCATCAATCTCTTATTAATGCCCTTTTCCTACTTCTTCTTTTCTTTTTCTCTGCTTCAACTTTTCCTTTTGTGTTTTCAGTTGCGTTGTATAACCCAGATCAGATTCGGAAAATGGAAGAATCAATCCAAATCCGTAAAGCATTTAAACCGGTCCAGTTAATTAAGTGGGTAAGAACTGTGAACTATGAATGAACCCTTTTTATATCTGCCTCAATTTCATGCTATGCAACCGTTCTGCAAATAGGTGAAGGCTTTAGAAGGGGAACTTTCCAGAGAGAATGTGGCGGTAGAGTTGCCCTCGCATTTGAAACAGAATATAATTGATGAGATCTTGCAGAGACTAAGGAACTTGAATTCGAGTAGCACGGATATTGCTAAGGAACAAGGTGAATGTATGCTTGTAAATTTTGTCGAATATGAATCTTATTCGTTCTACGAAAATTGTTAAGCATCTTGTATATCAGTAACACAATGTGTTTACATTAAAGCTAAGCTTATATAGAGTACGTCTCATTACAACTCTGGCATTAGGTTTTTCAGTAATAAAAGAGTGTTTTCAGCCACCTTACTAAAATTGTTAGGTTTTAGTGTTGTACACTCACCCCATTACTATCAGAAAATTGCACCGACTGCTGGTCTTATAGCTGTTTCTCACCTCTTATTCCTGATTAAGAGTTCCATGAAAAAAAAAAGGAATTGCATTTAAGCCTTTGTTGTTTTCTCCTATTAACCTAGATCATTCCATCTGATGATGCATCTCTCTCTGCTAAATTATAATTGACTGAGTAAGAAGTTCAGACATTGATTGGGTTTTCAGTTACTCAGATTGAAAGTATGCAATGCTCATCGTGTATTAATTAATATGTGTCTCAATAATAATTCATCTGTTTTTATGTTTAGTAAGAAAGTCTGTGGATTAACTGATTTTTCACTTTTAAGTCACTCAGGTTGAAAGTCTGAAATGCTTTTTATGCAACTTGGTTTGTGAGATGACAAAATTAGTGAAGATAGTTTGAATTTTTATTTATTTTGAGGACTAAATAATTTAGACTGATGATAGACCGAGCAGATTACTGAACATTTGTTTGCATTTAATTGGCCAAATCGTTGGACATATTACATCACTTTATTCTATTTCAAATATGTGATTTGTCTCCTGAATCATGAAGAGGGTAGAGAACACTAGCTTGCATGATGTGGTGTGGTGTTAAAATGTAAAATGGGGTTTGTATTGTTTGGCCTGCAAATCAACTGCTGAAAATATCTTGATTGCATTGGGTGTATAATGTTTGATTTACTCCTTTTCTTACCCTGGAGGGTGGGAGGCAGAAAACAAATTTTCCATCTGGAATGGTTTTACACTTTTATCTGTTGTCCTGTAACTTTTCCATTTCTGATGATGGTGGATCTAAGGTCCTGATCCCAGCCTCCAATTTAATTGTTTTTTAAATGAAAACAAGGCATAGCTACATAAATAAGGCTCATATCTATTCAGGTTAACCTATATTCTAAATTGTTGTAGTGAAGAATGAAGAGATTACCATTGTACTTTCAAGAGCACATAATCAGTCATTTCTTTAATGTGGCCGGGGTGGGTGGGCAGGGTGGAAAAGGTCCATCCCAAGAATGGGGAGTCTAGCTTAATTGTTTAATGATTTACTGTAAGCTACACTATTTTAGACATTAAATTTGGCAGTGATTTTTCAATGACAAGTTTAAATGATTTGGAAGTACTCTTATTCCTGTCTTATCCATAGCATATCTCATTTTGGTGATATTTTTCAAAATTACAGAAGTAGTTGAGAGTTGGCGCAAGGAAAAACTGAAAGAGGTCAAGTTGGCTCTTGTGAAGGGGACTTCCAACTCAACCATCTCCCATGAAGAAGCTGGTATGAACTTTGATTTTCTGTTGTCTGTGACAGATGAGTCGATTGTATGATGCTTTAAGATCATGCTCTCTGAAAAATGGTAATGTGTGCTTTACAAATCTTAGACACCTTATACATATGTTATTTCAACGTCCTAGGTATGCTAGCAAGAGCTTTGGAGTCTGATTGGGCTGTGGTCTGTGAAGAGATTGGGCTCTGGATACCTGTTCAAGTTGCAAATGAAGAACATGATGACAAACCTGAGGGCGCAGAGGAGTTTGGTATTATCAGTTTCTTCAGTTTTTTCTACCATCTTCCTATTGTAGTGTCTTCATTATGCACCGTCTGCAATATTGATTTGCAGAAAATTCATCACTTGAATGGTTTCCAGGAATCAGTTAAAAATGCACACACTAAATGATAGAATGTGGAAGTGGTTTACGTATATACTCATTTCTTTCAGAAATCTATTCTTTGAATTTACCATGTATACATTTTCTCCAGAGGAGGAGGTTCTTCCTGGCAGGCCCCTTTCACCAGAGTGCCATGCTGAACTTCATACAGATTATGATGGCGCTGCAGTAAGATGGGGTCTTACCCACCACAAAGATAGTGCAGCTGATTGTTGTCAGGCTTGCTTGGACCATGCAAGACGTGCCAAAGAAGGCGAAAAGAAATGTAACATTTGGGTTTATTGCCCATCTGAGTTTGGGTGTCATTCTCCAGATATATATCAGCACAAACATCAGGAATGCTGGCTGAAATATGTAAGTTCCCCCCCCATGATTCACTAGTTTAGGTCTTTTGTATGTATTTGCTTAATGACTTTTGATACTTCTATTCACTGAGTTCTGAGAAAATACTACTGTGTTTTTCATACATTGTCTGGTTTGAAAATTTCCCTCTTGATCATGTATTTTTCCTCCCCATGGCTAATAATATACTGTAATTGATATTTTGAATCCAGGCTGAGAAACCTCGACTAAATTTTAAGGATAAGTATCCTGAATCATATCGAAATTCACACCCTTCTGCACCAGTGATTGTTCCATGGGTCTCTGGAGTTACTAGTTCATGAGTCAAATAACAAACATCAAAGGTAACATAATGATCAACCAGAGCTACCTTGTAGACTACGAGAGCGCAAAGCTAGTGCAGGCAAAGGCTTTGCATACTACTGTTCTTCAACATGTTTTTTTTTTTTCTTTTTTTTTTTATGTAAAAGAAATGAAGTGGGGAGCAAAAAGTTTTCCCAATGGTCATTTAGGACTTGATTTCGATCAAAATACGGTTTTTGACAAACTCACCTTCTCAGTGCCAAGGATTTTTCACCGAGGTCGGGTCTAACACTGAGGAAAGGTAACTTTTAACTGATGAGAAAGTTGTTTTGTTGTAAGCTATCTGATAACATAATTCATTGTATCTGTGGGACTTAGAATCCTACTCATAGAATCATTCTTGTTCGTGATGTTGATGATGATCATTATCAATCTCTGTCGCTCCGGCTTCCTTTTATCCATCATAACCACCATACTTAATTTATACGCGTGTAATAAAACGTATTTGTGCGTCACAAGTGGTAGTTATGTTTCGAAGCTTATTTTGTTTACACAATCCTCGAGATTTTCCACATAAGATATGAACACTACCAAGCACAATAGGTAATTAACAAATTATATTTTTCATCTGTTATTTTTAATCTAATAAAAACCGATTTAGTTTTAATATTTGCCAAGTATAATCCATAAAAGAGAGAAGTATTTTACACGGTAAGAGTTCACCAGCGAAACCCCAAAATTGTTTTCCAAACTACAAGGGATCTGCTTCCAGTTTCCGGTGGACGCTTTGTCTCTATCCGTGAAAAACGTGATAAAGGTTAATTTAATTATCGGGAAGGACTGCATAATTCAATTTCTTAAATCTCTGCAGCTCTTAAAACATGCTGTGTTGTAAAAATTAAAAGAAAATTGGTAGTTTGGTACATGCCAAATGATAGTGTTCTTAAGGATTAATTTGCCACACTAACAGATTTTATTATTGTAAAAAAAATTCAGGATATAAGAGGCTCTTGACATAAAATAAGAAATATAATAGTGGAAGTTTTACTTTTATTAACATAACTCACGAGTAGAAAGAGGAGGAAAAAAGACGTTGGGAAAAATGCGAGTTAAAAGAAAGGGGAAAGAGTAGAGAAATAGTCTGTATTAAAAAAAAAAGGTTAGACCAAGTAAAATCGGAAGTCTAAGTTTAAAACTTATCCAAAAAATTTTTAAATTAAATACTTTTTTTGGTTTAAAAAAATAAAACTTTTTTTTTCTAATTTAGTCAATGTGTGGGACATTAGACTTTTGAAATATCCGCAAAATATTCAACGTTATGCTGATCGCTTGAAGTTAACTTTTTGAGGCAAAAACTCGTGGAAGTAAACCAACAACTAGAGGGAATAGCTTGACTCTTTTTTCTTTTTGGGTCGTCGAATAGCTTGAGTAATGACGAGGGAATATGTAACCTCTTGGCTCATATTCAAGGTAGGCAACACAGAATTTGAGTTCAGGCTGAGCTATGCATCTTTAGGCCCATACTATCTTGGCTGAACAGAGTTCATCTCAAAACCCATCGAATTGTTGACCCAAAACACAAAGTCATAAAGCAGTGAATGAGTCTTAATCTTCTCTAAATAAGGGATCACATTATTATAATCAGATTCCCTTTTAAGCTAACAGAGAAAGATGTTTAGTTGTCGCACCACTTTTCTCTAATTGATAGGATTAGACCAAACATCTATGTAGTCTTAACTAGGTCTTCGAAAAATTTACATGAGCATAATCGTAAAAAATTATCACTATGTGCACGTGAATCTGAATCCTAATTAGTTGTAAATTTATCCATTGCAATGAACTAAATTCTTGACATAATTTTCCTTTTACTCGAAATCCTTTTTGACTAACATTATCCCCCCAATTATACCATGTGAGTCAATTTCAAGGCACACCACAAGGGATCATTTAGCCTAACATGTCTCGAAGCTCTTGTCCCTTTCTGCGTTTTATCCCGATATAACTTCAATTGGTGGATAGCCAAATCCAATTAGATTTATCAAATAGCAGTATTTATTGGGTGGCACGTCCCATTAACGATAACTTTAACTTAAAGTGTAACACTGACTAAGAACTACCTCTACGCACAAAAAAATAAACAAATCGCTGAAGGTTACCTGGTGGAGACACAAACGTTAATTCTTATGTGTACTAACAAGCATAACACGCCCAAAAACAAAGACGTCACATGTCATGTTCATATTGATCCGATGCATTCATTACTCATATTGCACTAAAAAATTTCTCAACCGAAGTACTTACGGCTGTCAAACTAACATTTGAATCCTTAATTGAATATTGTTGCCATTAGTTAAAATGTCTCTAGGCCATTTTAACTTTGTCTTTACCTTAAAGAACAGAAAACTTTTTATTGTTCTAGGTACGCTGCAGGGCCACTATCAATAAAGGACGTCAATTCGAACATCAACACTAGAGAATAGATGGTACCCTAAAGATATATATATTAGTACACCAATCTTACAATTTTGATGATTAAATTTCCAGATGGGTGTCTTCTACCATGAAGAACCACCAAACCATCCCAAAAGATGCAAATGCCTTGTAGCAACATATCTTAAGGAAGCATTTTCACGTTGCCAAAGTTTAGGTGCACGGTTTTCAACTTCAACTTTCGAGGATGAGTACCCAATGAGCGATTTTGACGAGGAACAGGAAGTAAATTCACCTCACTACTCAATCTTAATCAAATATATAGTTTTAGAATATTAAGTTTCATGTTTTTTTAATGTTATCATGATTATTACTTTCCTGCTTCCTAAGGTGTTTATCTCAGCTGTAATAAGCCGAACCATGGAAAAACAAAAGCACAAGCCAAGTGTTTTGAGACATAGCTTTTCCTGGGTATACTCTCCTGCAACAAAAGAACTTTTTGTGACTGAAGCAATGGGAGCACAAGAAAAGTTGAAGGGTGATGAAGAAGTTGATGAAAGAGAAGATTTTTTGTCCGTTAAGAGCTGTTTCTCACGCTGTTCGAGTTCTCTAAGTGGAGAAGCATTTTATTCTGTGAAGACAAAGCTTTCACGATGTTCAAGCTTGAACGAAATTGACATGTCAAAATATTGGAAGCGCTCTGTGATTGAGGAGTTTTGTCATTGCGAGGGATGGCCTTTTGGTCTTTGCCGCAGAGCTGTGTTGCTTCCTCCATTGCCTAAGTCACCTTCTGAGTCATGGTTGTCGCGTAAAATACAACCTAGTATTAAGAAACCCTGAATTTGTTCAGCTGTTACTTGTTTTCATCTTTGTTTTCTCAGGAAATGCATTAGTCTAAAGAGTTGAAAGCGTAATGAATATGGAAAGCATAATTAAGCTTCATCATCACATATGGTAATACACATTTAAAATAAAAGAATAATTGTATTATAATTATTTGCTTTCTTAGTTTCTTTAGCCGAAGTTATCGGCTAAAATACAAGGAATGTTGTGTTGCAGTTCTGCAATAAAAGGAGAGATGACAAATTTTGACATGAACTACTTTTTTAATCACCTCACTTCAATTCAGAATACTAGCGTTAAAGGGAGATTTATCGAGGATACAAAAGTTGGGTTTTAAAGAGAAGAATAATATAAAATAATTAGGTAATAAATTCATATATATTTAATGTTTCAGTTTTTTTTAAGAACTTAATTTGCATATATATAATATCTATATACACACACGTGTGTGGGTGTGTTTTTTCTTAAAATTAAATCAGACAAACAGTACCTTTGATTGATTTCTCGATATATATAATCAGGCAGACAGCGTCCCTGTAAACTTGTACAATCATCAAAAGTTGCCATTTATCTCACAACTAACAAAAGGGAAGCTGGTTTAATAATTAATAAAAAACTAATTGAATTGAATGTAGTCTTTTTTATTATAAATTATGAGAGACGAATATTAATATAACTTTTTAATAACAAAATTTCACTCTCAAGTTTTAGAATATTAATTAGCATTTCTTTTTATTTTAAAATTAAATATAATTAATTTTAAATTACTAAAATTTAGTTTTAAAATGTACATTGTAAAATGTGTCTTAATTTTAATTTTATGGTTTAATTGTGTATATTATTAAGGTTAATATAATATATTAATAATTTGGGTGATTCAATTTTATCTGGGGTTACATTTTGCACCTCCTATTTTACTTTCTATACCCCTTTTATTTCTTTTTTAAAACTTTTATTTAAAAAATACCCTACAAAAGTCGGGAAGTGAAATTTGTGAAATCAGATATATGAGTGATGATGATAGATCATAGAATCACTAAAATTCTCTTTCAATTCAACAAAAACCGAAAATTTTCAGTATTTTTTTTCCTTTCTTCCCTCCCCACATCTTCACGGGTCCAATTATCCTTTCAAATGTCCCATTCCCCAATGCATGTATTTACTTCACCCCATCATTAAATCAATAATGACGACAGTAAGTAAATAGATGATAACATTCATGCAAGGTTTGGAGATATTTGATATATTGTATGGAAGGGATTTTAATTAAAGGGTATTATAGGAATAAAATATTTAAAAAATCTTAATGGAGTGTGATATAAAAAGGGGGGGGGGGGGTAAAAAAGAACTTCCAACTAGTGTATTATGTGGTTTTAATCTAATTGAATTTAAATTTAAATAAATGATCCTATCATGTAAAAGAAAGATAAGCTTGTTTCAATCAATCATAAACAGCACTAGTATTTATTATTGTTTCCTCTTTTTCTCGTTGCATATTTATTTTGCATCCGCTGTTTAGTGTTTACTTTTTGTGCAGAGTTAGGTGAGCGTATTTATAGAATCAAATTTCATTATAAAAGAGCCCAAGCAATACTATACAATGCCCAAACAAAAGCCAAGATTTGAAATAAGGAAAAGTAGATTTGATTTGGCGAAGAACTACAATGCCCAAACAAACTAGACTCTGTTTTTCAGCAGAGGGAGCTTATTTCATCACGCAGAGAGTAAAAGCTTTCACCTTTTTCGTTTGGGTCCATGGATCTAGAATGGGCCTACCTTACAGTGAGTAAGAACAAATAAATAATGAAGCATGCTTAATCATTCTAATTACTTTTATGGCCACAATAATACCCATGTATAATCATTCATAAACCTTCTGTATTTTCGATGCCCAGTTCTTTGTTCTTTCCTTCCTTTTTCCACACTTGCAAATATTTTTTTAATCTGTGTGGGGCTCTGTTTTGTTTCTTATCAATTATTTAAATTACTTTTTTTATTTGAAATTAATAATAGTCAGGGTTGACAGACGCATCCCATTTTGCATATTATTTTTCATGTTAATTTTTTATTTAGTTTTCTTATAATTTCATATTAATTTATTATATAATGTTTTAAAATATAATTTGATTATTACTCTTTTCATTCTAACTTATAGTTAAATTGTTGAACCTTGAACTTACATCGATTTAATTACTGCTCTACTTTTAAAAATATTTAAAAATATCAGTATATATATTGGATAAAATTGGTTTACAGTATGTTACTAGTTTCTAAATTTCTATATATTTAGAAAGAAAATTAAATTTACAAACTAAGGAATTTTATTATTTATTAGTGGATTTTTTTTACCTTTGAGTTATTCAGATAGTATAAATATTTTATCTATTATATTTAAAAAGGTTATATAAATAAAATCTTAATTAGAGATAATAATTAATAATATCCTAATTTTATTAGAAACAAATTTATTTTAATTGTTTCACAGATAAATAAAAATAGAGATATAATTTTAATAAATTTAATTTAAATACACTAATAATATAAGTCTTTTATACTGTTATTCAATTACTGATTATCATATTAACAATAATTATTAATTTTTATAATAATTAATATAAAAATCATATTAAATTATAATTATGCTAAAGTTGAACTCGTTATTAATATTTTATTTTTGGTTGAATGATGAATATGATTTGACTGGATCAACTTAATATTTCTGCTTCTCTGTCATCAAAATTTAATAGGGAAGCTAGGAAATCCATTAAATGCGATGTGGACTGTTGTAATGTTTTCAACGCACATGATAACTTTTTAATTTATATATTAGTAATGTTGTATGATTATATCCACTTTATTAGCTTCCATTCTATGAATTAGGTTTAAGTAATCAACAATAATTTATTTATGATATATTTATATTTAAATATAGTGATTTTTTAATATTTTTTATTTTTAGATGCTTAAACGTAATTTTAAAAATTTAAACTTAACGAGGTTGTTACTATATTTATCTGTATTATTTATCTATGCAGAGGTTTAAAGTAATACTGTTAATTTCAGGTAACATATTTAAATTATTTTAGTTATTTAAGATTAAAAAAAAGAGTAACTAATAAAGGATAACAGCGTAGAGGTTCAAGTTTGTATTTTTAAATAATTTTTATAATATTTTAACATAATTAAATTTATCAAAAAATTTGCATAAAGTTTATCTATTATTTATTATAAAATAAATTTCACTTACTTAAATTACAAAATAAAAAATGTTTAATAATTTTAAGAATGAATTATATCTTATTCCTCAATAAATGTTTCAATCATATTATCTGCTTTTTGTTTTAATTTTTTTCCTCTACGAAATGAACGTGTTATTTCGGTTATTTTAACCTATAACAGACCCATGTTTCTCTCGTTTCATGACTATTAATAACTAGTTTTTAACTCTCATGAACTTTGAGATTTCAGACAATGGAATGAATAGTAAATATAAAATCTTAAATTTGACAATACGAGCATGTAAAATATAGATTATTACAAACTTAAGATTAATAATGTAGTATTTAAAAATAGTTGTCGGCAATTTTAGAAGTTAAAAAAAGATTTAGTAAGTTAATTTTTTTTTATCGTTATAGTTGATAAAATGAATTAGTCTAACCAGCAAATTTGAATTTATTTGATAAAATGTAAGATTAAAAATATAAAATATGAATTTGAATTTATTTATTTTCAATATAATTCAATTAAATTTGATGTGAGGTTAGCTTGCAAATTAAAACGTAATTTTTTTTAAAAGCTTTTACCGAAGTTATGCGTCATTCTGTGATATTGACTTGAAAATGATTTTTTTAACATAATTAATTAAAATTTGTCACGGACGATGAACTAATTTGAATGGTCAGATTACACGTTTTATTGACTTTATTTATCTTATCAATTGACTGGTTTACATTAATATAAATATATATAATAAAATGATACGATGGAGTAACATAATAATATTTTAAAGATGAAGTGTATTTTACTTTTTTTTTAAAATATGCAATTAAATGATATTACTTTCTTAATTAATTAATATTTTCTCATTAAATTTAATGACAATATTGGAAGGTAATACTATGTCAGAAATAGGTTTTTAGAATGCTAACTTGAATAGCGATTACTAAAAATTGTTCTATAACAATACATTTAAAAAATAGTTAGCGTTGAACTGTTCTCAGATCTATACTTCTAAAAACAGTTATTTATTAACTGTTCACTAAAGTTACTCTTTGAGAGCGACCACTTTCTGAAATATTTAATTTTTAAAAATAAAACTAATTCAACTCATAAATTTATTAGTTCTTTATTTTGCAAGTTGTTCTCTTTTACTTTTGTAAGTTATTTTCATCTTTTTTTTACGTAGTATGTTCTCTTCGTCTTTCTATGTTTTCTTTATCTTCTTTTCATTAATAAATTGTTATTTTTTTATATCTACATGTTAGTCTCTTTTATGTATGTAGATTTTCTTCATTTTTTATGCTTTCTTCATCTTCTCTGAACATAAATTTTAATTGTTACACAAATATTATCTAATTGAATATCTTATCCATATATAATAAATATACTACAAGAAATTTTCTAAAAATTCTCATGCTTCTCCTTTTTAATAGATTAAATAGAAAATAAAAAATTAACATAACATGTCACGTGCTTTCCTAAACGTGCAATAAAGTAATAAAGATATTTATCTATTTATAAATAGATAGATATAGTTGGAGTTAGATCTGCTTATGTTTAATAAATACAAGTCTTATTACACACTCTAATCGTATTCTCCTGTTATAAAAAAATAGGTAAAAATATATTTTTTTCTGCAAATTTAAATTCTTTTTTAAACAATTAAAAATGTTAAGTGCTAAAAAAATCATTCTATATTATTTCTAATTTTTTGATAAGGTCTTTATCTCAGCCAGCAAAGCAAATCTTGAATTGATTTTTTTTTGGGTATCAAATTAAATTGCGGTAATAAATTATTCTTTTTCATAGTTCTCTTTATTCTTTATTTCTTTCTTTTTCTATTTATTAACAATGAATCATCCTACTAATTTATTTTTTTTCTCTGCTTACTTGTGTTTAGTTAACACACTGTATAAACTTAAGATTCAATTTTAGTTTATAATAAAAATGAAGAAATTTTAAATGTCAGATCTATAAATTAAAATTTAAACATAATAATAAATTAATTTTAGTTTGCAATATATCTAGAAATCTCAAAAAAAATAAATTTTAAATTTGCAGTTTACATTCATATTTTAGAGAGTAATTCTGTGTAAAATCACTTTCTAATCTTAACATTTAAGAATGGTTTAAATAACGTTATCTTGAATCTAACATATTAAATAGTACAAGATTTTACAACAATTATAAATATTTTCTAATTTAAAATGGAATTGCTCTCATAACTTTTTTTATGTAACGTAATAGTAAAATAAAAATCGAAGTCTTTTCTATTTTAAAAAGACAAGTTATTTAAAATATATCAAAGCTTATTTTAATGAAAACGTAATTTTCTTGGTCCATAAAATAGAATACTCGTTCACAAGCTAAGAAAAATGTGGCAATGGTTTGCTCCTTTGAACTTTGAAGTCTAAGGAAATAAAAAAAAAAAGTCTTTGAAGCTGTTTCCAGTCAATGCCCCAAAATTCAAACTACAGAGAAACAGAAAATATTGGGGTGGCATGACACTTTGAACAACTAATGTGTAATAAAGAACTAGGGAAGATAACGTGCAATTGCAATCTATATTCATAAAAGCAAGTGTTGTCTTCTGTGAGTGGACACTATAGAAACAGCCAGGTCTCCCCCTTATATATATATATATATATATATATAGACACGTGTATAAAAAAAAACAGACAAGTGGTAAAAACATTATTATTTTCCTGAAAATGATCAGTTCACCTTCAAATGAGTGGAGGGAAAGTGATAAAAAAAATAATGAACTGATTAAAAAAAACTAATAAATAAATATAAAGTAGTTATAAAAACATAATTGTGTTATTTTCCTGATTAATAATATACGTATTTTAAGATTGTCTGTATAAGGTAAGTTTATAATTTATTTAAGATTTTGTAGTTTAATTTAAAAATATATATAAATTTAAAGAATTATTTAATTAGAATAAAATAAAAAAGATTTATACATTTTAAAAGTTAATCTTAAAAAAATATTCAAAACATATTTTATTTATAGTTATTATAAAAATATTGAAATTATTATATATTTATTTTAATAATTTAATATATGTTAGTTAATCTTACTAAATAACTTTGAATTCACCGAGCCATAAATTATAAGTTATAAATTTTCAGGTTGAATGGTGTGTTTTGCAAGTCCCAAATGGAGGATAGAAGCAACCCTGAAATTTCTCTCGAGGTTCCTCCTTACCTTCGAGTATACAAGGATGGAACCATAGAGAGAATAGCCGGAAAACAAGTTGCTCCTGCGGGCATCGATTCCGACACCAACGTTGTTTCCAAAGACATCCTCGTCGTCCCAGAAAGAGGTGTCACGGCCAGGCTGTATCTTCCCAATTCCACCGCCAAAACCACCAAGCTTCCTTTACTTCTCTACTTTCATGGTGGGGCCTTTTGCATCTCTTCAGCCTCCGACCCCCTTTACCATAATTCCCTCAACAAAATCGTTGCCGAAGCTAACGTTGTTGCTCTCTCCATCAATTATAGGTTAGCACCAGAACATCCACTTCCAACCGCGTACGATGATTCTTGGGCTGCGATTCAATGGGTTGCTTCTCATGCTGCGGGTCAGCATGAAGAAGATAATGAAAATTGGCTCAGGGACAACGTTGACTATGACAGGGTGTTCTTGTCTGGTGACAGCGCAGGTGCTAACATTGGACACTACATGGCTTTAAGGTTACATGCTCTTAACTCTTGTCATACAAAGGATTTCAAGGTTCCCGGTCTTATCATGGTGAATCCTTATTTCTGGGGGAAGGAACCCATTGGCGTGGAGATCAGTAATACAGAGAGTAAGAAAATGGTGGACTTGTGGTGGGATTTTGTTTGTCCCTCTGATAAAGGGTGTGATGATCCTCTAATCAACCCCTTTGTGGAGGAAGCTCCGAGTTTTGAAGGGATGGGTTGCAACAAGGTTCTTGTTATCATTGCCGAGAAAGACATATTGAAGGAAAGAGGGAAGCTTTATCATAAAAAATTGGTGAACAGTGATTGGAAAGGAACGGCTGAGTTTTATGAGACTCTTGGAGAGGATCATGTCTTTCATATCTTCAATCCCAATTGTGACAAAGCCAAGAGCTTGTTTAAACGCATTGCTAGTTTCATTAATGAACAATGAAGCATTAGAATGATAGTGTTGTCGCTGCTGCTGTGTTGTTTGTGTGTGGATGCATAATGTTTAATAAGAATGAACAAAGGTTATGAAGCTGTTCCGTGTTTAATTGAAGTCGAATCATGGTTACTTTTACTCGTCAATAGTTCTATAAATTTGCGCAATTGAGTTACTCATGTTTCATGTTAGAAATCCATGAATCTTGTTTTGTTTGCCTGTTTCTTATTACGGTCTTATGCTTTATTACCTAGCTATGTATATTCTATGAACGAGTTTTATGAAGGATTCGTACCTTATTAAATATTATCCGGGGTTCACCTTTCTACCGAATTTACAGATTCATATATATTATGATTTAGTGGCCAGTGGAACTGTAGCATGCAACTCACATTATGAAGGAAAAAGTTACGATAAACGCATTTTCTGTTTACAAACAAGTCAAACATTTCCAGCAAAAGAACATAAGGCATGCATACACTGTGCCCGCAATATCCTCATTCGTAAGAAAGAGACAAAGAAAAGCCAGAAAGTAACACGAAGAGAGAATCAATCAGCAGAGTATATTTCCAGATTTTATTAAAATCCATATGAGGAGAATTTGAAATTGACTACGGGCGTTAATACTTGTTTGTTTCACTGGAACAGAGATACATGCACCCATGTTCGGAAAGGAAATGTAAAATTTATGGATAAAATTTAACTGCAGTAGTTGGAGTATTTTGAGTACTATTTTTTTTATCTACTTAACTAATATCAACATTTTAATTGCAGTAGTTGGAGTATTTTTGAAGTATTATTTTTTTCTTATAAAAATTGGAATTTTATCTTGTTAAATAATATCAACATTTAACAGATCAATGGAGTAGAAGTTATCAAGATAAAATTCTATGACACCATAAGTACCAAAGGTCATGATCTAAGTTTTGTTTAAAATTTAAAGAAAAGAGAAAGATAGAGCCAGATTGAGGGAAAGAGAATAGAAAATAAGAAAAGATAGATCTATACTTCCATTGAAGAATCTAAACTAACCTGAACATCTCATTACTTATTGAATGCGCATAAATAATCCAGTGTGTCAAACATTCACTCCATTTTTTCTTGAGGAAGTAAAGCAACGCCTTCTCTTCAAGCTCCTTCCTGTAATCAATTGCAATGATGTAATGATGTTGATTAAAGCCATATATGGATCAGAATTTAGAGCCTAAAATGCGGACAAGATAAAGATGGAGTTAAAATAAAGTTATAAAAAAAAGGACAGAAAACAGCGCAAAAGCTATGCTTCAGAATGCAAAATCTGCACGAAACTTGCTTCTATAGATAGTTTATTCATATGGCCAAGGTTCTAAGATGTGTGGCGTGTTTCCTGACCCAGCACCTTAGTTTGTGTATTAGTGATTAATCAACCGAAAGGCATCAATGCTATCTTGCTTTTAGCTCTATGAATAGCTTCCACCACAACTGCCACAAGCCAGAGGACTTTGTTTTAAATTTAAAGCTTCAAAACTCTGCAACACACAAAAGAAGCAAGCACATATGTATATGATTTTAATATAAAACAGAATTTAGTATAGTACCTGTTAGTGCCCTTGAAGTTTTTACTTCGGTGACATGTGTCCACTTTAGTGACAAAATACTGATATTTAATGTTTTATTTTTATTATAGAAACTGTTAAAGTAAAAATATACGGCCCACTTCGGGCCCATAAATAACGAGCCCAATCTACGGTCTGCAGAGGTTACAACTTACAAGTACTTTCTCTTTATGGCCAAATTTACTTACATCCTCTCCTAACAAATAGGCTTTAGAAATAAAATAGACAAAGAAATAACAGAAAGTGCATGTTTGGTATAAGTTATTTTTTAAAAAGGAACTTATTTAATTTTTCAAATATTTCCAAAAAATTAAAAATATATTTAATTATTACTTTAAAATAAAATGAATTAAACACTCATCAAAATTTTATTTAAATAATATTAAACCGCTACCACTAACTTCCGCTAATAAAACAATTCATAATTATTTTAAAATAATTAAAACTATTAAATAAAATACATTCAACAATTTTTAACTAGTTCCCATATAATATTTATTAGCCACCTAATAACAATGTCTACGAAATTTGTTCAGTTTTCTACTCAATTTTGTATGCGAGTTTCAAATTTTATTGATTTATAAATTAAATTTTGTATAAAAACAATGTAATTTTATAATTTATAAATATAATTATGTAATTTTTAAATTATATTTTATTTAATATTATAGATAAATACATCAATAACTACTATAATTATGGTTTTTATTTATATCATTTCTTTTTTTTCACCTATAAAATAATGTCAATTGTGAAACATTGAAGAAAAATAATTGAAAGAGGTAAAGAATAAATAAAAATATTTTAGTCAATATTTAATAAAATTATACATCAGAATAGAATCGAATACAAACGCTAAAAAAAGAAAGAACTCGTGAAATTGACAATTAAATTAAATGAATAACATTAGATAGAAGAACTCTCGATCCCAGCTTAAGAAAGGAAATCAGAATTCATGAACAACGTCTCACTGTAGTAGAGCCTTTTTAGTGTGAGGGGATTTCAATTCTCGAAGCCTCCTCTCTTTAATAAGAATTTTTGCGAACCTGCAAAGATTAACACCAATCTTTTACTTACTAAAAATATGTATAATATGACTCGTCTGCCAAAGAACGTCACTATATATAAAATAAAACATTATGTAGCTTTTAGTCTTACCTTCTGAGAGCATCTTCGTTGGTCTCTCCATTTTGCATGGGCTCAAACAAACCAGACTCCAAATTCATCTTAGAGACTGGTTTCTTCAACAATTTTTCACCAATTTGGCTGAGTTTTTCCAAATTCTCTTTCGTGGCAATGTCAACTGATGAGTACGTACCGGTCAATGTGTCATCCTGCACAATGCTTGGATTTCATAAAAGGTGTTTGTTTACACGAAAGCCTTTTCTAATTAAATATTGTATGAATTTACCAAACTATTTATACAATATATATATATATATAGATAATAAATAAGATTAAAATAAAATATATAATATACAGAACAATATTATATAAATTGTTGTTGTAAGTAAAAATCTTCTGAATATACGTTGATCAATGTGGACGTACAATTACTTATAATTTTTTTCACCTTTCATCCATTTTTGTCTCTTCACCAAATGATTAGTTTAATTATAATCAACTTAAAATTTGTTTGTACATCATTAGCATTTAACTTAAATTATTTATAAAAAGAAGTGCAGAGGAGAAAGATATCAGAGCTATATCATATTGATTACCTGTATCCGAAGGTAATTATCTTCTGAATGAAGCGCTTGAGTGACAGTAGCAAGATGAAAATCAACCATATCATCGCTAGATTGAGTAAACACATCGATTAAAGGAGTAGAACCACTGTAAGTTAACCAATCCAATAGACCCCATTTGGCTGCCATTTTTGCATTGAATTTCTGTTCATTCTTGGGTGTCCCAGTGCCCAGTGAGATTATCAGGAAGCGACCATATTCCATGGGCTTGATGGCGAAGAAATCAGGATTTTCATTCATGATCTGCTTGGTTACTTGATTCATGGCCACTAGAGTCTGGATCATCAATACCCCGAAAACAATTAAGTAATGTTAATTAATTACAATGTATATATTTACACACACAAAGTAATCTCCATGCATAAAATTCCAAAAACAATTTATTTAGAGAGTATTTACACATACCGGATTATTAGCACAAACGCCACCATCAACAAGGTTGAATTCGTGTACGTTCCCTTCTGTGTCCTCGTTCTTGAAGTTGTGGGCTGGAAGATAAGTAGGTGCAGCGGAGGTGCCGATGCATATGTCAGAGAGTCTTGCATCCAAGCTAGGAGTATTCTTGATTTGATAAGAAGAGAAAACGATTGGTTGCAATGCCTTGATGTCAAAGGTGGGAATCACAATGTTGGTCAGCGTTTCATGCACACGAGTTTCCCCTAGCTTCTCCCTCAGGACCTCATGAAGGTATTTCCCATCGTATTTTGGTCCTCTTAATGATCTCAACAATTTTCTTATGGATCCCCAAAGGCCACTGTGTTCAATTCGTACAAATTAAGCTCTTCAATATAATTTATAAATACACAAAGAGAGTGAGAGAGAGACATAATCAATTGTATTTGTATTCGTAAGGATCAATATATGTATACCTGTATTGTGGGAAGATCTTTGGACTATGATCCAAGTAGAAGGGCTTTATATCCTTGGCGGCAAAAAGTGGACGCTGCTTATCATTTGGAGCACTTAACATGGCGGTAACAAGTCCACCTGTGCTTGTTCCTGCAATCACGTCAAAGTAGTCTGCGAGCCTTGCAGATTCACCATCCAACTCCTGCACATACAGATCGTTGTTACTTTTTAGTACACTATATTAAGTTATAATTAACCTTAAGATAATGTAGTTTATATATCCTTGATCTTTTTCTTTTCAAGGAAAATGCTAGTAAGTACACCTCTTTTTTTTCAAATTGTTTAGGAACTTCTATATGGTAGAATGAAATTGGGGGTTTACTTGTTTTTTAGACTATTTTTTACATTTAATTATCACCCATATGTGCATATGTACTTCATTTTTTTGCAATGAATTTCGCAAAACCTTTTTTGGGCATTGTTATATATATAAAGATATGAGTGTCATAACAAAAACATTTATTGAGACTCCTATATGTAGACACACACCCATTAATGTAAGTAGATCCATATACCTGAAGCTGCTCTTCAAGGAAAGCAAGAATAGTTGCAGGGATAATGCCCCTAATACCACCCCCATCGATGCTGAGAATAGTGACTAAGTTTCCATAGGTTGGAGGCTGAATTTGTAGAAGGGCTGACTTTGTTCTCTCCATATGTATATATATTTATTGATCACAAAGTTATATTAACTGAATATTTAGAAAGTTGAAGTTTGTCTAGAACGTGATTGATCAACTTGTTCCAAGGAATACCAAAGAAAAGACCAAAGCTAATGAATTATTTGCACAATGGAAAATTCGAGATTATAATAGAAGAACGTTAAAGAAAACTAGATTCAGATTTTGGTTGGTTGTTTGATATTGCTATCCTTAACTTGCTATTTATAGGGGAGTTAAGATGTCATGCGTGCAAAGGGTAAAGTCCAAACTGAGGCAAGGCAGAGTTATGTTCAGTGTCTGGCCTGGTAAAAGTGTTGAATGACTCCCACATCCAATCCATTTACACCAATGGAGGTCCCGTGTTGAATATTCGATGGTCCAAACATCGTCTTAATTAAAGTTGGACTTATAGGGCAAAACAATAAGAAAAAAAACCAGTTCCACAGGTTTGCCCGTTTAATCGATCGGACACAGATAAAGCATTATTATTATTATTCCACGAATATAATTTCTACGTAATACATAGCTACACAAACCATTGCATTTGGCTTCTCTTCACGTAAAATCTAACAATATTATTTAGTCTAATTAAATAAAATTAAAGAATATCACTGTTTAAAATACCTTAACACTTGTAAGTTTTAATTTCTAAAAAAAGCTTTCTTGACACCCTGTGGCTGGGCCACTTTGGGTTACAAATAAATTTCATAATAACTTATTTTCATCTTAAATTTAAAATATCTTTATTGTTCCTCTCTTTGTCTTGAAGTTGAGCATAGCCTTTTGTTTATAAAACCCAGTGTTATCGTTTATCCCTACGATACAACTATTTTCTTGGTTGCTGAATTCCATTGCGGAAGACATCAGTGATTAAAGAGTGAAGTGATGAGCCTATCTCAGGGTGTTCTCACTGTAAGTCAATTCTTCACTAAGCTCAGAAGTTTTTGGGAAGAACTATGTGAATACAAGCCGATCCAAGCTGCTGTACATGTGGAGGTGTAAAAGAAGGATTATTTGAACCAATCAACTTAAAGTCTGCTACTTTACTTTCCAGGATAAAAAAATATCAACCTGAACTAAAACAACTTATTGTTCATTAAGTTTGTTTGGTGACAAAAGTTATAAAATTGAACCAAACCATCCTTGAATGCCCGGGCTTTCTGAGAAATGAGATGGATAAAATTGTGTTTGGAACCCATTTGGGGTTTAAGACCAAGTCAATCATTGTATACTTATTCCCATTAATGTCTATTGTAAAGTTTGTAAAAGTAAATAGTGTCACAGGAAAGGAGAGACTCCGACTCCCATAAAACAAAACAGATAAATAAGTAGAAAATTCAAAACATTTATTTTATGCCAACATCTTGTTCACAACTATTTTATTTAGTCTTCACGAGAATCATTTATAATCTTATCCTTTAAAACAGGACGTGAGTACTAGAAAAGTTCAATATTTGATAATATCAAATCAAACATTTTTTTAATCTAGTAAGAAGATTAAAAAAAATATTATTCTCATTTTTCTTATATTATGCTTGGCATTTCCAGAAAGCAGTCAAATAGTTGTAATAATCTTCTGCCTAGCCATAAAATCTTTCATATGTACAAACTATAAATATAATCTCGAGACAAAATTTGCTACATTTGACTAGTCTTTGGAGAGAAACCGCTGGTATGGTGTCCCTGTCAACGCTTCCTGGACTTCCTCCCAGTTCTCAATTTGTCTTGACAATGGGGCAGTATGAATCCTCACCTGACCGCTCTCCAGTTGTCTGTATGACACCATTAGAAATTCTTGAACATCCTTCATTGACAATAAAAAGAAAGTAAAATTTACCCGTTAACTTCATTGACAATTCAATTTTTTTATGCATTAACAATTAATGATGATAATGAAAGTTAATTGAATCTCTATATTTTTTCAACTTATTTAAATTTTATTTATCTGTCGGTCAGTGTTATACAATAGTTTTTTCCATTGTTATTTTTTACTCACAACTAACTTATCACATTCTGAAGTTTCTGTATGTTAAATAACCTCAAGGAATGCATAAATATTATTAAAAAATTCATTTGCTAAAAAAATATCAAACATTATAATACTTTTTGTAAAAATAGTTTTATTTTATAAAAATTAAATTAATAATTATCTTAAGCTCTATACTAATAAACAATGTAATGTATAAACATGTGAATATTAATAATATATATTAATGTATTACTAAAATTATTTATTAGTAAAAGATATATTGTATTTTAAACTTTGCTAACCAGCATCTTAAAGATATTAATTAAGAAATTAATAAGTAAATTTTTTTATTGAAATTTTTATTAAAATATACTTAAAAATATAAAAATATGTATTTTTTTGTGGTTTTTAATAAAAATAATTTTAATTTTTTAACCATAAGACATTAATGGCTGCTTTCTTTATATGATTAGTACGGACGTTATGAGCTGACACTCCACAAGAATATAAGGTGGCCTTGGATCTTGACGAAGATAGTTTGGCGGCCAGAATTATTATAATGGGCAACGTGGAGGGCAGCATATATATATATATATATATATATATATATATATATATATATTATAATGCACACTGGTACTTTTTTCCAACATGCTTAAAAGAATAATAAATATAATAACTGATCTTCTCTTGTTTGGGCCTTCCACGGAAATGATCTTCGTAAAATATGGTGACTGATTTTTGGTCAATCAATTGTAATATCCTGATTAGACGGAGAAATCCTCTAATATATAGGAGGTTCAAAGTTGGAAGTTTTTGAATTCAATGATAAGAAAGATAAATTATGTTCAAGAGAGAAAGAAGAAAACTTGTTGATGATTTGATAGTGCCGATCCAGCATGGCAAGTTACATGCGCTGAAGTGTACAATTGTTTGCACATCCACCAAGTGCTACATATTCCATTTCTTGGCTCTTTCTTTTAATCTCTTTGAAGTAGGAACTGCTCGTGACATTAATTATTTACATGCAGTACATTAGAGTCGGTACATGTATGTTGGTTTGGTTGATCACACTTAAAGACGTTAAAAAGCAGTTTTATGTTCTTTTGGATGAAGTTTAAACTACTCTCCAAATATTCTATCCATAAATCATTATTATTATAATGTAAATTACCATGACTTATCTTTCAAATCATACTATTATTATGTAGGTAATTATTTTTGTTATAAGCATAAAAATTTTATTAATTAAGTATTAGGAGTGTTTAGCCCATATTTATAAGTACTGAGATCAACTCAAAACAAATTATAAGTTCTAATTATATTGTTGTGTATAATAACAATCAAAAGAACGAACCTGTAATTTATCACTACATCATTTTTTATCATCACACATCTTAAAAAATATTTAAAATGGAACATTGGTTGTAGTATGTCAAAATTTTTCCTTCTAGCTAATACCACTGAGATGTACGAAAGAAGACCGAGTACTGAAAAGGCAGAACCATATATCACGGTAAAATATTATTTGGTTGAAATAAAAAATTGAACTAGAACGGTCAATTGAGTGCATGCATACATGTCATGAATGAAGGTTTTTTTTTTTTTTTTTTCAATCTGAGAGGCTTACAAATAACTGCGGGTATAAATGACGTTGTGACATGAAATGCATGTTCTTGTTTGGTTAATTTCTAAATTTGACAGCCCCAATGCCAACCTTAATCTTCATGTCATGTGTATATCATATGCTATTGGTAATAAGTTAAATGTTTACGTGGCGAGTGAAGCCTTGTTAATTTGAAATAACCGAAGTGTCTAGTCTAAACCTAATGACATAAATTTAACAGTACAACACAGAAAATGCTAATTCCTAATCCTTTTTAAGGGAGCTATGCAAAAATGTTTCTAACTTGCAAAAGGGAGGAAAGTTCGTTCGAATAAACTACGTCTTATTGCACTCTCTCTGTCTAGAATTGGGACTTTTGAAGGAAAAGAGAAAAGGTCAAAGCACTCAACCAGAGAGCTTTAATTGGAGAGTTAAAGCAAATTTTGGGGTATGGCTAATTGAAGGGGAGGATTTGGTCTCTTGTTGATGCGCTCAAAATCAAATTAGGAACGCTCTGACTTACACGCTTAATACATAATTTAATGTATGCAGTATGTTCTCAGCTAGCTGAATTTCCTATCTAACTCCTCCAACCATTATGAATTTATTATTTTATTAATCAACTATACGTCATCCTAATTACTTTTCTTGGAGTAACAGTGTATACTACAACTTGAACTAGAAATTAATCATTGAGGATAAGTATTCTGACGCTTTTGGTACGTCCAAATCCATATCTTTTCCCATGCAATTTGCTGAAGCTGACGAAAGAGTCTTGTCTTCACACTCAAATCAATTCACGCCCACCAAACTTCATTAATTTTGAGGTTTCTTGAGGTGAAATGTGAAATCAAACTTGTGGCTTAAAATTATCTGAGAGCTTCCGTATCATGTGCCACATCTCTATATCTTGTATGCATGTGAGAACAACTCAACAGTGCATCACATATTATCGACAGTTTTAAATGTATGATTCACTGAACTAACTACATTAATATGAAAGGTTAATTAACTCTAACTGTACTCACTAGTACACTGGTCAAGTGATGGCTCCTATATTAGGAAATAACAAACGTGAATGTCTAATATTTTTAGCTTGGAATTAACATGCAATAAGGGTCTAGGCGCTAATGACTTTGTAAGAATATTGGCAACTTGGACCTAAGCGTGGGGATGGGAGTAAATGAAATATTCTAGCATGCACCTTTTCATGAATAACACGATAAGTTGAAGATACGTGTATTAATTCCTCAACATGGAAAGGGTTAAGCCAGAGTTTTTCTTTCTACTCAAACTAGTATGAGTTCACCCTATGTATTGGTTAGTGTCGAAAGTAAAATTAAATAAGTAGACATACACAACACAATCAAATTATAATTTATTTCAATAGAAATTGGTTGTGGTGAAAATAACTTGAGACTAAATCTGCAACAAACTTTACTCACAATTCTTTGAGTATATTTAATTAAACAATTTAATTAAGTATATGTTTTATAACATGTTATTATATGAGAGTTCATATCATAAATTTAATTATAAAACTTATTTAAATAAGTTAGAAAAAAATTATAAGAGTCATGTAATTTTTATAAAATGAAACAAGCTTTATATATGTTTTTCTAAACCCTCTAGATCCTATTTGGTCAAATACAAATTTTTTATTATTATTATTTTGTATTAAAAGATGAATGGTAGATACTTTCATTTTAAATAGAAAGCAATTACTAATTAAGTTAAATATGTAATTTAAAATTAACTAAGCACATGTTTTTTTTTAAAAATTACACCCAATTTGAATTAAAAAATTTGATAAGGAAAAATTATATTCTTTTAAGATAAATTATATTAAGTATTCAAATTTAAATATAATATAAAATTAGATAAAAGATAATCATGATAAAAAAAAAATCGATACCATGCATGTGGTAGTCTTGTTGGAATAGATTCGTGTGTGCAAAAAAAAAAAAAAAAAAAAAACACAGTTAAGAGGAATTCTCATTTTAGCATTGATCATATTTAGAAATATTAATCTCTAATCTATAAAGTGAGACAGGATACTCTAAAATGAATATAATGGAAAAAAAAATTCACAATACTCTACCAAAGTTATCGTATGCCAAATGGGTGATGACTAAAGCAAATCATGACAAAAGTATAATATTTTGGACTTCTAATTTCAGGAAGTCGCTCAGTACTTATATCATATCCATCGTCAAACTGGTTTTTCTTTCAAGTTTCTTATATTCTCTATTTGCTTATGTTTTCCTGCATTAAGGTAATTGCATTACAGAAAAACATTAGCTCGTCTCTAGAAAAGGGCTATTTTTAGGATCTTTTTATAGTTGTTTTGTATTGTTATTGATCCTTGTTTTCTTCTTCAACTTCTATTTCAGGAAATCTTCTAATTCGCGAACTGCTAAAACTTCTAACAATAATAAACGTGTACACTTTATATATATAATGCATATATATTTACTCTTGGAAATACATTACTTTCTTTTTAACTAAAATCATTGATACATTGTTGCATAGATGCTTGCGATGCTAATCTTTTTTATGAGCATAATTAGACAGCTAAACCCTTGACCCCTTCTCTCGCCATGTATATCTCAAGCTTTCAAACAGCCTTTATGAAACCAAATGCCCTTCAATATACTCTTCTTTTCTTTGGATCTTTTGTGTTTTCTTTATGGAGATCTTAGATGGAAACCAAAGTAAGCTCCGTCATCTCTTTTACATGTTGTTTTCTTGCACCTTTGTCAAAAGTTACCTCTGCATGGTTTATATTAGACAATGATGATTGCATATTCCTTGAATGACATTTGTTAATTCTTTTGTTTCAGGACTCTCTGGATATAAAATATTTCAAAACATTTCCATTAACATTGAGGTTAGTAGTCTTAGTTATCGTTGTCGCTTGTGGAATATACATTAGCTCAATTTCTTTAGTGCAAAAAGGTATACACACTAGAACCAGATTGCTAGACATCTCTGTCATCAATCAGCCATGTCATCATCCTTCTAGTGTGGAAGAATGGGAACTGCCTTACTTGCATTATCCAGAACCAAAAACCTATAGCAGGTACCAACACACACACACTTGATTTGAATCCAATAATTATTATATGGGTTGGATTATTAATGTATATAGAATGGTTGGTGAATGTGTAGAAAGGAGTGTGCTTGCAATCCTGTTAGGTTCTTTTGCATCGTGTCAATGCAAAGATCCGGGAGTGGTTGGTTTGAAACATTCTTGAACAGTCACATAAATGTAAGTTCCAATGGAGAAATATTTTCAATAGGCAAAAGAAGGGCCAACGCTTCTTCAATTTTGAAGACAATGGATAAAGTATATAATCTTGATTGGTTCACTAGTGCTTCTAAGAATGAGTGCTCTGCAGCTGTTGGCTTCAAGTGGATGCTTAATCAGGTAGGAACCATTATGAAATAAAATTACTCATAGCAAGTAGAAGTTTAATTTCAAAGTTTCATGAGCCATCAGTGAACATTGACTAAATGTTTTGTTGTGTCCAAAAAAATAAGTACATCATAGTTAATGGTTTAGTTAGCAAGTTCATCATGTGGTATTAAAGGATTTGTGTTATGAAGATGTAAGTTTTTAAATTTCCAAATTTCTCATCACTTCTCTGAATGCAGGGTTTAATGGAGTATCATACGGAAATTGTGGAATACTTTGAACGGAGACAAGTTTCTGCAATATTCCTATTCAGAAGGAATTTGCTTCGTAGAATAGTATCAGTGCTAGCAAATTCCTATGACAAAAGTGCCAAGCCCTTGAATGGAACCCACAAGTCTCACGTGCACTCTCCATTGGAGGTCTTTCTTTACCTTTTCCTTCCTTCCTATAATTAGTGTTGAATTCAAAATTGATTTAGTTCTGCTTGTGTAGGCTAAAATTCTTGCCAATTATAGGCCACATATCAATGTCACGTTACTGATATCAGAGCTAAAGCTAACAGAGGAGACAGCTGCAAAAGCAATTGCATACTTCAAGAACACTCGCCATATTGTTCTCTACTACGAGGATCTTGTCAACAACCGCACTGTAAGGCTAGCTAGATTATGTGTATATATATATACATACCTACTTACGTCCATAATCAAGAGTTTTTATTATAATAACTAATAAGTAGAGAAATGAATTTTCCACACCCCTTTAAGGAGGGAAATGGATGTGAAGACAGGAGAGATAAAAAAAAAATGAATTGTAATAGGTGATGTTATAAAAAAAAAAACAAAAGAAAGAATAGGTGGAAACGAGGTTTAAGAAAAATGGGGGTGTGAAAATATTATTATTGATGAGTGTTCTTGTTTTATGTGTGTCCCCCTCCTTTTGACCAAGTAGGTCCTAGATGATGATGTTTCTATGCATATCAATTTCAACATTTCATCTTGCAGAAACTGAAGGATGTTCAAGAATTTCTAAGGGTGCCATACAGACAACTGGAGAGCCGTCAAGTGAGGATTCATACTGCCCCATTGTCAAGACAAATTGAGAACTGGGAGGAAGTCCAGGAAGCGTTGACAGGGACACCATACCAGCGGTTTCTCTCCAAAGACTAGTCAAATGTAGCAAATTTTGTCTCGAGATTATATTTATAGTTTGTACATATGAAAGATTTTATGGCTAGGCAGAAGATTATTACAACTATTTGACTGCTTTCTGGAAATGCCAAGCATAATATAAGAAAAATGAGAATAATATTTTTTTTAATCTTCTTACTAGATTAAAAAAATGTTTGATTTGATATTATCAAATATTGAACTTTTCTAGTACTCACGTCCTGTTTTAAAGGATAAGATTATAAATGATTCTCGTGAAGACTAAATAAAATAGTTGTGAACAAGATGTTGGCATAAAATAAATGTTTTGAATTTTCTACTTATTTATCTGTTTTGTTTTATGGGAGTCGGAGTCTCTCCTTTCCTGTGACACTATTTACTTTTACAAACTTTACAATAGACATTAATGGGAATAAGTATACAATGATTGACTTGGTCTTAAACCCCAAATGGGTTCCAAACACAATTTTATCCATCTCATTTCTCAGAAAGCCCGGGCATTCAAGGATGGTTTGGTTCAATTTTATAACTTTTGTCACCAAACAAACTTAATGAACAATAAGTTGTTTTAGTTCAGGTTGATATTTTTTTATCCTGGAAAGTTAAGTAGCAGACTTTAAGTTGATTGGTTCAAATAATCCTTCTTTTACACCTCCACACGTACAGCAGCTTGGATCGGCTTGTATTCACATAGTTCTTCCCAAAAACTTCTGAGCTTAGTGAAGAATTGACTTACAGTGAGAACACCCTGAGATAGGCTCATCACTTCACTCTTTAATCACTGATGTCTTCCGCAATGGAATTCAGCAACCAAGAAAATAGTTGTATCGTAGGGATAAACGATAACACTGGGTTTTATAAACAAAAGGCTATGCTCATTCTTCACGACAAAGAGAGCAAGAATGAAAATGCCTCAAAAAGTGCCAATTATCATTCAGAGCACATATACTAATCTAAAAATTATTAGCAAAGGAAAGGATGAACACATTATTAATAAAATAATATAATGCCATCAATAAATCAAAGTGCTAGTGCTTCTTTAGAAAATATTTCTCGATGCAAATGTATCATATTGAAAACACTGGCCCCGTGGCTATATCTAAACGGCATGCAAGGTATCAACAATACTGTCTTTTTAGGATTCAAGAAACATGTTACAAGAATGACCAAGATCATTGGTCACTTTCCAGCCACACGCAGAGCATGGGAAATATACCAGAGGCCAAGAAACATAATTTGGAAGCCAATAAGAAACAAGATAGAAGAGACATATAATGTCAGCAACAGAGAAAGATATATCCTCATAGATACCTTTATTGACTGAAAGTGAAAACTAGGAAAATGTACCTGCCCGGTGATTCATAAGTTATTCCTCATCTCATAATAATGTTGATTCATAAACATTATAACATTATGAATGTCTAATTTTTTTCTCACTCTTTCTTATCAAATCGCATCACTTATCACATCTATCATTTACATTCAGAGATGTGTCTTGATACATTTTTCTATCTCATAAAGATACATAATAACACGTGTTCATACACACAGCCTTACATTTGTTTTAAAGACTGAAAAAATAATACGTTAAGTCAGATTTAAGAAACTCACCATCGATTGAAATTTGAATAGCTTGCCTTGATGGTCTTGCTACAAAGGATGATTAAACAGGCACATAGGTTACCACTTAGACGGAATTCATGGCATGGCGATTAGATGTAACACAAACTACATTTGAACTGTGTCAAGAAAAGCAGAAAACTGCATTTTGGAACCATCCCAAACTTCAAAAAAAGAATTTAGTAGTGTATTGAAATTCTTGCAGTGAAGTCCACTTCAGGATCAAGTGGTGTTTAAGGACAATAGGCAAGAGGATCACATCATTCAAACCAAGAACAACAATAATACCATGAGATAAGCTAACTGTCAATTTGCACTCCATTAGTATTTGGCAACGCAAAGGACATTGAACAAAGACAACAAATGAAGAAAAGAAAAAAGAGGTGCTAATTTGTAATCATTCAGGGCTAATTACAGGAATCTTTTGCCCGATCTTTAGTGTATGATAGAGTATCTATAAAATATCTCAGTTGGTCTTGAAAATACATTATGAAATCTATTAGTTATGTAATTGAGGAAACAACAATATCTCTATAGGACCACTGAATTAATATTTTTGCGTCAAATCATACCTACCATATCAGTCTAATTTCTCAGTTTCCTCTTCGCTTACCTAAGTATCGTCTAAATTCACAATGTCCATCCCTTGAGAAATTTTTTTTTAGCCTTTACTACTCATTCATGGTCTTCACCCTTTCTCTGACTTGCTTTAATGTCTTTTTTTTCCTCTTCTGGCAAACGAAGAAAGCGTTCTGTTGGAAACGAAATCTTGCAAACCTAACATACCGCACGAATAAAAAACTCATTCAGGATAAGCAATCATATAAAACGAAAATAAAATTAAAATAACCCTGAGAAAGGTTGGAATCAAACGGCAAATGCGCACAAACACGAACTCAACATTTTCCATACCAATTAATCCCACCATTTACTAAAGTTATAATAAAATTAGAATATTTTTCATATAAGATCAAAATGAAAAAGCATATATTATGGATAAAATTAAAATATATCTTTTATTGTATGGAGACACCAAAATAAAATACAATATAAAGGTTTAGTTATTTTAAAGTGAAATGTGTACAATAAAAAAAAAAAGCATGAGTAGATTTATTAATTTGAAGTAAAATATTTTATAAAAATAATCAACTTTAAATCAATTGTTGATAGAATCTTATTTACATATTTACTTTAAAGAATATGGATCTCATTTTTCATACAAGTTTAAAATAAAAAACGATACCAAATATATAGGTTAAATTTAACACTATTATAACTTCAATAATTGATAGAGAAACTAATTTATAATAAGGTTTTGTAAGATTTTGCTGGAGACACTATATTCTAATAAAAAATGCTTTATTTTTTAAGAAAATATATATTTATATTTTTGTATATAGAGACAAAAATGTAATTTTTTAAAAAAAAAATACACAGAAATTAAAATATTGAAACCAATCTTATAGCAATTAAAAGAGGAGAATGGAAAGCATAAAAGCGCGCGTGTGCTCAAATTTGTCCCTGGGAATGTGGTGCTCAAGTTATGCGAATGATTTGATATGCAGTATGGATTGATGAAGACCGAAAGAAGGAGAGAGAGAGAGATTGATTGAGAAGTGAGAATGGGATTTGTCGACAGAGTGGAGTATTGAATCGAAGCGCACAAGTTGGAAGAATGTTAATGTTGTTGGACTTGAACAATGATTTTGTTGGGTGAAACAACCTCAAAGACAGCCCAGCCATCTTACACTCCTTTTCTGGGCTCAGTGTCTTCCACGTCACTCAACTGCCTTCTACTCACTTTTCGGCCCAAATCATAAGTACGTGGATCCCTGCAAGTTTTATATTAAACTGCACTAATCGAGATTAAGAACCGTGCAGTTTATATGCTCATAATTATCGAGAGAGAGAGAGAGAGAGAGAGAGAGAGAGAGGGAGAACAAATGTAGCTTCTAATCTGCATTTTAGAAGGAATATAATTTGGGTACAGTATTTTAGTACTTTTTAAAATTTTAAATTTAAATTTACCTAATAAATTAATTAATAAATATTAACATTAAAATTTGATCTAAATTTTTAGATAATTTTTTATGTTAATTAAAATTAATGATTGAAATGCATAAGTGTAATATCTAGAAATTATCATTTGCTTTAGATTATATCAATAAATGATATAACAAATATGTTAATAACTTTATCTGTTTTGTAAATTTTTTACTAATTTCTTTACTTTCTCAATGAGTACAACTTAAATTTTTTTAATATTTTAATGTATTAAATATATTTAATTTTTAATATTTACTAAATTTAGTATTAGGAGATGAATTGGAAAGTAATATAAGTAAATATAATATTATTGATTAAGATAAAAGTAAATTTTCACCCAAAAAATTTGTGTAATTTATTCGTAAATACCTATAAACTTGTTAAAAAAAATTATGACAAAACTTAAATATAAAATAAATAATACTAAAATTACTCTTCAATTAAAATCAATATTTCATCATTACCATTACCATCGATTTAAATTATTAAGATAAAGGCAGCAATTCCAAGGTGAAAATGTCAAATTTAATTACAAAAATAACACTATGGCAATATATAATATTGTGTATAAATTTTATTATTCTTTTTAAATAAAAAATAAAATAATTAATTATCTCTGTTTAAAATATCAAAATAAAAATGTGTGTTGTTCTTAAATGGATAAATTCTTTAAAAAAATTTAGATAATTATATTTTAATGTTTAATATATTTTTAAAAATATAAATAAATATTAATTATGAAACTATTTATTGATTATGTTTAATTTATCTACAATTTTTTATTGATAAAATTATTTACGAGGAAACATGATACGATACTTAAATTTTTATTTTATAAAATATTGTACAAATTAAAATACTTATATGCATATTGTTTTGTTGAGGAAAAATTAATAGAAACAGCATTTTGTAAAATTAAAGACTAAAATAGAAACTTTACAAAAATAAATATTAAAGTGATAAATATATATTTAGCCGTTTTTCTTTGTACCTTGAATAAACTAATACACGACCGGAAAAAAAAATGAAAAAAAGAAAAAAAGCTCTTTGGTGGGGCCAGATCCTTTAGCCAGTAGGTGGTCACCGACTTCCCCGGTTTGAGGAGCCAACCCATATTTTCAACAACCTTTGATGCAGGTTCAGAACTTGAAATTATCATCTTCGTTTGACAATAGTTTTCATTCATGTCACATTATTTTCAATTGAAACAACGAAAGGGTCCATAGGGAGCTAAGTGGAGTTCAAATTGTTCTGCACCTTTCTTTTACTAACAACAACAATTGATTTCCGGTTTTAGTGCGCTGTTTAGTCAAGATCCCTTACACTTTTAATAA